GTCGATCTGATATTTCCCAGTGCATATATAAGCCAATCATTACCACTTAAATGATCTCGGTCCAAGCGAAAGGGCTCATGTGTCTTCCAGCTGGTATGAGTTCAAAGTATCGGAAGAGAGGCAATTTTCACTCTCAGGACAAATAAAGGGCAGTTTGAAAGTCCCAGAGTGTGTAGATGAGTCATTCTATTTAGAACAGATCGGGCAATGAATAGTATTTGTGTCAGGCCAGTTGAGCTTTAACCCTGTAGATGGGCTTTATGTTTATCTAATGGATTGTTTGCCTTGTAATAGGGGGTAGAGAGAGCGGCTAGATTACTAGTCTTATATTAGTGTTTTTTTATCTAGTATGGTTAACGAGAGTGAGACAGTTAGAAGGTGGTATAGTGTTGGATGAAGCAAATCCAGGAACATCAAGTGCGTTGTTCTAAGTTGCATAGATAAGTGGTATATTCAGTAAGTAGTCGATAGTGTCAGTCAAAGGAAAGCTTTTTGTTGATGGATAGCGAGGATAAATGTTACAATCGACGTGACTTCTCAGACCCTTTATTGTTATGATGTGCGACTTCAGAGATCTGGACCTGAAACACGTATATACACAAGACTAACCGTTTTAGCAAGAAGGCAAGAGCAGAAGTGAAAGTCTATTTAGTCACCGAATCATATGTGCAAATGCTCGTCCATATAGATACATGTATTCCGCATCCTTAAAAAAGGAAATCATTTCTCGACCACTGATATGCATTTGTCTGGTGAACCATTAATTGATTGTTGTCAAAAAGCCTTCTATTCCGGACGCAGAACATAGCACTGGACCAAATCCATTGTAACCCCAACCTTCCTTGTCTTAAAGTGTGCCTCAGTGGTTCTGGTTTCATGAGGTTCTCATCCGATTAGCGCTTTGCGTGACTCTTTGCACAACATCAAAGCGACTCCTTGTGTGTGAGGCAAGTTGTCCTTCACGGCTGGATTACGACAGCATCTCTTCTGAAGTCACTCATACCTGTCCAGCTTATATTCAATAGGTTTCACTTGTTTCAAGCAATTCCAGATTGTATATTTTCGTTCCCTTAGTGACTGGCATTGTTTTCCCGGTCTCCTACATTGTGTGAATATGCAGTGTACCTGTGTTAATTAATACTCTGGCTGTAAGATGGGGCACTGATCTCGTGACATCCGGTAAAACTCGGACTTCGTCATGAGGCGTGAAAACTCTTCTAAATGTAGAACTTCTAGATCCCGGAGTAGATTTGAAATGTTTCAAGTCAAATTTTCTGATTAACGCCTTCTAATAATGTTGTCTTCTATGAGATGGTGTTGCCAGCCTCATAAATATTCTCCCTCCTATATTGAGCTTAGTATCTGCAGTAACCCTGGAAGGGCTTCTTGTGCATAAATACTTAAAAGGTTTGTAAGTGTACTGTGCACTGAACGACGATTGGAATAAGGGATCTATGTCATCCGACCATCGATTCTCTGAGTCACCACTCACATAGGCTGTCGATGTTCATCTTCTCGGTAAAACCGTACCTCTGATGATGCTCTTATAACCAGGCGAGATCGATTTATACGAGATCTGACAAACGTAGATGTACTGATGTGAGTCTTGAATGTTCTGAACTACGATAATGGAGTTAGGAAATATCAGATCACTTTCCCAGTTCTTACGGATTATTTGTATTCACTGATATGACAGAACTCTTTCAAGCAGAAACGAGCATTTTTTTCTAATCATTCTATTAAAGAAGTCACGTGACTGTAGACGAATTCAATATCCAGTGTCGTTAGGCCAGAAACTTAAGTATTTTTCTGTGAATTAGATTCCTTTGTTAGTTACAAATACACTGGGTGTTTCTTCGTGACGGAATGTGTTCCGGAATGCACACTGAGTATAGTTCTCACTAGAGCTTCTCTGAGTGCCACTTTTGGTCACTTCGGTTACAGCTAACTGTAGAACAGCTACAAAATCAGAAACATCTTAATAGTTCAATAGCATTATATACATCATTAGATTCAGTGGTAGTAGCCGCCTACATAAATGATGACAACATTAATTCATTGTAGTCTTCAACTCGTGTTTTGGGAACTCACATTCTTCACTAACATCAGCAAGAATGTGGCTACTGTATTATAAACTGCGGACCCTGATATTAGTCGCTTATATTATAGTGCTATTTATTAAGTTTAGATTTTTGTTGTTTCATTTATGGAAATTTATCAAACGTATACGCTGACTGGTTACGTAATGCTGTTTCTTTCCATTTCTTTGGAAACGCATTTAAAAATAAGAATCATGAAGAATTACGGCCCACACTTGTCATTTGAGGAGTAATGTTGTTAGGATGTGATTTAAAATTCGATTGGGTAAACTAAATATATATTTTTAAGCACTTAAGTAATGACACGATAAGCAGAACTTTGGCATTGTTTTCATTTTCACTTTTAAACTTTGTAAACATTTCTAACTATAACTGTTTGTCTTCAGCCTTGATTGTGGAAAACATCAGAATCCCCTCCGAAAAGATCCACTTGAAATATTCTTCTGTTTATTTTACTAAACTGATGGATATCTTGCAGAATAATTTTGACATTTTAAAATTCTTTGTTTCAATATTAGACATGCGACTACTGGTTTGGAAATTCCATACTTCTTCAAACATCAGGATAAACAAATTCATAGTTTTCATTTTTGAAGAATGTAGTAAAACGTTTAACAGATAAGAGGAACAAACTGAACAGTAAACGAACGACCAACTTTTAGGTGAAAGCTTATTAATATACAGTTTATAATGCTGTAACTGAACAGGGACGTTGCTACTGTTCATGGACAAAATGTGTGCTTCCCATTAAATTGAATCAAAACGAGTAAACTTTAAGTGCATGTCTATTGAACCATGCCTTGAAAGGATGGAGAGAAAGTAGATGAATGAAATAAAGTAAATCGGTAGTATATCTCATAATATACTTAATGAGTCCGAAATCTAGTCTAGCCATGAAGAGATATTAAGCCAACTTCTTTTGGTTATACAGCTCATAATTCTTAATGCCCATAGACATCACACCTAATGTTTGAAAAAGTCTAACTGTTTCCAAAAGACTGTCTTTAACTCACCAAATTGCTGAAAATGACATTAAGTTAGCGGTTTATGTATTTTTCTGTCAGTTAGATTCAATTGTTAGTTACAAATACACTATGTCTTCCTTTGTGACCAAATATATTTTGGAATGCACATTTGATGTAGTTTCTAATAGAGCTGTTCTCGAATGCCACTTTTGGGCATGCAGAAGATAAATGAAATTTAACCATAATGCGAGTACGAAAGAGGGTCATCGTGACCTATATTACTCCGTTGTTAGTGTAAACGAGTATGTTAGTTCTATCGTTTATGATTTTTGTCAGAATATGTCTCAGTCCACTAATACGTCTGAAAAGTAGACGATTTCAGCTTTTTGGGCTCAGTGGTTGGCATACTGAAAGTGGTCTGTTTTGACAGACATAAGTGTTTGAGCAGTAATTTTTTATTAGCTTTTCACTTAATGAGTCCGAAATCTAGTCTAGCCATGAAGAGATATTAAGCCAACTTCTTTTGGTTATACAGCTCATAATTCTTAATGCCCATAGACATCACACCTAATGTTTGAAAAAGTCTAACTGTTTCCAAAAGACTGTCTTCAACCTCACCACACTGTTGGAAATGCCGAAACAATACTCATCTCACTTCCTGCATAGACTTGGTGAGCTAGGATCAGTTTACTTCATACGTCAGTGTAACTAGCTCAAGCAATTTCATCATCAATATTATCAGTTGATAACCAATATATTGACATGAAGATCAAGCAACCTTATCATATAACAGGAATCAAACACCATAGTAAATAATGTTGAAATCTGATTTTTTCGCTTTTAATTGCACCACTCTGATAACTAGTTATTTTTCTATTACGACATTTTTTCCGACTGATTATTTAGATTATTAGATACTCTTTCTAGAACCTGACAATATTTAAGATGGTTTTCAGTAAGTAATTATTAAAAAAGTTAACATAGCATTCTTAGGCGCATCTTAGAAATTTCATACTGAAATGAATAAATGAACAAGTGAAGATATGAAATTTGCATTGATAACACTATCAGTGAACTCACTTCAGTACGTTGGTGCTTCAGAGAACTTTGAACTGCTTTGTTTATTGATAATCTAATTTCAGACAGTCATCAGTGATATTTCAAGTCGTAGTAGTTTAATGTCTAGTCATTAAAACAGGTAACATTTTAAAGGTGAAAGCCTCATAGACTGATTTCATTTTCATAAGTTAATTACATTTTAGGCCATGTATGTATAGTATCACTCATAATATACATGTATACAAATTCCTACAGTAAGATATCAGCTCTGAACATGAAAATGAGGAAGACATCTCCCTAATCGACAAAATCTTAACATCTGCATCTTAGTATTTGCCTAAACAATTTGAAACATCTTTGCATGCAAGTGTTTTACCTCGAGATTTGGGTTCAGTAAGCGTTTACGATAGTTGAAAATCTAAGGATAACGATTAAGCTACATTAAAATGATCGATTCTCTTAGAATTCAACAACAACACGACACATCAACACCCGGCGGCTAATAGAGAAGGGAGATGAATTGTGTAGAACTTAAGATTTGAGGTAGGACAAATAGTACAAGGCAAATCAGCACAACTTTCGTAACTAAGCCACTACACACAACCTTCATGCGTACAGAAATTTAGCAAACTAAAAACAGTCATAACCGATCATAAGCGAATTTCATAAAGAGAAATGAATTAGAAGAGATATACAAGCGTCTGTCATTTTTAAAAGGATTTAAGGATTGTTAGTGAAATTTGATTATTCTTTTGGTCATTTTGATGCTTTAAAGTTTCCGGATTTATTATTATCTCTATGACTTAGGTTTACCTGATTTATTAGCTAAGCATTTCTTTCAAACACCATCCCCATTTCAATTGCTTTAAAACGACGATTAAGAGACTATTACCTTAAACATATATTTGTTAAAATAAATAGCTATTATGATAGTTTAAGATAATGTTATGCAACAAGCTTTATAATATCGAGGTAAGGTAAAATAAATCAATGGAAAATATTTTTCATCATGTGCTTGCATTCATTTATATCCATGCTCCTTCATTACGACCTTTTTCAGAGATATTCACTAATGTGGTAAATCGAATTTGCAGTGACATCACACAACTATCCGGAAAATAACCGGTTGAAATGCCTGAGACTGAAGTTTTCAAATAAAGAACTGATTACAAACGACGGACGACTATTGACTAGAAGGGTGCAAATACTTCTTCCTGGTTTGTGCACATAAACACTCACAAGAATAAAATGTAGGAGATTGGCATCAACATGTTCATACATACTGATAATAATAATGATAATAATAATAATAATAGTGATAATAGTAATAATAATAATAATTATACCAACGTTTTGAATTCAAAAATCGACTTTTCAGTTGGTCATATGCGTGGTATCAAACTTGGTAAACGAAAGTGGAATGAAATAGTTGCAAAATGACATGAATTATCTGATTCTTTATAGAATGCATTGCTTTAAAAAAAAATTGAAACGAAACAGATACTATTTAATGAGATGTAATTTGTTGAATTTTTATGTTACCCAGTTTATCATTAAGTTTCCAATAAAAATTAACATAGTCCATTTACTGACATATAGTTGAAATATGTATTACAGTAACGATAATAATGTCTAATCTACTGATGAGATGACCGATAGTAATGAACTTATTTCATCTGTGCACAAAGAAAGAAACATATTGTAAAACAAATTAATAAAACGACTGAATATATATATATATATATGTATATATATAAGTTAAGGGAAACTTACTTGGCTGAAAATATTTTATAGATAACTTCTCTGGTAAAAGTATCATTTCTCAAATCAAAATACTTCCTAATTTAGTAGTAGTGTGGTGCTGTGTTGCGAACTACTTATAAGTAGTATATAGCGTGAGTGTCAACGTGAAGTCTGGTAGCATAATATGGGGGGAAGATCAAGAAAGGAAGAGTCAGAAAACAATGGAATTTGTATGAAACGCATGAAGAGTGACAATGGATTGATGTTTGGCAACAGGAACAGTCCAGTTCCATAGGATGAACTGATCTTTTGCAAATGAACGATTTACGATATGGTTTTCCGATTTTACTGACTAACTCTGTAATTTTCGTTAAATACAATTCGGTTGCCTCCACCTGTGTTCTCATTCACTACAGTAGTAGTGCTTTGAATAAATAGTGTATTGTATAAGCAACATTTTAATGTCCTTTTAGTCAGCCATAAGAAATGTATCCCTGGAAATTTCCGGTAAGTATACTTTTTAGGAACAGTGCTTTCAGAAGATAGCTAGTAAACAAGGCCAGAATTTGGTGAGAATCGTTGTTTATTTAATTCCAGAATACTTTGTAACGTTTATCACATGTGTTCTCTTTGTAACCTAGTCAATGGTTGACATAAGGAAACAGTCCATAAAGATGGAAGCACATATAGAAACGAGAAAGCCTTTCGAAGATAACCAGTCATTAATAAGGCTATCAGGCTAATTTTCTATTTTTAGAATATCTATAAAATGTTCATTTGTATTTGAAAAAGATGCTGACAACTCCATGTAAATCGACAAGTGAACAACCATGCTTATAAACAATCTCACCTAAGAGATACCTTTTCCTATAAATGAACCCAGATTATTCATTCTCCACTAGTAAACTAATGCCAACAGTCCACTGCAATATAAGTCTTTACCTTCTTTTAGTACAAATACAAAACTCAAGTCTGAATAAAGATCATTTCAAAATCGATTATCAACGACAAACTAAAATATCATACCGTCATTCAAATTGAATAGATCCGCCTGCTTACGAAGGAATTCTTGTTTGATCGTTTCATGCAAATTGAACACATTCATCGTATGCAAATATGATCTAAATTTATTGTTTTCAAAAAGTATAGAATAGAACAAAGAGATGACAGTTGCTTAGTGTATTTAATAGCGACTATTAGATGAAACATTTTATGGAGAATATAATCACGAATACTTTCCACATCATTCCTCATTCTGTATAATTATTTAAGAGAGTTTTATAAACTGATGTATGAAAGTAAACAAAATCGCTGTTGAACAAGCTGAAAAATCCGATATTTTAAGTGAGAACCGTGATAGAACTTCTTATTTTGTAGGTGGGACATAATTGTAACACCGAAATAAAACATTTGAATTAAGCTTCCCTCTGCGTCAGTATTCCTTTAAAAATAACTTATCAAAAATAAAAATAAAATTATATTTAGTAAAATCTTAGCGATTTAAAATAACTTCCTCTGTTGTTTGGTTCGATCGAAACGCAATTATTTTGATTTCAGTCGCTTAGATTTTTATGAATATAATGTAGTCATTAATGTCCTATACTAACTCAGCACCCAGCTGTTATATAACTATCAGTGGAAATTCAGATCAAAGTTCTTAATATTAGCAATGTATTATTGAATATTATTACGCAACTTTATAACGTCATTAGCCTATTTTAATTTGAAAAGTCTTTTCGCCGCAGCGTAGCTATTGCTTATTTCGGTAAACGGCATTGTTTTTATCAGTGTATATAGTATGTTAATGGTAGGTATGTGACACGCAATATTTAAAGATTTGACTAATACTTTTCAATAATCCAATCTTGATAATTACTTTCTTCATAAAAGAAACATACACTTCAGCTTTTCTGAAAAAGGACATGTGTTATCAGTTATCTTTTAGTTATAAAACAGTAATTTCACTACACTAATATCATGAACTGATTCAAGTTGGGACAGGAACAATTAATTATAAACTTAATAGTCTCAAAGTTTAAAGTTCGTTTCATAACAGGATTTTGAGTAAGCACCACTGCACATTATCATACTATAACGAAATAAGTGTTCCATGTTCACTCATTTTAAATGGTTTTTTGGCTTACATCATCATCAATCAACTGAAAACCGGTTCTGTACACTGAAAAAAAAGGTTGTGATAGCATTATTTTAAGCTATTTTTAAACTTAAATGGATTAACGATAATTGGTTGAATAAATTATTCAGATTAACTTGAATAATCATCGTTCGAAAAGTAAATTTTACCACGTAGACAACCAATTTTACTATATTTTTTAAAGTCTTATTATTAATAACTGACTATTTGTTAATAATCTGAGTAAATTATTATATGCTTACCTTTTTTACCGGACCTGAGTGATCAAAATCAGGATATTGGAACTATTCGAAAAGTGTATTGTCACTAACATACACTAAAAGAGGTTTTCAACAACTACCGCTCATAAACGACATCTATTCAAACCAGGATACCCTTTAATTTAGATGGTATATGGTTCATGTTAAATAGATGTATTGTTTATTTTATTCGAAAATGACAATTTGTGCAAGTTTGTAACATTCAAACTGTGCTCAGTTTATCTACCGCAATTAAAATCGACCGATTTCTTCTCATAAAACATGCACATTTTTATGCATCATCATTATATGTGAGAATGATGAGTGAAATTTTTAATGAAAACTAAAATTATGGATGGCTACAGTATATTTATCACCTGATTTTATGTTCTATCGTCTTAGATACAAAGTTTGACTTGAATCATTAATTCTACATATTGTATCTTTGAATTTCAATGAAATTCAATTTACTGTCATAAACCTGAATGGATTATTTTAATCGATTTATCAAATGAGTTCAAGTTTGTCAATTGAATTAATTAAAGATGACTTACTAGTATGAAATAGAATGCAGATAAATTAGGCTGACGTAACGGATATAAAAAGGTAACGTAGATCAAGAATCTATTTTCTCAATGAAGTTAATTTTTAGATAGTACACTAAGATTATCGTTTATTAATCGTCAAAATGATCATACAAAAATACAAACATTTTAATTTTTCTCAATAGTTTAACTAAGAAAGAAATAAAATTTCATACTTACTTCAACTGATCGTATGTTGTCGAAGAAGATACTTTAGTTGAACTTTGAAAAATAAAACAAAGGAGGTATTGTTTAAAAAAGCAATTAAAAATCTAAATTAAAACAACTCCTCATCACTCATAGACACTTACTGGTCTACTTGGAGTTATGGACATAAAAAGTGGAGTTAAGTAATTTTGAATATTAATCATTTAAATAATTTGTGTTACTATTTCTTGATTTGAAATATCTGCAAGGGAAATATGATTAAAGTGAACAGGTTCAGTGTTGACTGGATTATACTTGGTTTATGTTGATCAATATGAAATGGATACTTTTGTTGTGAAATTTGGATGACAAATTCGTTTAAAGCGAAAGTTAAAATTGTTAAGTACGATCCCATTTTGAAATAAACAAATTTTAAAATATCTCTATTAATGTTAGATTTTAAAAACTAGCAAACAGGTTTTTGATTCTGTTTCAAATGTATGAGAAAGTTTCCATATCATTTCCAAAAACTTATTCAAGATGAAGTCGTGAACAACTTCCCAGTACTTAAGTAACAAACGGTTACGGTCTTTATACCGGGCAATCCTTCTATCTAACTGAACTATCTCTGTTCATTGGCAACATTTGTGACTCCGAAAAGGAAAAGAAACACTGTAAACGGTTTTCTTTCAAGGGTACAAATATATTAGATTCAGACAAAAGACTTGTGACACAAAGTGCCGTATCCTAAATAACTGTTTATTTAGTAATTAATACTGACTATACTGAAGATGGTGAGTATAAGAATTCCAAGAAAGAATATTTTGTTAAAAAGTACTAAAACTCTTATCAGCCTTTGAAAATTATCATAGATTTCATGATTCTCTTTTTGTACGATGACCTGATTTGCGTGCCTCAAAGAGAGGTAACCTCTCATTAATAACAAAAATGCTAATATACACCTTGCATTCATAATCAAAGGGAATAAACATTACAATAATAGTTGGAACACAGTGATTTGAAATCAAAAAAAGATTTTGAACAAATGGGTTTTTGTCACAGCTTAATATCAGTACAAAAACAATTACAAATCTATTAATATACAAGATCACAACATCAGGCTGATAATATCTATTAAGGAAACAAGACCCAATAAACTGCTTTTGAATTAAAAAAAAATTATTTTTGCACTGTAAAAATAAAATAATATCACTCCAGAACTTAATTAGGACAAAGAATATGAGCCAAATAAATAAAGGTTTGCAGTTTGAAAAACTAACTTCTTCCCTATTAACAATCTCACACAAATCTGTATAATATTGTTGCATCATTAATGTTGCGATGTACGTCTATTTTGCGTTGTTACTTCAATTTTACTTAGAGACTACAAATTTAAGTAAACATATTAAGTAGATGTTTACTAATTTACTCACTATTGAGCTAAACACTAACAGCAACCCTGGTAGCATCTTAATGGGTATATATTCCCACTCAAAACCAAACAACTGTCTAATTTGCTTGTTCATCCAAAATAAAATTGATTAGTTGTGATAGATGTTAATAATTTGTGGCTGTTTACAAAAACTGTTTATATTCTGATTGTTTACAAATTAGATACATATTCTTGTAGAAAAGATTTATAATTTGTTGAAAATAGAGTGAGAGTGAAATTTCATCAAGTGTGATTCAGCTTCTCGTTCAAAATTCAGAAATGATTACGAGAGAATCTACATCTACTTGAAATCAAGTGAGATGCCTACACAAACTGGTCTACACTTGACAACTATCAAAAGAATCCTTCTGGATTTCACTGTAAAATTAAGCCAATCAATTGAATTACATAACATTGTTGCTAGAACAGAATTATCGTCAGTCAGTCTTTAATTTTGGTAGCTATTAAGGTATGTTCTTTTAGTGCATATTTTTTAAGTAATAATCAGCATCGATAAGCCAACTACTACAGAATCCGACTGCCATTCCAAATAATGGGTATTTTAATTTTGCAAAAAGATTTGAAGTATCTGTGTTCTTTATGTTGTAAATATTATCAACCTCGATGCTAAAAGCATGAAATCTTGATCCAGCTACACAAAATGAAGTAGTTTTCTCTCATTCAAGGATCTTAGTATGCATTTTTAATTGAGATTATATATCTGAGTGCCAAACTATATGAAAGTTGAAGTTAGCTCGTGTAGCCTTCGCAAAACAGTCCACACTGGTTTTTAAGATATATTATATACAGCGCCCTATTAGCTAAACATAACAAACTACGCAAAAATGTAGAAAAGACTGAATTATATCACGAGTTCTGTGTGTAGGTGTGCGACTACAACGAGACATGAAAAGGATTGAAATTAGAAAGCCCTCAGTACAACAATTTATCAGACATGAGTTAACTGTTCGCCCACAAAGCGTTTTCATTTATGAAATCACTAACGAGAAGTCAGATTTAATGAAAGTACTAAATAATTTATATATATCTTGCTAGTTACTTGATTAGTTGAATCTCCATTCTGACTTTCTATCTCTGCTGACTTCATTACATAGATCTATCAATATTTGTTACAAGATTATTAATTTGTTCCATTAATTTTTATCTACATACATAATGAGTTTATCCCTATCCTATATTGATATAATCTTATCCGAATGAAAATAAACTGGGTTTTAATTAGGATTTTGATGTATTTAGATTTCTTGGCATTGAAGAGGAAAAATATACAAAAATCATTTAACAAATGAAAGATAGTAAGAAACACTAAAATAAATCAGTCTCCACAAGGTCAAGGACACTAGCAATTTAAGTTTAGATAGTGTAGTCACATTTTGAAAATACTTTACAACAAAATGTTAGAGGGAAATTTCGTTTTATTTCTCTAAAACTCATTATTGTATGGTTAGTTTACTTAACCCATAATCAGTCATTGTGGTACAGATACATAAAATCAATATTTAATATATATATATATATATATATATATATATTTATACACATGGGTGTTCGCGTGTAGGGATGTAAGTAAGCACATTGGTAGATAAGTATATGTTTGTGACTTGTTTATCAGAGTTGCTTATAAGTGATAATCTTATTAAAATATTTTTATTAGTTCCGCCTTTTTTGTCCTCTGGTTACTACGCTACAGGCTAGATCAGATGTGACCTTTACCAATCTAGTATTTTTTTCAAGTTGTTGGTGAGGTAGGTCTTTTAATGATGAAGGCCTGTAATGATGAAGAAAGTTTCACAGAACATTATGGTAAATTTCATCCTTAAAGGAATCTATCGGTGCATTTGAAAATCCATATTACAGTTCATGTGTTGTATGATAATTACTAAAATATGCTATGTTGCTACTAAGCTGACTGCAGTAAGACGAATTCGACACCCTTTGCCTTACAGCAATACTTGAAAAACCGAAGAATCATGTCTTTCATATTCTAGAAACCAAAATCAAGATGGTTTGTTTACCAATGAGTAAATAGATATTCAGTTTCGGTTTAAAGAATACTTACCACTTTCAAGATTTCAATTAGTGATAAATCCTGTCAGCTATTTGAATCACAGAGTTTGGTCGTATGTATTCTTTCTGATGAATTTAATATATAGAACATTAATACAGAACTAGTAGGAAAACTATTTCCAAACTTTTAGGAATAATCAGTGAACAAGACATGATAGTGAAATACCTAGAAAATTCAGAATAAGCTTTTGCCAGAATATTACACCACACTGTCTCAGTTTGTGGTGCTGAACTTATGCCTTTGATTGCAAAGGAAGATCTAACCAGTAGACTGTAACTTAACATAGTAGTAAGTCCGATTTGGTGTCTTCATTATTATTTTCAATAGAATGAATACTTTAAGGTTCTCGATTTCGAAATTTCGTGATTATGCCGTTATTATTTAGGAAACTCAAATGTAATAAACACTTACATTTCCTTCTACAAAATTTCTAAGTATTATTGACCAGAAGCAGACACTAAATGGCATCGAAATGCTTATACAGTAACTACTGATGTGTTACAAGTTTTATGATTGCTATCTAAATTACACGCAGACATATGAGCATGAACATACAAAATAGACAATGTTACTCAGTGGACTAAGATAAACAAGCCTTACTTTGAAAATACTCAGAATAATATGCAAATAATAAACCGATATGCCATGACCTGATATTATTTCATAATTTACAATTTTCATTTACGATTTTGTGTACTATATAATATTGAGTTCATTGATGCAATTATGATGTATATTAGTGAATTTTATATTAATCTCACAGTGGAGAATCTATTTCAATAAATGAACAATAAACCCAGCAAAAATAAGGAAGCAGCCATTTATTACTAACTGGATTTCTAACTGAAATAATGAAACTATTTAGTAGTTGATTATCTATTGTGAAATTCAAATCAGACATAAATAATTATTGTTCAACTCACTCATATGATGATTCCTCTGCTTTTGAACGTGCCTCCTGTAAAGATTGGAAGAAGCAAGCATTCCAGAACCGCAAAGATTGCCATATTGGTTGACTTTTGATATAAACGAAAATAAAAGTTCGGTCCGTAGAAACTGATGGATCTATAAGTTTTAAAGATTTACCGTTTAAACGTGATAAAAATAACAAATATATGAAATACCTAGAAAAATAAAATGTTATATATCATTTGGCATTACACTTAATTAGTTAAAGATGGGATAAATAAAATCAATCAATAAACTCTGTTTAATGTTTCAAAGTAATGTTAATAAGTGTCAATTGAAATGCATGGAAAATTAATTTATCTTGAATAAATAATAATAGATGTCAGTGATATATGTTAAACTTACCGTAAGTATAAAACTTCAAAGATATGGTGAGAAGTTTCTTAGCTGGTTGAAAGTCTTCAGCATTTTGACATTCTACTAGTAGTAAACTAATTTGATCCAGTAGTTTTGGTAATGCTTGTAAATCAACCAAACCCTGTGTACGACGAGACTGTTGGTAAGAGAAGATAAAAAAAATTAAAAGTATATCAATTGTCAAATGAAAAATATCAAATAACCGTCCATAAATGCACAAAGAAAACTTTTGTTTTGGACTGATGTAAGCGATAGAATTCTTGACAATAAAGATAACTAGATAGATCTTTTATTCTCTAGTAAGGGACCCTTTCCCAGCGATCACACATTAACCCGCACACTATCATACCAAAGATTGTTGAGTATTTATGTGACTTTAATAACAAATAAAGGATAAACAATTTATTAATATAGCCCGGTGATTATGTCATACCTTAGATGATTACTACTGTTTTATTCACAATAATTGAATATTTCAAAAATGAACTAATCTTCACAAACTATATGTGTGTGTATATCTGAGAAAATTTTGTATTTCTTCATGTGTTAAGCAAGAAATCAGTCAAATTTTTCTGCATAGAACGTGAAAATATGTCAGTATGCAAAAGTATAGTCAATTGACTACCAACTCTTTTGTTGTCTTTCTTTATCACAAATATGATCAAAACCCAAAGGAGGAAATATTATTTACGAAAGAATTCCAATATCAAATTGAAAACAATAATATTTTCGATTAAAAACTGACCACCCGTGAAATATGTCAATAGGGTATGTACAGAGTGAACTGAATTTTAACAAGTAAATAGTTTTGTTTTTGATCATTCGTATATAATTAGAATAATCTGTCAATCTTACAGTTTAAAAAAAAAACAACAACGAAATGTAATGCTTGTAATGATAACAATAATTTTCAACATTCAATAATGAAGGAAAACAAATGAATGAAGAAAAACAATTCATTGAATTCGTTTGTTACTTTCATTGCTCATTACCAATGATATTTTTGCGACAAATTTTGCTCGAAACAATCGTTTTTTGTTCCAATATATTCTTCTCTAATTTTAACTCTACCATTAGATTTGGTGTAATCAAATGATTCGATAATGATTTGGATTGTAATTTTCGTTGAACGTTATACTCAAATCGCTATAAATTTCCTAAATAAAATTCAATACTTATTGACAATTGTATCAAGTGTAATGTACTGTTCAAAACTGAGGTTCGAAATGTTGCCTGCAACATATCCAATTAGTAGTTATCCATAACTTTTTAATTTACGAAGTAGAGTATAATGATTATGCAGAAAGGTAGTACAGGTTATCTAGAATCATAATATTTATGAATAAAAAACCTAAAATACCAACAAAAGTATATCATTATTGTTCAAAGTATCTAATTAAAAACCACTCAGTAGCCCTTATGTGAGTAAGAAAATTAAAGGAAAATACCAAATTTCGGATCGACTTACTTCTTGTTCTAGTGCATTAACAAATGCAATCCTCCCAATTGGTGTCTGTCCATGAGTGGATGCACAGAAGTATGAAAACGATGGTAAAAGAAACAAAATAGAAGTAATGTCAGTTTTATGGAAATCTTATTATCAACAATTTGGTAAATGTAATCCACTACTGAAAATCAAGGAAAAAAACATTATTTGGAAATTAATTTATTTCAATTATTTCCTTAAAAAAAGCATTTAATTAATATAAAGCGATAGAAACTAAGCCAGGAGATGTGCTAATATCCTATATCATAGAATATCAAACTTTTGATTACACTAGTGAAAGTAGTTATTGGCTTCTAATTCAGGCGTTTAGCTTATAGTTCACGCTACTCGTTTTTTTTTTAGACCAAAGTAGATAGAATTAGGTTTGAACACAAAGATAGACATAGACGTATCACAAATTATTCAATTTAGCAAGCTCTTCATTACGAGCAAGTTTCATATGACACCAATCATGAAGAAGTAATTAATGAAGGTCAATTTTAAAAAGTTAGTCAAGTTTTGTTTGAATAATAAGTAGTTAAATTTTACAAAATACGGAATGATACTACTATGAAATTCAAACATTTCAATCAAAGAATAGAGGCTGCTGAATTGAAACTAGGCAGATTGTAAACTAAGAGGATAGGAAATTTTTATTACTTTGATGGAATAATTAAAATATTATTCACTTAATATTTCAAAAATGTTGGACACCGAAATATTGACAGTCAGTCAACAAGGTCGGTACCATTCGGCAAGACAATTTTTTAATTTTAAGATCATTTAAATCGAGGAAATAAAAAATTTTGGTTCACTTGTTCGAGACACAAGGTATCGCTTTCTTTCTACTTCAGGTTAGGATTTTTAGTATAAAAATTCACACTACCTGTACATTGATCACTCTCGCATCAACAGAAATAAAATAGGCAAAAACTATAATGACAAGGACATTTTTTATTTTTCGGAATATGGCTTTTCTTCGAAGCTGTAAAATCCTTTTTTACAGTAAATGAAAAATTAATGAAAACTGAATTAGTTGTGATGGTAAGCTTTATGCAAAATTTTATGTAGGAAAAGAATGTTCTAAGTGCAAAAATGTTGAAAAAGCTGATAAATGGGTTATGTAATAGGAGATGATGTGGATAAATTAAAATAAATATAAGTTATCAACACATAAAAACTAATTGATCTTGTTCTTATGACGGGTCTAAAGGTACACACACTTTTTGTAGCTAAATGTAAGGTTAAAACTTAAGAATGAGAAATGGTCCTGCTATGTATGGTGAAGTGAGATTAAAGGTGATGATATGAGAAAGAAGATATTCAATCTTGTATCAACAACATATCACCGCAATTTTTACGCGTAGTAGCAATGATGAAATACAGGTTGATTCATCTTTTTGAGTATATAAACATTCCAGTGACAAATCCAAAAAGAAAATAATTTTATCAGCTTCTATTTTCAAGAGTCCAAAGATAATTTCAAATGAATAGATTAAGGTATTTCTAAAATATCAACAAACCGCACAAACGGAGTTAATATTTGTTATACATATCTAGTTGTATAGACTATTTAACTAGGATAACGTCCATTGAAACTGTAATCTATGTGCTAAAAGTACAATATATTTTTAAAATATATTGACTAACTATCTAGTATATTAAAAAGTCAATCTTGGTTATTTCTGACCTCAAGATAACTAGTCATGATTCAATGAAAGAAACAATTTATTCCTCTTAGTTGTATCAATCCTGACACAACATAGATCAGTTAAACGCCAAACTAGAAAATTGTTTGTTCAGCGTTCAAAGTTTCCTCTCTGGGAGATTTGTTCAGAAAAAATTTTACAGGCATTATTCGCTTATAAATTAAACTTTACTTACTCGATCGTTCATGAAAAGTCGATTCACAAGCGAATAACTGCTTTTAGTTCAAAGCTTCTTAATGCTTTAAAGTGAAATGACAATTGTTTCTTTTAATTTCGGTTTTTCATATCATGTGATGTCACAACTAATCCACGTTATAAATTTTGTACAGAATTTATAAAAACAAAAAACAACCAAGAGAATCAATCAAAATAGTTGACTTACAATCAACAACTCTTGTAATTCATTTTCCTTACTCTTTAGATAATCTGATCTAATTGCATAAAACAAACGAAGAATTGATCACTAAATAGCTGATCAGAAAATAATAAGAATTATAATATAAATTCTTAAGGAACAGATTCTAGTAGTTAGTTTATTTCAAATCACTTTATATCTTTGTTAGAAAAAAAAGTGTAAATCGGTAAATGAGTTTAATGAAGAAACTTTTTTTAGGCTTAATATATCTCAGGCAAGAATATAATTCTGTCCACTTCGTAAGTCAATGTAACTATAATTTAATTTAGTCAGAAACAGGGCAATCTCGTTTTATGATTCCCGATAGTTTTTCAATAAATGTTGAACATAAAGACAACATTTCTCTCGGACTGATATTAGCTAACATAATTAAAAATGAAGAGAAACCGATTCATATCATTTTTACTTCTGAAAAAAGCTGAACTTCAGCTTACGGTGCTTATCTCAAGAGTTAGACATTTAACTCCAAACACAAAACATGAATTTCGAAATCCAATTGTTTACATTTCGAATTGCTATGTAATAGGGTAATTAACTAGTTCTGTGGCTGATAGTTTTCATGATTTTTCAAAGTAAGTTACATATGAAGATCAAAATCGTCAACACCTTGTGTTTATTTAATCACCGCTTACATACCATTAGATCACAACTTACTACTGAACATCAGAGTTCATTCAAAATTAACATTAATGTCTACGTGTAGTGCACAATATTTCATTTATTTGAAGAAAATTTGAATCGAGGTTTATTTTTATAAGGAACTATTTCCTGCATTATTTTATAAAAAAAAGAGAGTTATCACTTTAAATGAATTAATTTCTCCAAACGATTTCGATTGTGTCAGTTAATCCCATTCCAGTTTTTCTCATACTGTGTTATATACTAGTAGCAATGTGGCTTATAAGTAGTGTACAGCGGATTGTAGCCCAAAAGTTACTATTAAAGGAGAAGAGTTACGGATACGGATATTTGGCGTGATCACAATGTTTTGAAAACTAGAAGACGTCTAAAAGAATCTGTTTGTTTTGCAAATGGAAGTTTGAAGATTAGGTGTTCACACTGAGCTAATAAACTGTCTTCTTTATGCAAAACACTCATCCTTCTGGTCATAACATCTCCGTTCACTACAATAGAATATGAACTGTTAGTATGATCATTCAATAAAAGGGGAAACTGAGTAGCTAAATAATAGAATATCTCTTTTTAAACTGACGTTGTAGAATTAAACATTATGAATCTCATAATTTTAATCCAGGCTTTGATAGCTCGTACATTTAAGACTAATGGGATAATTAAATGTGAGGCTTATAAATTAACATAAGACTACCTGGGGTAACAACTATTGCCATAATTCAGAAACACATTAGTAGATGAGGTAATGTGGATGTTGAAAGCACATATTTGTCAGCGACAAATTATATCGACCATAGAGTTTGAGCTTTTTGTGAAAGTGGATAAAAAGAAATTGGCCTTGGTTAACATAAATTGAAATCTAGACTATTAATTTTTAAAAACAAATTACACCTAACTAGAATAACTATACAGTTAATTATTATTTCGATTCCCGCCGATTGTCAATAGACTGTTCTAAGAGCATAAATATACATTATCATTGTATCATTTTAAACTTACCGGCCTATTATCAAAGCTGATGTATATAAATCCATAAATTCTTGAACCTTTTCTTTACTAGATGTATTTGGCAGAGTTGAACTTGGAGGAGTAAGTGCTGTTTTATCTTCTGATGATATACTTTGAGTTCCAAACGATTTTATTGTAGAGCTAGTTTTACCGCTTACTGTGAGTGTTAAATCTGTTTCCTGTCTATAAATTGGTTGATCACCGTTTTCTCCATACTCAGATGCTGAACTGTTTTCATCTTCCTCAATTACAGATGCGTTAGGCTTCTGTAGTTTACGTGATTCGTCGATTGACTTTAATGGATGGCCGCGATCCTTTCCAGAATATTTTGTTTTTTGATCATCTAACTGCTCATCTAATGATTGATTTTCCTTTTCTCGAGATGAAGATGACTTCATTTGTGCAGAGAGATTTGTTTCATCTAAGCTCATAGCTCTACTCAATGCTGCACTACTTGGAGGGGGTGGTCTGGGTGGACGTGGAGTATTTTGCGTACTTTGTCGTCTCAATGTGCTACCACTTGATAGTTGGTGGGATTCTACAGATTGAGATTCATGACTTAACAAATTCGGGGCATAACTTGTCGACTTCCCCGTCTGCGGCTTATCTAAATCCATTGTAGCTTTGTCATTTAAAGGGGCCTGTGAAGTAAAATTTATGGTCGAATCAGTGACATCTTGATCAAAACAGGACGTTTTGGGAATACTTTCTGGTGTATCATCTTTCCGAGTTACATCTTTACTATCCGAACGAATCACTGAGGATCCACGAACAACATGTTCCAGTTTACCAACAGAAACTTGTTTGATTGAATCAAGTTTGCCACTGATATCTAGTTTTTGATTTAGATCTGATACAAGATGACCTGTTTTAGCATTCACACTTTCGAAAATTCGACTTGGTGATGCAAAAAATGAATTCATCCCAGGTGATTCACTACCTTCAGGAGTTGGTGAGTCAGTATGAATCTTTTCACTGTCGAAAGATATACGTCTTAAGAAATTCCCAAAACTCATAATTCTTATTCAATTTTTAGACAGTAGTATTCGATGCAAGGACAAATAACGGTCTCAAACAAACCAAGTTTATTGACTCACGGTGTGAAGTGGATATAAATCAAAACTTTTGAGTTTTTTTACCAAACCCAGTTGAATTTTTGTGGAATGACTTGTTCCACCGACCAATTAAATCATTGCAGTCAAGGTCAACTTTTCTTCCCGTTTGCTTAAATTTGAGAGAAATCAATTAGTAAGGGACTAACAATTTGTTCTCTCTATAAATTGAACGACAGGAGAGCTAATAGATGTTAAGTAAGGAATAATTTCTCCCCTTTCGCAATCGATACATGAAATTTGGTTTAAAAGCATGAAAGCGATTTCTTTACAATTCAAGACATATTTTGTAATAAATATTCATATTTCCCCACTGGCTTTAAAGGACTGGACCGCTGAAGAGATTTTTTATTATCTGCTAATAAATTCAGTAAAATAGACCTAATCTAAAAAGTAGCAATCATCATTCCAGCGTTAAGTCTAGCACTGTAACTAAATGCTCCCTTTAGATTTTGAGGGAATATTTGAATGACTGGGTTATGTATTTTAGTCAGAATCATACTTTAGTAATGTTCCCTTAATGAGATTTTTGGCCAGGATTCTTTCTATGAAGAATTAATGTGAGACAAAATTTCATCTTTATACTTTGGTTGACTAGAACAGAAAACTATACACAAACCTACAGTACCATCATTTCTTTGTGCAAAACACTTAACATAATGAACTTTACTATTATAATTTCTGTGGGATTGTATAAATTTTCCTCTCTTTTTTGTTTTTTAAACTAGTTCAATAGTGGTTAAAATGGTATATATGATTTTTTATTTCTCGATGTAGAACACGATTGCTTCGCAGATCAGTCAGACAGACGTGCAGGTAAATATACTAAAAGTCTGGAGTTTTAGTTTAAGGACGAAACAGCTCTCCACTGCTTTACGTTCTAAATTGGATTTCTAACCTGATTCGGTTCGTCAAATCAACAACACTCAGTGATATACATAAATCTTTGTACTGATAATTATCATTTGGTCACATGTGACTAATTTCTCGAACTCTAGCGAGAACCGTGACCAGTGGGGTTCAACCAAATATGGTATGCATCAGTCACCCACCAATGGTTTCTGAAGAGGGTTGCTCATTATCGTGGATTGATTGAAGTTACACACATATATCACTTTGTTCTGGCTCACTGGTCTAGAGGTTAAACACATGTGAGTGCAGTTCATAGATTCGACCACTTGCGGTGAGGTCGTGATGAGCACTACTGAGGGGTTATGTATTAGGCCAAAAAAATCATCCACAGATTCACGGTTTCCATGGGATGTCTAGCTTAGGTCAGTTCGAGATGTAAAAACCAATGAATACCTGATATAACGGAGTAAATATTGAGCGAAGCTAAACTTGTGGAACTGGTCTACCAAATTTCATTATTTATAATTTCTTTATGTTATAATCAAATACCTAAATTATTGTACTTTCTTGTAGCTTAGTTGTAGACCCCTGTTTGATACATGAGTCGTTTCGTTACCCTACTTAAGTTAGTGTTAATTAATTATGGACCTGTTATTTAGTTCTTTCTACTAATATCATAGTTGCACCTATGCTAGAACTTCTGATACATGCTAATGTGATTAAGACTTTATTTCTTTTATTTAATGAACTGAGTCATTAAACTAAACTGTACTTTGAGAAATCAAATACCGTTATATATATATTACGATCCCGTCCCAGTACATTGAGAGAAATCTGTTCTTTGTGCTGTCATATCAACAGGTTTGATAAACTTGTAGATATACATTTTTCATAAGTACTAAAAATCACCACTTCTAGTTCTGACTTCCATTTGGAATTAATTTTTACAATCTGACTTAGTAGGTGCATTGATTATCTTGTTTAACAGACCAATGAAAATGATGAAATTATTCGCCTTATTGTTTCTAAACTCGTGAAAACTGAACTAAAATCAATTTTTAACATTCATGTTTCGACAACCTTTCCACTGAATTCTACAGTAAGTCATAAAATATCTTGACTTCGGCAGTCAGCTTGAAATCAACTTGAATAAATTCGATACATCAAAAAGTATCGTTAATTTGGAATCAAATAGTATAATTAGAACATTTGTCCAATAATTCTGCATTTTGTCGTGATATTTCGATCAACCTGGGAAAATAAAATGAATTCTTAGCATACATAGATCGACCATATATTCTGATCTATTAGCAGTGGTTTTTCATTTCCGAGTTATAACTTGTTCACATCACTTTGATGTCAGGAATTATATTAGCAAAATGCCACAAACCAAAAGTAAGTTATTTGATGCATATGAGATGACCTACTAATGTTTTTTATTTCATTGACTTCATGAATATGCAGTCTTGTGAATTAACTTATTTGTTTAATAATAACAAAAACAATGATGGTATTGGCTTTATTCCCTAGTGTATGTATAGTATAGTATGAAATTCTCAGCATAAATATTTCAATAAGTTTCTTTTTCGCTTATCATATTGTGGTGCTAGCTACTTATAAGTAGTATATGACCTGTGCGTCAACGTAATGTCTGGCAGCAGAAGATGGGGGAAGATCAAGAAAGGAAGAGTTAGAAAACAATGGAATTTGTATGAAACGCATGAATAGTGACAATGGATTGATGTTTTGCCACAGGAACAGTCCAGTTCGATATGATGAACTGATATTTTGCAAATCAACGATTTACGACATGGTTTTCCAATTTTACTGAGTAACTCTGTAATTTTCGTTAGGTAGAGTACGGTTTCCCTCATCGGTGTCCATCTTCACTACAATATCACAAATAAACAACCAATGCTATTACGCTTAGTGAGCATTTCATAATTTTGTAGTGGAACGCTTCTACGAAGAATTTCTTCACACCACGGAGCAGCGAATTTATGTATATCAGATTACGTCCAACGACTATCTGCGTAGATGCGAATACTGCCTTCGGTGTGAACTCGAATAAAACATCGACAGGTCACTTTCCCTCGAGAGTTATTTACCTGTCCGCAAGTTCTTTTACTAGTAGATTCGGTACTCAACAACCTTACGAAGGATCTTTTCACGTGATCTCTCGTCACGAAAAGACCTTCAAGGTTGATGGACACAGTCAGCATTAATCGTCTCATACCAGCACACGTCAATGACAGTGCCCTACCTGGTAAATCGAGATTTAATGCTGGACTCGTCCAACTCACTAGCGGGGTCCTTATTTTTCCTTCTGATCCCACGTTAGCGAAATCAGAAACCTCATTCACCCGTCCCAGTCAGCAGCACGCGCCATCTGCACTATCTACGGATGAGACTCCGGTCTCACGTCCAGTTCAGCAGACCACGCCGCACTTGACTGCGGATGAGAATGCAGGCTCACAAGGTACGCACGAGGCTACTGTCTCGCGTTCCGTTCGCCGCGTACGCCTACCTGTACGCTTTCTCGAATAACTACCAATCAACCACGGGTTCGGCATAGGATTTTACACTCGTACTACATGCATGCTACACTTTTCTCCCTTTTCTTCTTTTTTTATCCCGAGCCTATACCTTCGACCATTGCCCTGTTGGTACCGTCGACTTCAGTCAACCTTGGCGAAAGCTGACCTGATCACCCACGCTCTTGTCAATGCACTCAGTCGATTTTCTGGTGACGAATATATCTGGTATACGAATGGTTTCGAAATGGTCGTTTCTGGCTCCGCTCAATCTGGTTCCGTCCTACGTCTGCAGCTTTATCTGGTCCGAACGCCTACGAAAGCAATCTTCAGACTCCGGATACGAGCCACGCTGGTGTGGCATGCCAACCCGATAGACAAACTTGGCACATCAACTCGAGCAGCAAACCTGGCACGTTACTACTGGTACAGTCCAACGTAGAAGACTATCGGTGACAACTCGAGCTTCATTGGTCGCTTCCTGTTCGTCAACCCTTCCGCGCTAAAACCAAACGTTGGCCGACCAGCCCCCCGTCAAACGTAGCCGCTATGTATCGAAAGTGTAAACCCTTTCTAGGCGGGGGCTGCTGTAGTGGAACGCCTCTACGAAGAAAATGCGATTTTTAAAATGTGAACATTATTGTATTCGCTGTGTTTAACTGTACCAAAAACACTTCTACTTCTTGCACGCAACGTTCTCTTCGCGTTGCCGCCATGTTTCTTCGTTTGCTGCTCCATATGTAACGCCAACGTTCTCCTTCAATAAACCATGGAGTATTAATTTATTTTGTTCTCCTTTTCGTCACGCAACCGTTTGGAACATTTAGTGGTGGGCATAGTCAAGCTGGTTTCCGGACTCGGTCACTAAAAGGTATCAAAAATTCATTCTCAATTAAATCCTATCAACTACCCAGTCCATGTTAAGATGAAAGCGTCTTTAACCTGATATATACGGACAAAGATTACAGATGGTAACTTTCAGCACTTACTTATGGATAATTGCCATACATATCCTTTCCGTATAATTATTCTGTGACAAGATTATCTATTTATAAAGCGTTTGACAGTCGTATTTAAGTCAGATATCGGATTCCAAAATGATTTTACGACTAGGCATATTTAACATGTATGTGTTAAATACCATAATACACTATTCAGGTTTATTGCCACGCTGTTCATATCTGAAAGGATCACCGAACTAAAGTGATTGTTTATACATTGGTTTAAATATTACAAAAGAATACTTTCAGGAAATTTGCAGGTGGTATAGGCGTGGTGAAAACAGGTTGCAAATGTTCAGTAGTGAAAAGCTAATAAAAAATTACTGCTCAAACACTTATGTCTGTAAAAACAGACCACTTTCAGTATGCCAACCACTGAGCCCAAAAAGCTGAAATCGTCTACTTTTCAGACTTATTAGTGGACTGAGACATATTCTGACAAAAATCATAAACGATAGAACTAACATACTCGTTTACACTAACAACGGAGTAATATAGGTCACGATGACCCTCTTTCGTACTCGCATTATGGTTAAATTTCATTTATCTTCTGCATGCCCAGAAGTGGCATTCGAGAACAGCTCTATTAGAAACTACATCAAATGTGCATTCCAAAATATATTTGGTCACAAAGGAAGACATAGTGTATTTGTAACTAACAATTGAATCTAACTGACAGAAAAATACCTAAACCGCTAACTTAATGTCATTTTCAGCAATATGGTGAGTTAAAGACAGTCTTTTGGAAACAGTTAGACTTATTCAAACATTAGGTGTGATGTTTATGGACATTAAGAATTATAAGCTGTATAACCAAAAGAAGTTGGCTTAAAATCTCTTCATGGCTAGACTAGATTTCGGACTCATTAAGTATATTATGAGATATACTACCGATTTACTTTAATTCATTCATCTACTTTCTCTCCATCCTTTCAAGGCATGGTTCAATAGACATGCGCTTAAAGTTTACTCGTTTTGATTCAACTTAATGGAAAGCACACATTTTGTCCATGAACAGTAGCAACATCCCTGTTCAGTTACAACATTATAAACTGTATATTAATAAGCTTTCACCTAAAAGTTGGTCGTTCGTTTACTGTTCAGTTTGTTCCTCTTATCTGTTAAAAGATTTACTACATTCTTCAAAAATGAAAACTATGAATTTGTTTATCCTGATGTTTGAAGAAGTATGGAATTTCCAAACCAGTAGTCGCATGTCTAATATTGAAACAAAGAATTTTAAAATGTCAAAATTATTCTGCAAGATATCCATCAGTTTAGTAAAATAAACAGAGGAATATTTCAAGTGGATCTTTTCGGAGGGGATTCTGATGTTTTCCACAATCAAGGCTGAAGACAAACAGTTATAGTTTGAAATGTTTACAAAGTTTAAAAGTGAAAATGAAAACAATGCTGCTGGAATGTTGTCTGGTCCTGCTGCTTTGTCGCTCATCATTTGTCTGATGGCTATACTGATCTCTTAAATTGTTGATTGATTAGAAGGTCCGTGAATGCTGCTTCGATTTCGAGCGGGTATAGTGGAGCTGGTCGTTCAGGAGTTCCTTAGAGTGCTCCGCCCACCTGTTTCGCTGTTCTTCAGTGTTGCTGATTACTTTGCCTTGCCTGCTTTTCACTGGTCGTTCTGGTTTACAATAGTTTCCAGCGAGCTTCTTTGTTGTATCGTACAATTGTCTCAAGTTTGTGTCTCTTTCATGCCTTTTCTGCTGTCATTGCTAGATCTTCCACATATTTTCGTTTGTCAGCTCTGATGCTCTTCTTCACTTCCCTGTTTGCGTCTGTGTATTCAGCTTGTGCCTTAACTTTCTCTGCTCTTATTCGGCTGACATTGATTGCTGCCTTCTTGTTCCTCCTTTCTTCAACTGTTTCAAGAGTACCAACAGCGATGCAACCCTTGTGATGGTACTTCTTGTGACCCAGAACTTCGTGACATGTTGAAGTGATTGCCTCCTTGATCCCATTCCAATTGTTCTTCAGTCTTGCTTCCTCTCCATTGAGTATATCGTGCAAGGCCTGGAACCTATTGTTGAAGGCTATCTCGAACTCGATGAGCTTTCCTGTATCCCGAAGGAACGCCACATTGAACTTTTGTGATGTTGTCGGCTCCGTTGTCCAGTGCTTCTTTAGTTGCTTTTTCATAGCGAGCGGTCATCTGAGGCTACATCGGCTCCTCTCTTGGTTCTCACATCCTCCATGGTCCTTCTGAACGTTTTGTTGATACAGATATGGTCAATTTAGTTCTGAGTAGTGTGGTCCGGTGAAATCCATGTAGCTTTGCTTATGCGTTTGTGTGGGAATATTGTACCACCGATGACCAGTATGTTGAAGGCACATAGGTTTGCAAATCTCTCACCGTTTTCGTTTCTTTCTCCCAGTCCATGTCGTCCCATTATGTCTTCATATCCAGTGTTGTCAATGCCAACCTTGGCATTTAGGTCTCCCATCAGAATGGTCGAATCTCTTGGTGAGCATCTGTCGACGATTGACTGCAGCCTTTCGTAGAATTGATCTTTAACTTCGTCATTGTAGTTGTTGGTAGGTGCATAGCATTGGATGACGTTCATTGTAATGTCCTCTTTCTTTGTTTTAAGGGATGCTTTAATGATCCTTGGTCCATGAGATTCCTATCCTATCAGTGCCTTCTGTGCATGTTTGGAAAGCATCAGTGCAACTCCTTGTGTATGTGAAGCATTTTCCTGTTCATGGCCAGAGTATAACAGCAGTTTCCCTGAAACTAGTCTCAGTTGTCCTACCTATGTCCAATGCGTTTCACTGATTCCAAGCACCTCCATGTTGTATCTTCTCATTTCTGCAGCAACTTGAAACAGTTTTCCAGTCTCCCGCAATGTTCGAACGTTCCATGTACCTAGGATAATGGTTGCTCTGGTTGTCAGAAGAGGCATCGGCCTCGTGACTTCCGAGGGAACTCGGCTTTCATCACGCGACATCATAATTCTTCTTCCAACTCCCATGGCAGAGTTAAAATTGTTTGCATTATTTCTTTTGGTTGGCGTTTTTTGGCTAGTTAGTTTATAGTTTGGATTGGTGTGCCAAGCTCATTTTATAATTGCCTTTTTTTCTGTTTGGACAGCTTGTGATTGTGAGGCATTTTCTTTTTTATGAACAGAGTGTAACAATCATTCACACTCTGACAGTTATTTATAGACCGATACTTCAAATTATTTATTGGTGCAATATTAGTTGGTTATTTATTTTATTTCTTGCATAGAAAATTTTCGGTTTTCCGCCACATATTAGGTGCCCTTGCAAGGGGTGGGAGTGCTCTAACGAAACCTGAACTTTTTCGTCAATGTCACCTAGGCGATTCATTATCTAGTAATTCCAACAGTACTGTCTATTTAAATGACCGTTTTCATATATCTCAGAGAAAAAATTCTTAAAGGTGGAATCTGAAAGGTCACCTTTTGTAAAGAAATTCATCATCTGTATCGTCTTATATAACTGATAGGGAATTTTTGGAGAAATATTTTTCTAATAGCGTTATCAGGTGGCAATCGAATCTTTCGAACCCATATAATGTACAAAAGCCAAAAAGAGTACACAATCTGCCACTTAAAGCTGTGGTCAATGAAGCACAAAACGAGATGATCTTGAAAGTTTAACCCGGAGAAATTTATTTGTAGAGGAAACTTACAAGAGAAAAGGAAACAAAAGTACAAAGAAGGAACCTTATAATGAAGAATCAGGTTTTACCGTCTTCCCAATGGTCTTCACATAACCCTTCATTGTAGCTCTCTAACCCAACCATTTTGTTTGAATCAGCAACTTTCACTCCAAAGTAGGTAAGTGCGGCTTTTCATGATGGGTTTTTGTCGTTTGTAACCGTTCTAGATATCCTTACTGTGAGTTGCGTCCACTCTACAAATTCGCCAAAAATTTGTGCGGTAACTGTTTGTTGTTAGTCGCCATTCTTATTAAATGTGTGCTTGCTGGGTCGGCGGCCTAACTTTACCAGTTCTCCACTCACGCTTCTCTGCTTGCTCCACTTATGTACTAGGTACCATTTAGTCAGGCTTAAATTTACTTGGGCGGAGCAGTGTAAAAGTTGTGGCCAAATCTCGTATCAGATTATCTAAACTGATAAGAAATATTCTGGATATACATTCTCACAATGTGTACTAATTTCCAATTTATACACGTGTACGATAATGCTTAACCTTTCAGCGGCCCATTTGAAGGACGGATATAGAACTTCGAAGACTGACTGATTGTTTACTTTGTCTGCGTTAGTTGTTGTCCAATACTTTTACAAGCCTAGCGTAGATCATTTATGTCCATTACCTAGCCACAAAACGGTAATCTAGTTCAAGCTTTTTCATCCGCTCATGATACCATTCATTTGTAGGCTTATCCAACCATATTTCCTCACCAAAACCTGCTCTTTCGAAATAAGTGAATCATGTTTCTCCGCAATTATTCAAAGCTCTAGGTGGACAGTGATGTGTATTAGAAAGCAGTCACCAGACAGATACAACGTAGAACTTCGTACGTAAGTACAACAGTCCAGGTTGCTATACCACATCAGCACAAAAGCAGTCACCAAACATCAGTATATCACTTAACGAATCCTATCTTCCTTTCATAATCTTAATTACCGCTGTTACTTTATTACTGCCACTATAGGATTGAATTGAATACTTGATCTATGTCGATGTTGTATAGTAACCTAAACTGATGTAGGTTCGTTGTAGCTGAGTGGTTGTGTATCATAAAAATTACTAGATGGGATCGATAGGGCCGTTGGCAAATCATTTTGAACGTTGTTGACAGCAGCTTTCCAGTTGTATGAAGTCAGTTATACTATAACTTCACTTCCGAAGATGATTATATGTTTTATGGTCTGTAGCAGATTAGATTGATATTTAAACTGAAATCTGCATTTTAGCGAAAAAGTAGAGCGACAATGCTTGGTTGAAGTTCTACGGTTAGATCATGTTCGTCTTCGCTTTAGGTGGGTCTTTTTTATACCAGAACTTATCATTGTTAACACTAGAAAAAGTTTGACACTTCGGATTTGGTTTGCTAAAATTAGATGAACAAAATGATTAACACAGATCTTTAAAACTACTATTAATGAACAGACTATCTGAGCAGTGTAACACCTTGATTCTTATTGTCAGCTTAGACGTAGGCTGAAAAAAAGCCTGCGCAGTGGTGGGTGGCGATAGGCGACAGTAGACAACTTTTCCGACTTATCAAGGAAACTGGTATTAGGAATCCTAGTGTAAGTGAGACTATCTCGGAAAAGAATAGTCTTATTATCCATTCTCAATCCAGGAGACTGGATCGATTGGCAGAACACTTTAGGGATCATTTCGACTGTCCTCGAGCCACTTCGGTTACCCAGGATCTCCAGTCATCCTGAATGGCAAATCGACGTAAGTCCCCCTAGGCTTTACGAAGTTGAGAAGCGTTAGGAAATCTGAAGCGGGGGCGAGCTGTAGGCCCTGATAGACTGACCCGTGAGATATTTGAGGATGGTGGTCCAGTTATAACAGTTTTACTGACCGAGATCTTAGGTAGAACCTGGGAACTGGACGTAATCCCATCCGACCGGTCTCAATCACTTATTGTCCCAATTTAGAAGAAAGAACAGAAGTCTTCTTGTAACAATCACAGGGGAATAAGTCTAACTAATATAGTTTCTAAAATATTGGCCTCAATAATACTTCGACGCCTAACGAAAGCTCGTGAAGAGCAACCTCCAGAAAACCAGTCTGGTTTTGGTTGTATAGACCACATTTTCACACTACGACAGGTTCTGGAACACAGACACACATTTAGGCGTCCTACAATAGTTGTTTTCCTGGACCTGTGGACTGACTCAGTGGGTCGTGAGGTTCTGTGGCAGTGTCTGTCATTAAAAGGTGTACCAAAGACCTTTTACCAGGTGGCTCGCTTATTGACTTAGAATATGCCGATGACATAGCCTTACTTTGTGAAGACGCTGACAGAATGCAGAGTATTCAGACCACCCTAAGTAATAATGCAAGCATGTTCGGGATGCGGTTTTCTCCCTCGAAATGCAAAATGTTGCTTCAAGACTGTGTTGCATCGGCACCTGAGCTAGTGATAGAGAATGAAGTAGTCAAGCGTGTTGACCGCTTCACTTATCTGGGTAGTCTCATCAATGCTGATGGCCTGGTTACTGACGAGATCTCAGCTCGGATTCAGAAGGCTCGATTGGCTTTTTCCAACCTGTGTCACTTATGGAGCAGGCAAGATATCCGTTTGCTGACTAAAGGACGAGCGTACTGTGTAGTAGTTCGCTCCGTATTACTTTATGAGAGAGAAGATATTCGTAGGTTACTTGTTTTCGATCATAGGTGTCTTCAAAGCATTGCTTGTATATCCTGCGACACCCGAGTGAGCAACGCTGTTATTAGGAAACGGGTGCTAGGTAAGGATGGCGGATCAATAGATGAAGTAATGAAACTTCACCAGCTGAGGTGGTTGGGACATATGTTGCGTATGCCTAACCACCGACTGCCTCGACGAGCTTAGTTTTGTTGTGCAGGAATAGGTTGGAAGAAAGCTAGGGGCGGCCAAACCAAAACATAGCAGAAATTCATGAAGTCATTGACGAGTGGACTTAGCCATGTCGGTAGTTGTCGACTACCTGGTTGGGGTCCGTGATGGTTAGAGACCCTTAATGACATGGCTCGAAACCATTCGCAATGGTGCCGGTGCATTTATTCTTTGTGTCCTCTCAAATCCCAATCTTCTGGACTCTTCAACACCTCTAGTTTTGACTTTCTAAACTTTTCTCACTGAATCATACTTCTTGAATAATATTTTCTAATCCTAACCTCTCCGACTACTTTTAATACCTTTACTACCTCTTCTACTATTGGATTCGAATTGACAATTACATCTCTGTGCTGATGTGGTATGGCAACATGAACTGATGTACTTACGTACGAAGTTCTACGTTGCATCTGACTGACTGTATATTACGATGTGTTGTTTTTCCTTATAAAAGACCGGGTTCTAGGAAGTCAGTCGTCCAACTACGCTCAACGTTATTCTTTACCATTTCAGGTTATCGCTTACTAACTTGAGCACGTTTTTCACAACTTAACGACGTGATTGGTAACCAGATACAAATCTGATAGCGATCTAAGTTTCCCTATGTTCTCTGTATTGGTGTCTTGTGGCACATATGACGGTAGTGTCTTCACGTTAGAATATCATCATACCACTGATACTGCTGGTCCAAAACTGTTAAAGCCATTGTTTGTCGATCCTACGGCACATTCTGGACCAGTTACATCGCTAGCTGCAAAGGACAGTGTGGTTCTTTCCGGAAGTAGTGATGAGATTATTCAGGTTAGTTTTTAAAGCTTCGGATTTTTGTGTATATCAACTGACAGACGTTTACGAACTATTTTGTTTCTATGTATATTTTAAGGTGCACTTTAGTTTTTTACTTCAAACGGAAACGTAACTAAACGACATCTTTTGAGAAACAAGAAAACGGTTATTGTTTTTTTAGAAGTTACGACTGAGCAATGAGCAAATAACAGATTGACGAATTATGTGTAGACAAATTATTATCGTCCGTACTTAGAATCATTTAAATTCGGCTCGTGTGTTTTTGTAACACTAGGGGGATTTACATCGTGTGTTTAGTCGGTCAGTCGATCGCAACCTTGAACAAGGTATGTACATTCATCTCAGTTTGTCTCACCACATAAGCACCAATGAAATTATCAAGTCCAATCCCAGTGGTAGTAACAGTACTGGTACAATTTAGGTATTGAAGATGCTCGACAAAATATAAAGTAGGCGAATAAATCTTTAGTAAATGAGATCGTGAATAATGTTGAAGCGTAGTTTTTGAGAAAAAACAGAATCGATGTAGCTGTGCCATTGCAGATGGCTTTGATTCATGTTGTTCAATGCCCCTAACCGCTGGGTAAAGATAGAGCAATAACTCTTACCAATACTTATTTCAAAATTATCGTAGGACGAGGTCTATTACTATCTACAAATCTCTCACCCAATTAAATTAAAGAATGCTGATTTCTAACTAAATGTTGTTCTGGTGTCTGCACATTAATCATGGTAACTGTAGGTTTTCCATTTTGGTGAATGTAAAACACATCAGATTCTTGTTTCAAGCAGATACAAATTCCAACAATTGCCTTCTGGTTAGTATAATAGTGAGCGCAGAAAAGAAAAAAACTAAAATGATCAAGATGTTGAACATCACTAAATCATGTTTGTAGTTGAAGTCTTATGCAGCAATTTTCCCAAGTGTGTTGCGAAAATGTCTCAATTTTGTTTTTCTTAGATATTTTCAGTGCATTCAAAGACTCGTGTAGGTGCACTCGAAATGCACGTTGGAACTATAAGACAGCTCAGATTCATTGCAGAACCATGTGGTTCAGCGTACTGTCACTTTTTCAGTGCTGGTGATGATGGATGTATTGGTATTTGGCGTTGCGAAACTCCTGGAGGCCAACTTACAAAATGCCCACATCCATCAGCTTGGGAATGCGTTCGTCAAATTCGTCGACATAAGGGGCCAGTACAAAGTATAGCAATCCACCCTTCCCATCGCTGTCTTTTCTCCATCAGTGCAGACAAAACGTTTCGTGTATGGAACCTTCTTCGCGGTCGACAGGCTTATGCTATTAGACTTAAAAATCTAGCAGGTGAAGCAAACAAACTTACAATGTCACCCACTGGTAATCGTCTTCTTTTTATTTGGCCAGATAAATTCAAAATGGTTGATCTTGTTAGTGAATTGAAGGCAGATCCTAATACTAGCGAAAATGAAGCCTTCGTGCTTGGCAGCGTCCAGTTTTCTAATCCCCCTACTTCGGACCCTACTTTCTTCAGTGAAGACGATGAACTGTGTATTCAAAATTCTTCAGATCCCTTGTTTGCATATGTTCTGGTTGGCATAGGAGCGACACTTATGTTAATCAAATTCAACATTCGCAGTAACACGTCTAAGCCATGGACACCCGAAATTACGAGTAAAGTAACCCTGCCGGGTAAACGAATCAAATTTATCCAAGTTCTACACTGGCCATCTGATTTGGCAGAAAAGGAACAAATATGTCGCGGGCGTAGTCGGCTGGTAGTTGTCATTACAACTGAGGCCGATGGTAGTCATGTACGAGGTTATGCTGTGGATATTAATTCGACAGATATCCTTGAACCAGGGAAGTCGTTCATCCCTTTGTTCACATATGATATCCCAAGTGCTCGAATTACTGCTTTAGCTGCCACCTGGACCTCAACTAATTATATGCACCATCCTGAAGTATGAACACAAGGTTATTCCCCAATTAAATCGAATGTAAATGGTATCTACTTGTACAATAATTATGTATATAAAACCCTGTCATTTTCTGATCTTATCTGTTTGCATTACATACACATGGCTGGACGTGTAACCCAGTAACTACGTAGATTGAGCTAACATGTAAATGAAGTACTTCAGTTCTTTACGCGAAACCCGGCCATTCTCATATTTATTATAAGTTCTAGCTAAATATGGCAGCAGGACCTCCCGTTTAAGAGTGTGTAGTTGTAGTGGATGTCGAGAACAGAAAAACTGAACACTTGACACACTAACAGACTCCCTGAGTGCCTAAATTATGATTTGTATATTGTAAAAATTGAAATCTCTAATACAAGCAGCTTTGTGACTACGCCGCTGCTTATTACTTGAATGAGGTCATATGCAATCACCTAACGACTCTTGAAGCTGAGTGCGGTGTTTCATGCAAAGCAATTCTTTTCCACCTATTGCAGATCTATATAGATGTCTTATACATCTATCATCATACTGTGGTGTTTACGTAAATGCTTCCTTCAACCGCGAGTACACGTCAGGAACCAGGCGGAAAATACACGTGTTTCTGTTATTAAACCATATTTGTTTTGAAAAGTATCTAAGGCGTTTGTAACATACATTTATGTCAAAGATCAGTAAATAAGGTATCCATTGATAATGTTCACGGCAAAATAAGTAACCTTCAATAGCGTTAAATGAGTAAACTTCCTGCAAGATTGGTAGCTCCTTTGAATTCAGACTGAATGGATTCAACCTTTCATTTTGGAATAGTTGGACTACCTCTCTGAAACTGTAAGTATCCTACGATTAACTGCAGATTCATACACTTAAAGAAATGTAACTATTGTATTTAGCTATGTTGCGTTTCAAAATATCTGAGCAGGGACCCATGACTCGTTCAAATCTCTTGCGATCAAGTTTTACGCAACGCAGAGTACCTTGGGCAACAACAGTGGCTGCACGTGGTCGATCAAGTAGTAAAGCGATCTCACCTACAAAAAAAAATTTGATAAGTTACTGTTAACTGACCAAAAAACTTAGTAAATTTAAATTTTAGCAAACCAGTAACAATCCAATTTTTGGGTGTGCAATTACTGCATGAAATGTAGACATAATACTTCGGAATGTACATCAATTCATGTGTGACGGCGAAGAGTAACTGGTAGTTGTGTATTAGGATTCCTGACCTGAAATATCATTTGATCACTCAACTATCAGATTCTGAAAATAAACCAGTTTGCCAATTAATTACTACACTTGATTTACTAAAAACGTTTGTCACAGATCAATTTTGGAGCCAGTTCAATGTGTTAAAATTAATACATGACATAACCTGCACATAATAGTTAGTGATGACGTGAATATCGAAAGTTTATAACATAGTGGTAAGTTTTACTGTTTTTAATCTGATTAGAAATCCTTTGAAGTAACAAGTTTGTGAAATAAACTAAAGTGCAGTGAACAAGTAAGCTTAAGTAACATACCAGCTTATCAAAATTCCTCATCAGGGTGTGTGACCGGAATAAAAACTAATGATGCCGTTACAAAACAATTTAACAGTTGGACTAAGCGCTTGAAATCAATTTAGAACCCAGTAAAAATATCGTTATATGTAGGTTGCACATCTAAAATTAAATCACTATGTATTGCGTCTGAGTTCTAAACATAGCTTTTCGTCTGAAGCTAGAAACAAAATTTAGCATCGAGGTGTGCGGAAAAGAACACAACAGAGTATCGTTTCTACAAAGATGGGTACATTAGGGAAATAATCTTCAGCTGAAGTTAAGATTTATCTTCAGTTACGTATCTAATGAGACAAGCAAAATACATCGAAAATGGGGTCGTATATTCATTTCGTTAATAAGATATCCTTAGGTCACTTGTTCTACTTTATCCGAATGAACCGTTCTTGTGAAACATTTAATAAAGCGTATCTTTGTTGTCACCGAAATACACACGACTAAATGTTTATTTGCCCTCATCGCAGCACTTTTGCGTGCATCTACAATTCACTTCTCAAAATTTTAAAGTTTTACTTCGATTTACAAATAAAAGCCGTAGAAACATTTGTTTTGACGAAAGTTTAATTTAGTTCAAGTAATACATATGAAGCGAATGGTTGCTTTTACGTAATAAGTTGCACAGCAGGAATCGATACTACCGTTTAGCGAATTCGAACTGGTCGGACTAGATTATTTCCTAATTTTGGACTACAGACTTATGGATTTATAGCAAATAAAATTAAGGTGCTAATGTCCGCCAATCAGTGAACTGCAACTATCATAAACCATTTATGGTGAGCGCTACGTTTTTCGTAGTATTTATTGAGGTGTGAAACTTACAGTTCAGATACTAACCATACGATATAACACAGCGTTAAGTTAGGTATTATAAAATCCCCCGTCAGGCTAACAACTTGCATAAAATCTTTAAAAAACGACCAAAATCTTACCAAAATAGTCTGATGGTCTCAATTTACCGACCTCAACTTGATCACCCGATTCAGATGGTTTCTGTAAAACAGCAGCTGTACCCTAAGAAGTAAATAAACAGACAGTCATCAAAACAAAGTTTCAGTTCGTTTATTCGTCTACCAAAATCCAGAAAAAAAAAGAACTGAAAGATAAGACGATATGTATAAAAGTTGCGGCAAGTAGGACATAATGCTCCGGTCCCTATTCATTTTTTGTTCACCATAGTGAATGACTACTGCAAGGATTTGGGTGATTTCGAATCCTGCTGCTGATCACGCTCAGGATTATTCAGAATAAGTCTTTTGCTACAGAATGGACCACGTGGCGGTGTGAGGCTCAACGATTTTTCCTGAAGCTCAATTACAGATAGCCATTTCTACTGCTGTTTCTGAACATGAAAGCAAGCTGCATCAAGCTCTAAAGTTTGGGTGATTATGTAACCAGTTCTTCCCTAGACACACCTATTCGAACTAGACATACAGATTTTCATACTGCTGAAATAAATATATATGGCTCAGGAACGTTACCAAACGCTTACTGATTGAGTCATATAATGGCAATGACAATACCACTAAATGCAATGTTTCATAATAGTAACAAATGACAAACTGACTTCAGTCAAACCAAAATATGGTTTTTCGACAACCTCAAAGGTCGGTTCTTACTATATGAACTGTAAAGTCAAGTCTCTACCATTGCTCACTTCGAGGACACAAGGTTCATTCAAAGACATGGTGGACCACATCACAATATGAGACAAAGCCAGTCATATACAAACAAGCTACCAACCTGGCAGGCCTGAAAATCCCGACTAAAGCTACCACCTTGACGTGGTGGTCGGGCTTGCCTGTCGTAATGACCCAACCAAGCTATATTGGCTAGAACATATGTTCCTGTAGGTTCTAACAAGACAAGCAGGTCGATTGAAGAACGATGAGCTACACAAGGTGTGCGGGTGAAGTCGTACTGCTGACAGTAAAGGGGTGTGACAGCAGTAGGATGCTTCCCTTGAACAACCAGCTCTACAGCGGTAGCCTTCTCACAACGTAAAAAGGGGTTAGGAACGTCGACTCTAAAACTGTCACACCTCACCCCGCGGATTGCTGTCACCGGCGGTAAAGACATTTGAAGAGCGGAGAAAACATTTCACAAACTTCCCGTGAAAAGGCCGTGCGTGACCGACCTCAAGTAGTAGTCCATTCGGCTTTGCCGTCACGCTCCATTGTCACCTAGATCAACATTAATCCAACTACCTTTTCAGGTGGCTCAAGAAAAACCCTTCCACGGTGAAGGCAGCTAGAAAGCGACAACCGCCCTCATACCCGTAAAAGCAAACGAGAACAATTCAGTCACAGTCAAATCTTTCCCACGCCTTATAGCTCGTTTATCTCCACGACCAACCCCTATTTCATTTCTTTGTCAGCTTGCGCCTCCGATGAGAAAGGTTCCGAGTTCACAAAACGTCATTCCTGGTCTCATGAAACCCCGCCTTAAACTGCCGATTGTTCAGGAGCACATGTTTAGATTCAAACTATGCTCTATGACAAGCGCATATATGTCTGCGTCTCACTACAGGTAAGAAAGACAGTACATGGAAACCACTTAGTGTTCTTAATGATGGCAAAGCTAAGAACGTATTTCAGCAGCAACTGGAAAAACAGTTAGACATAGATGTAAGTGATTCCCACTCCAATATCCAAAATGCAGTGGAAACAGCAGCGGAAAAAGGAATCGGACCGTCAGTGAGACTATCTCAAATAAGGATGCTTGTATCATTCAGTCTCAATCCAGGAGATTGGATCGATGGGCAGAACACTTTAGGGATCAGTTCAGCTGGCATTCAGCCACATTTCGGTTGCCCATGATCTCTAGTCATACTGAATGGCAAATCGACGTAAGCCCTCTGAATCTTTATGAAGTTGAGAAAGCTAGAGGAAATCTAAAACGAGGGAGAGCAGCAGGTCCTGATAGGCTAACTCCTGAGATGTTTAAGGATGGTGGTCCAGTTCTAACAGTTATATCAACGAAGATCTTACGTAGAACGCTCGTGATGCGATTCTCCTCGTCGAAATGCAGAATGTTACCTCAGGATTGGCTGGCAACGGTATCTTAACTAGTGATAGAGGGTGAAGCAGTTGAGCGTGTTGACCGGCCGCACTTATCTTGGGAGTCATCAGTGCCGATGGCCTGGTGACTGATGAAATCTCAGCTCGGATACAGAAGGCTCGATTGGATTTTGCGAACCTGCGTCACTTATGGCGTACGCGAGATATCCGTTTGCTAACCAAAGGTCGAGTGTACTGTGCAGCAGTTCACTCTGTCCTACTCTAAGGATGCGAAACATGGCCGGTAAGAGTAAAGGTTATTCGTAGGTTACTAGTATTCGATCACAGATGTCTTAGAAGTATTGCTCGTGTACCGTGGGACAACCGAGTAAGCAATGCTATAGTTAGGAACCGAGTACTAGGTAAGGATGGCATATCAATAGATGAAGTATTGAAACGTCATCAGTTGATGTGGTTGGGTTATGTGCGACGTATGCCTAACCACCGACTGCCTCGACGAGCAATGTATTGTGGTGTAGGGGTAGGGTGGAAGACTGCTAGAGGTGGTCAGACCAAAACATGGCACAAATCCATGAAGTCACTGACAAGTGAACTGAACCATGTAGGCAGGTGTGGACTTCCTCGTCGGGGTCTGCGAGACGAAAGTGACCGATAGACCCTGAATGATATGGCTCAAATTCGTTTGCTATGGCGCAGTTGCATCCACTCGTTGTGTTCTCTCAAATCGTGAACTTTTGAATCCCTCATCACCTTTTTCTCTTTACTTTCAAGTTTATTTCACTAGATTCTACTTCTTGAATAATGTCTTCAAACCCTAATCTCTCCGAATACTGCTCTAACCTCTACTATTTCTACCACTATGGGATTTGAATTGACAGCCGCATCTCTGTTCTGCCGTGATACGGCAACCTGAACTGATGTACTTACGTATGAAGTTCTACTTTGTTGCTGACTGAATGAAAACAACAGGTTAGCATCAAATCAAGAATAAGTCGTATGATGATAGTTACTAGGCTAAATGAAAAATTACAACAAACGGAATATAAACGCATAGTAATTTAGTTACTTAGTAATTATACAGTAATAATATTTACATTTTAACAGTAATAATCCGTAAAGCATTTCCTGTAATAATCATTTCAATCATTTTACTTGTACATAATTTATGATACAACCCGGAAATGTGGTACAGCAAAGCGATGAATTACGAGCGGAGAAGCGAAACTGATTACTGAAGTCTGAGAGCAGTGGAACGAGTGGACATTATCCTTCTGAGAGCTCTTGAATAGTCCAGTACCGCTTGATTCACCAGATATTAAAACAACACAGACTTTTATACGGGTCTTACCTAATTAACAGCAGAAAAAACTGGCAAATTCTAAAGACGGGCCAGGAATAGCAAAGAAATAGGATCAGACAGCACACAACCTAAACAATTTAAGTTCAATATAGAGGTAACTGCAAAGATGTTCCACGCAATCTTTGGGAGGATTCGAACGGATAAGTATTAACAAACCAGAAAAACTGGTAGACCAATAAAATACTGAAGACAGACGACACTAAGTGCGAGAACCACAGAAGAATCAGATTATTGTCAGCACCAGGTAAAGTTTTTAACAGAATGTAACTTAGCCAAACGGAAGATTCAGTGGACAAACAACCTTCAAATCAACAAGCTGGACTTAGTAAGAATCGAACATATACCGATCAGACTGCTACACAGCCGATGATTGTTGACCGATCAGTCGGATAGGACTCATTGCTACACACTAACTCCTTTGATTACGAAAGAACATTCGACAGCATAGACAGAACATCGTGAGTCCATTTTCGACACTACGGAGTGCCTAGCAAGATCATCACCAACATACGACCTTCGCGCGATAGACTGAATTTCCTCAAATAAGAAACAAGATACTGAAGTATACCACAAAGCAAATTCACCATAAAATACTTGATAGCGGAAAAACTGAAAGAGATGAAAGCCTTTACATTTCTGAACGTCATCGTCGACAGACATGGGAGACCTGATGCGGATTTCGATGGATAAATTGACAGTACGATGGCAGCATTCTTATTAGTAAGGAATACCAGGAACTCGGAAAAAATGTGACTCGATACCACAGTTAGAATCTGCAACATTAAGGTTAAAGAAATTTTTATTGTGTAGAGCTGAAACTTACGGGCACTGCCACCAACACCACGAAACGAGCACAAGTAATAATAAACGACTGTCTACGCGAGATACCTCAAATCAATTAGCCAGAGACTATCAGCAATAATCTAAGCCTGAAGAAAACTAACCAGCTGCCAGTCGATGACATACTTTAATTAAACTATTAGACTGCATCACAAAGCAAGCCCTAACCTGGAACCCCTAGAGCGAAAAGGATTCAGGTTGGGACTTGAGAGAAGACAAAGAAGGGATGTACCTGCGCCATTGCAAACGATTTTGAGCCATGTCCATCGATTATTACCATCTCGCGGGCCCCGACCAGGTAGTCGACACCTATCAACATGACTCAGTCCACTTGTCAGTGACTTCATGGATTTGTGCCATGTTTTGGTGTGGCCGCCCCTAGCTTTCGTCGCAAAACATAGCTCGACAAGGTAGTCAGTGGTTAGGCATGCGCAACACATGCGAGTATTTGGTAAGGTTTGTAAGCTCTTAAACCTATTCCATAGGGTTTGCCGAAGCATATCACTCAGTTTGGGATGAGGTTAAAAAGTTTGCAGATTCCAAATATGTAATGTGATAATAACAGTTGGCAACATATACTAGCCACAACAAAAGACGTTTCTTGTTCTGAGAAATAAAGAACTGTACCTCTGTAATGATAAAAAAGTCATCACCATGTTCACCTTGACGCACAACAACTTCACCATCTTCAAAACGGACCGGCTCCAGAGCATCTGCTACAGTCAATCGTTCCCATTTGTCAAGATTGTCTATGGTAAAATTATAAAATATATATATATATATATATATATATATATATATATATAATCCGTAAGACTGAGACCATCATTCGGAAGACGAATACTATGGGTTAATTGTCTTAGTATACAAGATTTGAAGAGAATGTTCATTTCAAAGGCAATGCAATGGATTAATGCTATTTAGGGAACACGGACAACCGTTTTGCCCCATATGAAACTCCTCGCGAGTCTACTATACGACCTATCATGCATTTAGGCCGGTGCATTAAATTTCGGCTACTGGCTCAAATAATTCAGATTGTTAATTTCAGTAAAATGACTGTCATTTGTTTGAATTAAATCTTAATAAGCTTTTGTCGTCCTGTTTCAAAGGACAGTATAAATTTACTCACACTATGTGATTAAAGTTTCCTTCGCGGATCTAATAAATCTTTATCTCGAAACTGAACTTTTGAACTACATTCAAAGAAAGTCATTTACTAAGCCGCAGCAACTGAATATAATTTTGGATAGTAGTATTTCCCAAATTCACATGTTTACACGACTATGGTCGTTGGAGAATTACTTATACTTGAGTTCTATAAATATCTACACTTTTGAGTGTATCAGAAAACTAACAGGTTTGTCTACGATTACGCTATGTCCTTTGTTTAGTAATAACTCAAAATGCTTATTCAAAGTCCCAATAAAATACCACAAACAGGTCTTTTATTCAAATGCACCGATGCTGTAACGGGGATTTGTATTTGAACAGCATGAAATAATACACGACTAATTTTGGTTTCACCTAAGAATAAATGATATCTCTTTGAGTATATTGAATAACATGAAGTACAGTAGTCATCTATTTGCTATCACCGAATGAAATAAACCATTTATTGTACAATTAATTAATCTTGGTTAATTATCCAATAATAATTATTATCGGATAATAAGTGGGTCACGAAAAGTGCACAAATTTGATTTTTGTCTTATAAGTCAAAAAATAATGGCATAAAAATATCATTAACAAATATCCTAGATTTCTGACACTATAGTCAACGTATATATCAGTAATTCTATTGAACTGCATACCGGCAATCGAAAAATCCTTGTGGTCAAATTCCTTGTCTTTAGAGCTCTTGCATTTACATGAGTCGAGAACAATGAAACTGAAATAGGTCAAATGGAGTCTATTTTTTATTTTGTAAATGAGAGCTGAACTGCCCCCATTCAATTGCAACTACAGTTATTAGGATCACTAAGCGTCTCGCTCCAGGAACTTGAGGGATTGAATGGTGTATGAACATATTTTTGGTCACTGGTAACCACAAGATCGCATCTCCAGACATTTTTCGCCTGCCTTGTAGGCTAGATCCCTAGGTCAAAAGCTTGGGAAGTGATCAGCTAGGAAAATTTTCTACTTCGGTCTGAGCGTCCTGTTAGTATCTTAGACCGCACGGTATTATGGTGATTATCGATGAAGACAAAAATTTTTCTTGATCTCGCTATCTATTTGAAGGATTATTTCTGGATCTGAATTACACAAAAATTAATTGTACGAATTTTTATCCTTTTATTCCTTATCATTCCATTCTGTGAATAATTTTACTCGTCAACTTACAGCAACTTGCATATAGGGAAAATTTTATTCGATCAAAAGGATTTCAAGTCACTGACCGAAAGAAATTTGAATTCTACCATTGAACATGAATTAGAAACCAGGCTTTGTGAACCCACTTTTACCATTCCAACTATCCTTCAGCTTTCACACGCTAATGCAAATCGGACAACAGATAGGGTTGGTTCGTCTTCAAAAAGTTTTACCATCGACGTCTGTTGTACATCCGCTAGTTGTATTCAAGATTAGTGAAATACTACATATTTGCAATCGAACTGTCAATCAGAACAGCTTGGAAATGGGAGTTTCAACGGACTGGAATAAAGCTATAGCTGTCCCTATCTTTTGGAACACATTACTCCACCTATCCAGCAACTACTGGATGATGAGCCTACTTTCGATTGTGTCCAAACTATTGGTTTCTGCCATACCTTGCAGATCGTACAAAACCAACGAAAAAACCTACTGGGGAGGAGCTGAGTGGTTTACGTTCTGGTCATGGATGCAGTGACCATATTTCTTTCTATCCACTTCCAAACGCTCGAACACCATAAAACTTATTGTATGCCGAAAACTGTAGTTTCTCGATACCAGGACCACCTTTGCTCGTTGGATAGGACTGTCTGTCGAAGACAGATATGCCTGTGAAGTTGACTAACATCGTAAGGTCTCTGTACATAAACACCCCCAAACAGAGTGGGGACATACAACCACTCCTCTCTAATGTTCCATTTGAGCAACTAGATTGGACGGGGTTATCTAAACCCAGCTATCCTCTTCAACTTTTCTACCGATGAAGTTCTAGAAACAGCTCCTGTTTTAGAAGACAGTGATGATGTGGATCTGGAAAAAGACTTTTTGATCTTGCGTTTGCAGATGATATTGACTTATTGTGTTATGCGATCCGCACCTATTTAGTTTTCAACCAGTGGTTTAAAATTTTCATATCAATATTCATGTATCTTAGAGTAAAGCCTGATGACGATATAATTGAAAACAATATTGTTCGCTTATATCTGTTGCTCTAATTTTCAGAATCGGGATCTTTAATAGCAATGGAGTTGATAACGCATCAGTAAGAGCAGTTCCAGTTTATGCTTGTGAAACCTAGTCTCTTCAAGTTGAATATGTTAAACGATTTTCTGTGTTCGATCATTGCTATCCTTAAAAGATTGCTAACACTCAGTGGCAACACTATGTTGGAAATGGAGTAAACTGAGTAAAATTGTGTTGAGGCACAGTGACGATAATTCAGTTGGTGTCATTATCAATACTGCGAATGTCTTTCCAGAGAATTTTACATCATCCCCTATTAGGCTATGCTAGGAATGGCTAGTAAATGCGGAGATCATTTTATTACGTGGTGTCGTGAAATAAAAGAGATTTTCAAAACTAGAATCCGTCAGCCCTCCATGACTCACGAGTTGAAATTCCAGAGACAGTGCAACAGTGGTTTAAGGCGTTATCAGATATGGCTCAAAATGGAAACCAGTGCGGTTCTTCTGTAATTTCCGTTTACTTCCTAATAAGAGTGAGAGGTACTTGTTTGACCGAAAGCACCTCAGGTTGTTTTTTGACTGAACTACTCCATTTTTGTTACTCTCATTCACCTATTTCCATTCATCAAATTTTGTTATAACTCATCTTCCTTCTTTTATCTCTACACAATCTTACTGACTGTATGATGCGTATCTATGTCGGTAACCATTTGTGCCTACACTTGTGTTTAAGTAATTAGGTAAATATTTTAAGTTACTATGAACAACACATTTATACTCTCGATTTTCCACAACTGCCATTTTAAAAGTATCGGATACGGAATATTTGCCGATCAAGACACTTTGAGCCTATGATTATATTTTTTGATCCGGAATAATCCATCCTAGTATTTCGCATTAGAGTGCTATGAAAAGGTTTAGCTGAGGCTGTGTATCGAAATGTTCCACATACGAAAACCAAAGGAATGCATAACAGAAATATTAAAGACTAATAGCAAACATACCTAAAATAGGTACACGACATAAGAATTCCTGATACATTTTTCGACGACGGATAGTGCTCCCCATTAATATTCTTCTATAAGAATCCCGATCAATACCCCACAATTTAACCTCGGTTTTGGCCCTAACCGTAGCTGCTCTTGGTGTACCATAGATGAGAGCCAGCTCACCGAAACTACCTCCCTCCCCAATCGTACTACTATACTCATTGTTGAGGAAGATCTATTTAACAGAAACGGAGTAATTACAAAACAATATTAAACAATAAAAACCTGGATAAAAAATAACTAAAATAGTTGCGCCAACCCAAAAACGAATGAGGTGAAAACAAATAACTATGGATTTATACATACGACCAACGCTATTCCTTAAAAGACAAGACAAGTGTTCTTCATGATGAAATTATCTGGCGAACCTGAATATGACAGTAGCAGTATACAACATTAGGAAGTGAATTTTAGAAGACTAAAGCAAATAATTATATTACTAAAACACAGAAACCTCAAAACGTAAGGAGTAATAAACAGGAATAAAACTAGGTTCGAACCGACAAAACAAGGATTAACTTAGGTCGATTTTAATTTTCGGCTCATTGGGATACTACAAAAATATCACCACATATATTAATGATAATTTATCCTAGGCTTAGATACTATAAAGTCAAACCTCGGACACGGTACATACATTCAAAATTTATGAACATAGTGATAATCAGTCAACCATAAATTAATCATCGAGTATCAATCAGCAGTAACGCAGAACTTCGAACGTAAGTACATCAGTTCATGTTGCCATACCACATCAGCACAGAGATGTAATCGTCAATTCAAATCCAATAGTAGAAGAGGTAGTAAAGGTATTAAAAGTAGTCGGAGAGGTTAGGATTAGAAGATATTATTCAAGAAGTATGATTCAGTGAGAAAAGTTTAGAAAGTCAAAACTAGAGGTGTTGAAGAATCCAGAAGATTGGGATTTGAGAGGACACAAAGAATAAATGCACCGGCACCATTGCGAACGGTTTCGAGCCATGTCATTAAGGGTCTCTAACCATCACGGACCCCAACCAGGTAGTCGACAACTACCGACATGGCTAAGTCCACTCGTCAATGACTTCATGAATTTCTGCTATGTTTTGGTTTGGCCGCCCCTAGCTTTCTTCCAACCTATTCCTGCACAACAAAACTAAGCTCGTCGAGGCAGTCGGTGGTTAGGCATACGCAACATATGTCCCAACCACCTCAGCTGGTGAAGTTTCATTACTTCATCTATTGATCCGCCATCCTTACCTAGCACCCGTTTCCTAATAACAGCGTTGCTCACTCGGGTGTCCCACGGTACACGAGCAATACTTCTAAGACATCTTCTACTCTCATTGGCTATGTTTCACAGCCATAAATTAATACGGAGCGAACTACTACACAGTACGCTCGTCCTTTAGTCAGCAAACGGATATCTTGCCTGCTCCATAAGTGACGCAGGTTGGAAAAAGCCAATCGAGCCTTCTGAATCCGAGCTGAGATTTCGTCAGTCACCAGGCCATCGGCACTGATGACTCCCAAGATAAGTGCGGCGGTCAACATGCTCAACTGCTTCACTCCCTATCACTAGTTAAGATGCCGTCGCCAGCCAATCCTGAAGTAACATTCTGCATTTCCACGAGGAGAATCGCATCCCGAACATGCTTGAATTGTTGCTTAGGGTAGTCAAAAGACGCCGCATTTTGTCAGCGTCTTCATCAAACAGACCTACATCATCGGCATAATCTAAGTCAATAAGCGATTCTCCTGGTATACGGTCCACCCCTGAAAAATCTGACGAGGATAATGTTAACTCTAAAAGCATGTCTACGACAAAGAATAAAAGGGATTGAGAGAGTGGATATCCTTGAAGGACATCACCTGAAGTAGAGATAATGGCCACCGTCTGCTACAGCTATGTCCAGATAAGCGCCTATTTCTAGCAAACACTTATTTTAAGCATAAGGAAAAACATCTTTTGACCTGGCGACCCCCAAGGTCGTCCCAACGTTGGACCCAACTAGATCACATCGCCATCGGTCACCGGTGGAAGAGTTCGACAGAGGACTGTCGCTCGTTCTGGGGCACATGTCTAGATTCAGATCATGCACCAGTGCGAGCGCGTATTTGTTTGAGGCTTACTGGACGTAGGAAAGATACCGTGGCGAAGCCTCTCACGGTTTTACTCAATGATAATAAAGCTAAGAATATATTTCAGGAACAACTAGAAAAACAGTTAGGCGACCAATTAAGTGATCTCCATCCTGAGACAGCTTGGAATGATATCCAAAGAGTTGTGGAAACAGCATTGATATGTGCTAGTAAGGTGAACTATAAGGTTGGGGATAAGCCGTGGATCTCACTAGCATCCAACGAACTGATGGATGCCTGGAAACTTATCACACCTGGCTCTGAACATGATAAAGAGTGAAGTCAGCTTAAGAGCAGGCTGATGAAAAGCCTACGCAACGACCGCGAACAGTGGTGGGTGGCGAAAGCAAAAGCGATGGAAAAGGCAACGGCGATAGTCAACAGTAGACAACTTTTCAGCTTTATAAAGGAAACCTTACTTACTTACTTTCGCCTTTTACCCCAAATGGAGCATAGGCCGCCCACCAGTTTTCTCCAACCAACTCTGTCCTGGGCTTCTTCCTCCAGTTCTGTCCAATGTTTGTTCATTCCTCTCATATCTTTCTCTATTTCACGGCGTAATGTATTCTTTGGCCTTCCTCTTTTCCTTTTGCCTTGAGGGTTCCATGTGAGGGCTTGTCTCGTGACGCAGTTAGGTGCTTTTCGTAGAGTGTGTCCTATCCACTTCCACCGCTTCTTCCTGATTTCCTCTTCCACTGGAATCTGACTTGTTCTCTCCCACAGTTCGTTGTTGCTGATGGTGTCTGGCCAACGAATACGAAGTATTCTACGTAGACAGCTGTTAATAAACACTTGTATCCTCTGGATGATGGCTTTGGTAGTTCTCCATGTTTCAGCTCCATACATTAGAACTGTCTTGACATTTGTATTGAAAATCCTGATTTTGGTGTTGATTGATATCTGTTTGGAGTTCCAGATATTTTTCAACTGTAGAAATGCAGCCCTTGCTTTGCCAATCCGTGCCCTCACATCTGCATCCGACCCACCTTGATTGTCGATGATGCTGCCCAGATATGTAAAGGTGTTAACGTCCTCCAAGGCATCTCCGTCAAGAGTGATTTGGTTGGTGCATGCTGTGTTGCATCGGAGAATTTTGCTCTTTCCTTTATGTATGTTGAGACCTACTGCTGCAGAGGCTGCTGCTACACTGGTCGTCTTCTCTTGCATTTGTTGTTGAGTGTGCGATAGAAGAGCCAGATCATCTGCGAAGTCCAGATCGTCCAGCTGCGTCCTAACTGTCCAGTTGATACCGTGCTTCCCTCCAGCTGTTGACGTTTTCATAATCCAGTCGATGACCAGGAGAAAGAGAAAGGGTGAAAGTAAGCAACCTTGCCTGACACCGGTCTTTACCTCGAAAGAGTCGGTTAGCTGTCCTCCGTGCACGATTTTGCAGTTGAATCCATCATAAGAATTCCGTATGATGTTGACTATCTTCTCAGGCACGCCCTAGTGTTGGAGGTTGTATCTTCTCATTTCTGCCGCAACTTGAAATAGTCTTCCAGTCTCCCACAATGTACGAACGTTCCATGTACCTAAAAAAATGGTTGCTCTGGTTGTCAGAAGAGGCATCAGCCCCGTGACTTCCGAGGGAACTCGGCTTTCATCACGCGACGTCATAATTCTTCCTCCAACTCCCAGGGCAGAGTTAAAATGGTTTGAATTATTTTTTCAGGTTAGCGTTTTTTTTGGCAAGTTAGTTTTTGACGGAATGGGGTCGCCAACCCCATGTCCAACCCTCCTCCTTTACCCGGGCTTGGGACCGGCAGTAGCCCCGAAGGTTCTACTGGCGGAAATCCATATGTTAGCGAAACTATCGCAGAAAAGGATGGTTGTATCATTCAGTCTCAATCCAGGAGATTGGATTGATGGGCAGAACACTTTAGGGATCAGTTCAGCTGGCATTCAGCCACATTTCGGTTGCCCATGATCTCCAGTCATACTGAATGGCAAATCGACGTAAGCCCTCTGAATCTTTATGAAGTTGAGAAAGCTATAGGAAATCTAAAACGAGGGAGAGCAGCAGGTCCTGATAGGCTAACTCCTGAGATGTTTAAGGATGGTGGTCCAGTTCTAACGGTAACATTGACTGAGATCTTAGGTAGGATCTGGGAGCTGGACGTAATCCCATCCAATGGTCTCAATCACTGATTGTCACAGTCTACAAGTAAGGACAAAAGTTCTCCTGTGACAATCACATGGGACTCAGTCTAACTTATATAGTTTCTAAATTGTTAGCGTCGATTATACTTAGACGTCTAACTAGAGCTCGTAAAGAGCAGACTCGAGAAAACCAGTCTGGTTTTCCATCTGGACGTGGATGTATAGACCACATATTCACACTACGTCAGGTCCTAGAACAAAGACACGCGTTCAGATGCCTCACAATAGTAGTATTTCTCGACGTTAAGGTGGCATTTGACTCTGTGGATCGTGAGGTTCTGTGGTAGTGTTTGTCATTAAAATGTGTACCAAAGAAATACATTAACCTTATACAGGCTCTGTACTCGAACACCACTGGTCGGGTGAGAGCCTATGGTGATCTGTCAGACCAAAACATTGCACAAATCCATGAAGTCACTGACAAGTGATCTGAACCATGTAGGCAGGTGTGGACTTCCTCGTCGGGGTCTGCGAGACGAAGGCAACCGATAGACCTTTAATGATATGGCTCAAATTCGTTCGCTATGGCGCAGGTGCATCCACTCGTTGAGTTCTCACAAATCGCAACCTGAATTCCTTATCATCTTCATATTTTTATTTATAAGGTTTCTCACTGAACTATTATTTTTCAATAATTTCATTGAACCGTAATCTACTACATCACCGCCAACGCTTCTATTATTTCCACGGTATGGAATTTGAAATTAAGGTCTCTGTGCTCATGCGGTATGGCAACCTGATCTGATGTACGCACGTACGAAGTACTACGTTGTAAATGACTGACTGACTTCAGTTAAAGAATTTCGATAGTGATTACAATACTGAAGTAAAAATATGTTCTATATATAGATTTACTCCGCCTGTATACCCTTCGGGGTTACTGCCGGTCCCAAGAACAGATAAAGGAGGGTTGGGCATGGTGTTAGCGCCCTCATCCCAACTATAAACTAACTAGCCAAAAAACGCTAACCAAAAGAAATAATGCAAACAATTTTAACTCTGCCATGGGAGTTGGAAGAAGAATTATGATGTCGCGTGATGAAAGCCGAGTTCCCTCGGAAGTCACGAGGCCGATGCCTCTTCTGACAACCAGAGCAACCATTATCCTAGGTACATGGAACGTTCGAACATTGCGGGAGACTGGAAAACTGTTTCAAGTTGCTGCAGAAATGAGAAGATACAACATGGAGGTGCTTGGAATCAGTGAAACGCATTGGACATAGGTAGGACAACTGAGACTAGTTTCAGGGAAACTGCTGTTATACTCTGGCCATGAACAGGAAAATGCTTCACATACACAAGGAGTTGCACTGATGCTTTCCAAACATGCACAGAAGGCACTGATAGGATAGGAATCTCATGGACCAAGGATCATTAAAGCATCCCTTAAAACAAAGAAAGAGGACATTACAATGAACGTCATCCAATGCTATGCACCTACCAACAACTACAATGACGAAGTTAAAGATCAATTCTACGAAAGGCTGCAGTCAATCGTCAACAGATGCTCACGAAAGGATTTGACCATTCTGATGGGAGACCTGAATGCCAAGGTTGGCATTGACAACACTGGATATGAAGACATAATGGGACGACATGGACTGGGAGAAAGAAACGAAAACGGTGAGAGATTTGCAAACCTATGTGCCTTCAACATACTGGTCATCGGTGGTACAATATTCCCACACAAACGCATAAGCAAAGCTACATGGATTTCACCGGACCACACTACTCAGAACTAAATTGACCATATCTGTATCAACAAAACGTTCAGAAGGACCATGGAGGATGTGAGAACCAAGAGAGGAGCCGATGTAGCCTCAGATGACCGCTCGCTATGAAAAAGCAACTAAAGAAGCACTGGACAACGGAGCCGACAACATCACAAAAGTTCAATGTGGCGTTCCTTCGGGATACAGGAAAGCTCATCGAGTTCGAGATAGCCTTCAACAATAGGTTCCAGGCCTTGCACGATATACTCAATGGAGAGGAAGCAAGACTGAAGAACAATTGGAATGGGATCAAGGAGGCAATCACTTCAACATGTCACGAAGTTCTGGGTCACAAGAAGTACCATCACAAGGGTTGCATCGCTGTTGGTACTCTTGAAACAGTTGAAGAAAGGAGGAACAAGAAGGCAGCAATCAATGTCAGCCGAATAAGAGCAGCGAAAGTTAAGGCACAAGCTGAATACACAGACGCAAACAGGGAAGTGAAGAAGAGCATCAGAGCTGACAAACGAAAATATGTGGAAGATCTAGCAATGACAGCAGAAAAGGCATGAAAGAGACGCAAACTTGAGACAATTGTACGATACAACAAAGAAGCTCGCTGGAAACTATTGTAAACCATAACGACTAGTGAAAAGCAGGCAAGGCAAAGTAATCAGCAACACTGAAGAACAGCGAAACAGGTGGGTGGAGCACTTTAAGGAACTCTTGAATCGACCAGCTCCACTATACCCGCTCGAAATCGAAGCAGCATCCACGGACCTTCTAATCAATCAACAATTTAAGAGATCAGCTTGGCCATCAGACAAATGATGAGCGACAAAGCAGCAGGACCAGACAACATCCCAGCAGAGGCAATGAAAGCAGATGTGGAAGCAACTGCGAAAATATTTCATATTCTCTTCAAGAAGATTTGGGATGACGAACAAGTAACATCAGATTGGAAAGAAGGATGCCTGATCAAAATACCAAAGAAAGGCGATCTCAGCAAGTGTGAGAACTACAGAGGCTTCACTCTTCTTTCAATACCAGGCAAAGTCTTTAACAGCGTATTGTTAAACAGAATGAAGGACTTCGAAGACGTCCAACTTCGAGATCAACAGGCTGGATTTCGTAAGGATCGACCGCGTAATGACCAAATCGCTACATTACGGATCATTGTGGAACAATCAATTGAATGGAACTCACTACTCTTCATCAACTTCATCGACTACAAGAAAGCATTCGATAGAGTGGATAGGAAAATACTGTGGAGGCTTCTTCGACACTACGGAGTGTCTTAGAAGATAGTCAACATCATACGGAATTATTATGATGGATTCAACTGCAAAATCATGCACGGAGGACAGCTCACACACTCGTTCGAGGTGAAGATCAGTGTCAGGCAAGGTTGCTTACTCTCACCCTTTCTCTTTCTCCTGGTGATCGACTGGATTATGAAGACGTCAACGTCTGGAGGGAAGCACGGTATCAACTGGACAGTTAGGACGCAGCTGGACGATCTGGACTTCGCAGATGACCTGGCTCTTCTATCGCACACGCAAAAACAAATGCAAGAGAAGATGACCAGTGTAGCAGCAGCCTCTGCAGCAGTAGGTATCAACATACATAAAGGGAAAAGTAATGCAACACAGCATGCACCAACCAAATCACTCTTGATGGAGATGCCTTGGAGGACGTTAACACCTTTACATATCTGGGCAGCATCATCGACAACCAAGGTGGATCCGATGCAGATGTGAGGGCGTGAATCGGCAGAGCAAGGGCTGCATTTCTACAGTTGGAAAATATCTGGAACTCCAAACAACTTTCAACCAAAACCGAAATCAGCATTTTCAATACAAATGTCAAGACAGTTCTACTGTATGGAGCGGAAACTTGGAGAACTACAAAGGCCATCATCCACAAGTTACAAGTGTTTATTAACAGTTGTCTTCGCAAAATACTTCGGATTCGTTGGCCAGACACCATCAGCAACAACTTACTGTGGGAGAGAACAAGCCAGATTCTAGTGGAGGAGGAAATCAGGAAAAAGCGGTGGAAGTGGATATGAGACACTGCGAAAAGTACCCAACGGCGTCACAAGACAAGCCCTCACTTGGAACCCTCAAGGCAAAAGGAAAAGAGGAAGGCCAAGGAACACATTACGCAGAGAAGTAGAGAATGATATGAGAAAAATGAACAAACATTGGACAGACCTGGAGACGGAAGCCCAGGACAGAGTTGGTTGGAGAAAACTGGTGGGCGGCCTATGCTCCATTGGGGGCAACAGGCGTACGTAAGTAATATATAGATTACTTGAATTAGGTTATCACTACTGGTTATTAACAAGGAATGATGAACGCACAACTTTCATCACATGATGATCTATATTTATTGAAAAACAATATCACTGAATAAAAGTATAATCACATGGAATAATATCTTCAACTTACATCAACCTCACCCTGATCGATAATGTAGAAATTGTCACCTTCATCTCCTTGTTGAATAATCACATCACCTGGATTACGATGTACAGGGAACATGGCATCAAATATATCACTAAATAAATGTAAAGCCAGATTTGAAAAGTCAGTGAAACAATACAAAGTAAGAGATAAGTAAAGTTGAATGGAAAGTTTTCCCTAATTTATAATGTTTTTAACTGATGTTGGACAAAAGGGGCTGATCAGCGCTAGTAGATAAATAATCATGAAGACTCCAGAATCTTCCTGCGTAGAACTTATGAATACAGTCTAACTGTGATACCAACTTAGTTAACTGGCCGTTTTGTTTTGGAATATAGTTATGTTCCTGAACAAACCAAGTTCTGATTACGGAATCAGTTAGTTGAGTGGAATAATGCTTGACAAATAATAGTCAGTAAAAGTTACTGGTTTAAATAAGTAGAACTTTAACAACTATACATGTTTATCAAGAACTAAACTTACTTAAGTAGACTGTACATTACGATGTTAGTGCGATCTGAAAACGTATACATGTTGGAGCATTTAATGTACGGACATTGTGTCAAATAGGGCAACAGGCTTCCTTAGCTAGGACTTTAGAATCTCGTGCCATTGATGTATGCTGCCTCTCGGAAACGCGCATACAGGATTCCATTAAAATTGTTAGTCTGATTTCACCTTGTCAAGATAAAGAAGCAGCTGATAAAAAGCCTACGTAACGACCGCGAACAGTGGTGGATGGCGAAAGCAAAAGTGATGGAAAAGGCAGTGGCGATAGGCAACAGTAGACAACTTTTCCGACTTATCAAGGAAATTGGTATTAGGAACCCAAATGTGACTGAGACGATTTCGAAAAAGGATGGTCTTATTATCCATTCTCAATCCAGGAGACTGGACCGATAGGCAAAACACTTTAGGGATCAGCTCAACTGGCCTCGAGCCACTCTTCCGTTACCCACGATCTCCAGTCATCCTGAATGGCAAATCGACGTAAGTCCCCCTAGTCTTAATGAAGTTGAGAAAGCGACATTGACTGAGATCTTAGGTAGAATCTGGGAACTGGACGTAATCCCATCCGACCGGTCTCAATCACTTATTGTCCCAATTTATAAGAAAGGACAGAAGTCTTCTTGTGACAATCACAGGGGAATAAGTCTAACTAATATAGTTTATAAAATATTGGCCTCAATAATATTAGAGAAAACCAGTCTGGCTTTCCATCTGGACGTGGTTATATAGACCACATCTTCACACTACGACAGGTCCTGGAACACAGACACGCATTTAGGCGTCCTACAATAGTTGTTTTCCTGGACCTAAAAGCGGCATTTGACTCAGTGGATCGTGAGGTTCTGTGGTGGTAGTGTCTGTCATTCAAAGGTGTACCAAAGAAGTACATTAACCTTATACAGGCTCTGTACACGAACACCACTGGTCGAGTGAGAGCTTATGGCGAACTGTCACCGGAATTCTCTACATCAAGTGGTGTCCGTCAGGGATGTCCACTCTCCTCATTCTTGTTAAATTTTATCATTGACATGCTGCTAGAAATAACCTTATCCTCATCTGAATTTTCAGGAGTAGACCTTCTACCAGGTGGCTCGCTTATTGACTTAGAATATGCCGATGACATTGTCCTACTTGATGAAGACGCTGACAAAATGCAGAGTATTCAGACCACCCTAAGCAACAATGCAAGCATGTTCGGGATGCAGTTTTCCCCGCCGAAATGCAAAATGTTGCTTCAAGATTGGGTTTCACCGGCGCCTGAACTAGTGATAGAGAGTGAAGTAGTCGAGCGTGTTGACCGCTTCACTTATCTTGGGAGTCTCATCAATGCTGATGGCCTGGTTACTGACGAAATCTCAGCACTGATACAGAAGGCTCGATTTGCTTTTGTCAACCTGCGTCAATTATGGAGCAGGCAAGATATCCGTTTGCTGACTAAAGGACGAGCGTACTGTGTAGTGAGAGAGAAGATATTCGTAGGTTACTTGTTTTCGATCATAGGTGTCTTCAAAGCATTGCTTGTATATCCTGCGACACCCGAGTGAGCAACGCTGTTATTAGGAAACGGGTGCTAGGTAAGGATGGCGGATCAATAGATGAAGTAATGAAACTTCACCAGCTGAGGTGGTTGGGACATATGTTGCGTATGCCTAACCACCGACTGCCTCGACGAGCTTAGTTTTGTTGTGCAGGAATAGGTTGGAAGAAAGCTAGGGGCGGCCAAACCAAAACATAGCAGAAATTCATGAAGTCATTGACGAGTGGACTTAGCCATGTCGGTAGTTGTCGACTACCTGGTTGGGGTCCGTGATGGTTAGAGACCCTTAATGACATGGCTCGAAACCATTCGCAATGGTGCCGGTGCATTTATTCTTTGTGTCCTCTCAAATCCCAATCTTCTGGATTCTTCAACACCTCTAGTTTTGACTTTCTAAACTTTTCTCACTGAATCATACTTCTTGAATAATATCTTCTAATCCTAACCTCTCCGACTACTTTTAATACCTTTACTACCTCTTCTACTATTGGATTTGAATTGACAATTACATCTCTGTGCTGATGTGGTATGGCAACATGAACTGATGTACTTACGTACGAAGTTCTACGTTGCATCTGACTGACTGATTCTAAGTACTATATATTATGGTCCTCCTTATATGAACCACATTATGGAATATGAGAATCAGGTCAAGAAAGAATTAAAACTAAGTGTATTAACAGAGATCCTAAAAGCGTCTCTTGTAAAGTATTTTAATAGGATAGATTTTTAACACTGTTTGCGTTCGGCGAAAAATCACTTTCCTCTGTGACATCTGAGCGCTGATGTACAGTTATTAGACCTGACTTCGTAACCAAAACCCTTATCACTGTTCATAATTTCTTGTCTTTACATGTCTATCCAAGTTACGTACTGAAAATTATTTCATTCTTTAGATAATATGATACTCGGTGGTATTATATACACCGTTTGCAATGGCGCAGGTGCATTTACTCTTTGTGTTCTCTCAAGTCCTAACCTTCTGAATTCCTCATCGCCTCTATCTTTCTCTTTCTAAATTTACCTCACTGAATTATACTTCTTGAATATTATCTTCGAACCCTAATACCTCCGATTACTGCTAATACTTTTTCTACCTCTACTACTATGGGATTTGAATTGACAATCGCCTCTCTGTTCTAATGTGGTATGGCAACTTGAACTGATGTAATTACGTACGAAGTTCTACGTTGCTTTTGATGATGATATTATACATATAGTTCCGTCTACTATTGACACTACTTTGAGGTACGACAATAACTCAGTCAGTAATTAGTGAATAGAACACGTAACTATTTTATGCATATACTAATAAACCAGAATGTTTTACATTTTAGTATAAAAATATATGGAATGGGATTTAAGGCATTTTCTCACCCTAATACACAGCGAATTCTCACCATGAGTACAACGTTTATGAACCAGTTAGTTATCAATTTTTTAAACCACTATGGTCCAGTCAATGTCTCCAGAGACAAATATCAACTGATTCGAGACAAGTAGTGATTTATCATGATAATAATATTTAACGAAAATCGGAAATGGAAGAAGCTTAGTTATATCCCTATTTTGAAATTTTGTTTAATTTCGACACCGGATGGCTGGCTTCGATGAACAAAACTAATCAAGAGTTGGTAGTTCGAACTATTAGGTCAGTTTTCTAGGATCTGAACTTGAACTTTACAACACTATAACAGTACATCCCGTTGGGGTTGTTTATAACATCTCTTCCCTGTATCTTTCTTGAAATTCTACGTTTATATATCTACGTAAACTTTAGATATATGACAAACTGATATGATTCTGAAATACTTGACTACCGGATTAATTAATAGCAATCATGATGAAACAAAATAAGTAGCATGTTTAATTAAATGAGCATAAAAGCAAGTGGGTCACGAGAGTAGACTAAATACTGAGTACTCCTAACAGTACATACTGGCAATACTAAGGCTTTTAGTTAGCTCAGTAAAACGGATTTGGAGCACGAGATTTCAATAACTAAGTTGCTGAAATTCGATCGATGTTAAAGGCATACCAAGCTAAAAAGAAAAGTACATACCTTCTTTCTGTTTCATCTAAATGAGAAAATAGAACATTTTTGGCGATAGCCTTTGAAAGAGCTGTCATCGTTTTATAGTCTTTCGGAACAACCTTATTGGGATAAAATAAGGACAAAATCAATCAGTAATAAGCATGAATTTAAGGACAAAAAACCATAATTAAAAAAACTCAACTATGCAGAATGATACACCAATGAAGTTATCACAGTAAAGGAAATGTTAGCACCTCGTGATAACTGGTAAGCTGTTTTGAACACTAAATGTTCTAATTTTTTCAGTCGATATACTGTCGTTAGTCATTACATTATAATCGTGGCATTTTGATGCACGTAGTTATTAAACTGAGTTTAATTTAATTCTATTGTTCTGAATTTCCACTGGAGACGGATTGTTATCGTTGATATTCACCCCTGAAATTGCCAGTTTTGTTACTAAGTAGACTAGCTATTGACACAAAAAGAGATCTTTCAATCTCAGTGAGACTATTCAAAATGAATATAGATGATAGAATACCAAAGTGTAAGTTATTGGGAGTTTTGGTAGTGCATAAGGTTATTGGATGACGACATACCAAAATTACAAGCCAGAATTGAAGACGTTGTAATAAGATGTGAACAACCTTAAAAAAAGACAAAATTACCTTTTTAACGTAAGATGCAGCATCTTCTTCTGTATAAACTTCGCCGCTAACTGCTCCTCTTCGAGATCGACGTCTAGTCAAACTAGCACCGGAAGGTGACACAGCTACTAAGCCCTTCGTTCCATTTCCTCCATCATAACAATTTCCATCCTCATTTGAACTATTGAATTCGTGACTACCATCAACCTTTAAAGGAGTTTCGGCTAAACATCTTCCAGTGTTACTAGGAATAAAATTATCCGTATCGCAGGAGTATCGGTGGTTACTCATCTCCGAAGACCGATCACAATTTTGAGAGCTTACGGAGGGAATGACAACACTCAAGTAACCACTTTCGTGACTCTTATCCTCGCGTTTGAAAGGAAGACTGGAGGTATTTGATGTAGAAAATGTGTGTGAATTTTCATTACGTTCTACTTGTTTATGAGAAGTGGACCCAGTTACATGACTAGTAGATGAATCAGTACACTTTACATTACAAACCTGGGAAATTGAATAAATATTCTGAGATCAAGAGTAAAACCACAGTTTGATAGAATTATAGACGGTAAAAAGTAAACACTAAAACCCCACATACGTACACTGGTTCATTTTAACACATCTTCAACGGCACAAAAGACAGAAAATAAATGTTATGTTTTATCCCAGGAACTGAAATCAGACAACCTAGGGTTTTCGCCAAATAATTTGCAACAGCTTGGGAATCTCAACCATGAAGTTTACACGTACCAACATAACCCAGGTTTACAGCTGGTGGATTAATGAACTAGCATCAAGTTTTCGTTTGAATACTAAGTTAGAGTAATTAGAGCCGCATCACCCAGGACCACTATTTAGTACACAACAGTTTGGCAAATAAACTGCTTATACCAATCAGTTTGATTCTGCCTTAGGGAGTAACTTGAAATTCTTGTTTTGAATACAGTATCAAAACTCAATATCATAAGTCTGGATATTTCACCACATAAGTCATGATTTTAGAGCATATCACGAAAGTGTCAAAAAAACAGTTCTGAGGTAGGATTATATTAGGAATGTTGAGGTTCAGATTGATTTTGTGTAATAATTCAGCGTGTATATAGAGTGCAGGTGAACGTCCGCGATAATACAAGTCAGTGACATATATATATATGAAACTTATATCAAACAAGAGCGAAATATTCCATTTGAATATATTGATTTATTACTTCAGCCTTTATTACCACTAATACCTTTTCTACTTCATCAATTAACATAAACTCCTTCATATGTTTTCTGCTTTAAAAAAAAAACTTAGTGTATTTTAAGCCCACTAATACCTGCAATAAAAGAATTGAGCAAGATTCGTGCATGCATATCATCTATAAAATGCGGTTCCACAATCTAAATTTAAAAAAACCAAATAACTAACCATCCCATACACATGCACACATAACTATGAACTCAATATTAGAGCACGTTTTTTGTGTGCTCATTGATTTAACCACATCAACGTAACCATAAATATTGATCTTTGCATGACTACGGACTAGATGTACGTTGATTACTCAGTAAGTAGATATATCTATTTGGCTATTTGAAGTTTATTGCCAATATATGTATTAAGACACCGTCTTGGTTGAATGAATCGCAAACAGGAATTAGAGCAGAATAGAATGGATTCATTATATTTCGTAGTTTCACTTCAGCTGCTAACTACTGTATAGGCTATTCGGTTTACTTGTTTAATCCCATGTTTACTATGTATGAGCTATCTTTTTATCGAACATGTTTTTTTACTTGACCTTAGGATCAACAATTATCACAATGCGTCTAATTATATGACTAAACAAGTAAAATATGATAAGCCCATTCAGTAATCTATTGAGCTAAACTGTTAGTTTAAGCTTCCCGGAGCATGAGCAATTCACTTTATGCAGTACTTGAGGTAGCGAGCCAAAATATTTCATTGACCAACAGTCACCAAAGATAACGTAATAACTTGCCTCGAGCTTCTCAAAATATTCACGAAGAAATGCTACTGGATTACTGGGACGGTATAGGCACAAGTTAACAACACAGTCCCTGAGAAGTTTTTGCACATCATGATGCTTAACATAATCTTCAACATCACTCATAAACGACTCATCCTCCATACTCCATAAATCTCCAGATTCAGCGGTAACGTTTGTAACAGCCGCCTTTACGGTGAGCACTCTCAGTATCAAATACCATTGTGAAAAGCTTGTGTAAGACGATTGTGTTCTTTATTTTTGCTTCTTTTTATTTACAAAGGGTTTATTATCTTCAAATACGTTCAACATGTGGTAGCTATTTACTTGATTGATGAGACGTCAACTTGATAGTCAAATAGACCTGCCCTCGTTGATCTCCTGCCATTTACAGGAAACAATCCGATTTTCGACTCCACGGAGGGATTCGAAACACCTTGACTGGGCCTTCATCAAAGAAGCTAAACGACACTCCCGAGACACCCGATAGCAGACTAGCATGGTAGATCACGGAAAACTCTAGCTGGTTAGTAGGGGCATGTGAGTTAGCTTTTCACGCGTCGATGGTGATGGCTATCATATAGCATGGCTGTGAAATTCAGAAATCGCGAAGACCTAACTAAGGCAATTCAAACTTAGTAAGATATGGAAAACGATCTCTCTAGTCACACTAGATGTTGCGGGAGCCGCCCTTTATCTCAGACAACAACAAGGAGCCCACAATAAGTGCAAACTAATTACAATCCAACTCTATCGGCAACTCGCTGTCCAAGGTACAAAAGTCATGGTCTCACCCACTGAATGCTCTGCAAAGCAAAAGTACCTGAGTAGATCATTTCCCAAATCAGCAGTCAACTCGGTTAGAACAAGTTGCTTTTATACCTAACAACGGCAGTTGCTGCAAAGGGCACCAGGTGATGAGACAAGTCACCAAGTACCTCAATAGCAACTTAAAAGGAATAAGGGGTAATCGGTTAGAGATTAGGAATGCCTGCTCTCATAAGAATCTGAAGATCATAATCTTACTGCAATCATCCGACATTACAGACATTGAAGTGTACTTGAAATGCATGACACATTTCCGTTGTAACCGAGTAAACCGGAGAGGCTGTACGTATTATTGGCCATTTCAAAGCAGCAACATTTAACGTTACCCAACCAACCGGTATGAAAGAATGATGCTGGTCTGGTGTCAACATAAATGAAACAAAATTCTAGACTGGAAGGATTTACTGGCCCCCTCAAGTCCCAAAGCTTAAGAAAATAAACTGATTTATGCAATACTGCAATTACCATTCCTTATGCTTGATCAAGCACTCTTAGCTGGAGATTTCAACACTCAGTATCTTAATCTCAGCAAACAGTGTACTATTACTACAGGTCGGTTTCATAAGTAACTTGGTGCAGCCGTTAAAATTCTCGGAACGACCAAGCATGTATGTAGCGCCAACAGAAGGATTTAGGACTGAAAATATTTAAACGTGGATTACATGTTAACAAATAATCAGCTCCTGATCGAGGATGCTGACGTGCATTCACCATCAGGAATTAGTGATCATGAAGCAGTCATCTTTACCATGGCCATAAACGAAACACTCAGGTGAGTCGAAAATGAGCTCTACCTTTGCTACACTGGGGCAAGTTACTCGTGCTTGAAAGAAATTTTCAATATGCCCCATGGCCACTGAAACGGTGGTGGAGAAAAGTGGATGATCACTGACAAAAGCAAGAGAAATCATCCAGAATTCTACCATAAACAATACATCTCAGGAGCACCACACTCCGAGAAATAAAAAAAAATTGTGTTTAGAGCGGCATTGAACGCCTGCTACAGGCGAACGGATGACCTGGAACAGGTGGAAGTTTCTCTGAGGGACTTCGAACATAGTTCGTACTTACTATTGAGAAATAGGTGCAATACTACGGTTGGAAATGATAAAAGACACTTCCAGATGAAACTAGCCGCAAAAATACAGGCTAACGTAAAATATTTATTAGGGTTCATAGCTAAAAGAGAACCTACGAACTATGATGTTTGTGCCCTCAAAGGTTCAAGTGGCGAAGATCTCACTCACCTAGTGACGGCTTAGATCTTGAACAAAAACTTTACCGATCACTGAAACCAATTACCTACACGTTCAGAGTACTACTGGAACCTAGTGCCAGCTCATGGCTTACGGAATATATAACTTACTTCTGAGTTAGAAGTACTAAGAAAACTAAAATCCCTGCGCCTAGGAATGTCGTCAGGATGTGACAATATTCGTCCCATAGTCTTGAAACTGAGCAGAAGCCCTCAGTTCACTGGTACGCGACTTTAAATTCACTGGAGTCATATTAACTCATAACTGAACGGAAACAAGCCACACTTTTTCCAATCTTTAGGGGAGGATATAGGAATGATTTAGCCAGTTACAGACCAGTCGCAATACTATCGGAGATATGTAAGGACTGGTGAAATAGCAAATGAAGGTGAACGTGGATACGAACAAAGTACTCCAGAAAGTTCAACACAGGTTTTGGAATGATCTGGAATCTGGATCCAGTCTTTTCATAGCATAAGACAGTTGGACAACCTACTGGTTCACTTAATCTTTCTTGACTTCTCCAAAGCCACCACAGGCACTCCTGATTGTGGAATTTGCGAAAATTGACTCGGAAGCTAACTTGAGAATAGAAATTTTCGCACCGTGTTGAATAAAGTACATACGAACTGGTGATTCTCAAAATCGGGAGTTTTACATGGGACCATATTAGGCCTAGTTCTATTTTTGATATTTGTTATTTGTCTTTTGGACAGAATCAACACAGCTACTCCGGTCTACGCAGATGCAAAGAACTGGTGGTCCATTAGAAGCGAAAAAGATTCAAATGAGCTTCTAAAAGACCTTACATCCATTGACGAATGCACAGTGTAAAACGGTTTAAAACTAAACCAGCCAAAATGTCGTGTCATGTACTCTCTGACCCATATGACTGAAACAATTTAAACCCCCAGTAGAAGTTCACTTCCTAATGTCGCTTCAGAGCGCAGTCTCGGTCTTATAACCTCTGTAAGCCTCCACACCATTTCTAACTATGTAGGGGACTTGGTGCTTTCACCCCAGAGTAATTCTTAACGTTGTCTAAGACATATGCACGCCCAAACCTTGTTATAATTCTCCCTCTTTATTACAGCCAAGCTACTCCCAATGCTTAATATTTTTGAACATCAATTCACTCGAGACGTTCTCCCAAATCAGAACACGGTTGAACAGGAAATAGATTATATTCCAGTAACAAGGTTAAAGGGAGACAGAAGGTCCAAAAAAAAAGAAGTTGATATATTTATAGATTTCCTGCATGAGAAGATTCTAGAATGTTCCCTCAGTACCGACTAGCTCTGACTGGATAAGAAGGAGCCAACCAGCATGCAACAAAGTAGTCATGCTTTAATCCAATCTACGTCCCACTAGCATCTCCCCTTTGAGCAGATTCGTAGGATCTGGTGCTGGGGTCCAACAGCATCCAAGTGAATGTGGCCTGTGCTTTCGATTTGTCCATCTCACGGGCAATAAAGAAGTTATGTCACTTTGCTTGCACAAAAACGGACCTATCTGTTCCAGGCGTTTTGATTTCGAAGGTGTCTAGCAGTACATCAATGGGTATTCGATAATGAGTCTCGTTGCTGGCTATCGAAGTTGCTTTCATTTGGTTAGCATGACGTACCCAAACTTCTGAGCTAACTGACACCTCATAAATCACAATCCCTTTTTCAAGATCCGACCAACTATCTATGTAGGATGTTTCCCACGATAGTCCATAGCAAGTACTTTTTGACCCATCGTGAACATTCATCTTTGTGCCCCATGATGTCGGTTGTATTGCATCTCCATCGATAGGTTTCGTTGAGACTCAGGATCTGGCACAGGATGGATGACATCGAAATGTGTTCGTATTTTCCTGCCAAGTAGAGCTTCTTCTGGTGAGACTGTTAACCGTCTGAGGGTTCGGTGTAGAGCGATAAATAGGCAGGAGCCTCTTTAAGATCTCTTCGGTTGTCCCCTTCCTTTAGATTTTTTAAAGTCACTTTTAAATGTACTCGGAAAGCGTTCCACTCGACCATTCAAGTCGAACTGGAATGGAGGTGTGTGGACGGGATGGATTCCGCTCTGCAGACAAATTTGTGAGAAGATTGCGGACGCAAACTTTGTCCCACTGTCACTAACTATCGATTCCGGGACTCCGAAACGACTGAATGTAGGACGTTATTTACTGACTGCTTAGTTTACAATTGGATGTTGCGTGAGAAAAAATTTCTGGCCACTTGCCGGATGTATCAACTACCAGAAGGTATGTTTGTCCATAATGTGGGCCAGAAAAGTCTAAATGTATACACTGCCACGATGAATGTGCTATTGGTCATGATTGCAGCTCTGCTTTCAGTTGTATTTTTGCTGCTGATGCTCATCTGGTACACGAACGGGACAGCTGCTCTAGTTGGGTGTCTAAATGAGGCCAGTATACATAATACCGTGCTAGTACATCCATGCGATTTATTCCAGGGTGTCCTGTGTGTAACAGTTTAAGTACTGCTGGCTGTAGCTTCGCTGGGATTACGACCCGTTCAGAAAACAGCAGATAGTCGCCGATGAGTAAAAGAGAGTCTACACTGGTAAAACTGTTGACTACAGCTTCCTCAGTAGGCAGCTTTAAGAAGAGACTTGGTAAACACTCACATACGGATTATCATATATCTCATGAACCAGCTGCGCCTGATGCATGTCTTGAGGCCCGCAAGTTATTATTATTGTCATCTCCTCAGATCACTAATTTATTCTATTACGCTTATAATCTCTATTTCCACTCCCTCGCTTACACTTCGGTCCTACAATCAATAAACTAAATTATCTATTAATTAACTTAACTCTGAAATATTCTTCTTATTAGCATTAGAATTTTCTCCTAATTATTCTCCAAATTTCCAGTCTGGCAATGTGATAGCTGGTGGCATCCAGAAATCCTGCTGCCCTGAAACAAACATATTCATTCAAATCATGGGACATACAAGTTCATAGATAACCTGTAAGTGACTAGAATTAGTTCAGTCGGATGGGCATACTATTATTCGTTGGAAAATACCAAACACATTGATCAGTAGTGAAATAACAAGAATCGAGCGAAAAGAGATCACGTAGTGAATATTGGAAAGTGGCAATTATGAAGAATAACGCCTCAGTGGCTGGTATCAGTCTTTGGGCACTAGGTACTCCTTCAAATTTCTTTACATTGAGGCTCCTGTTATTTATTTCATCACTTTTATTTGGTATTTCAACTAGAGTTAACTCGTCTGTCAGGTCTTTGTTGATAGCGACGGATGAACGCATAGTATTATAAGACACGTGACTTGTCCGTAAGCTTACTATGAATATTCGTTGCGTAACCGGGTGACTTTATTCATTAAGGAATGATACACTAGTGTTTCATATGTAAGTATGAACTAATTTTGTCAGCCTATTGATGAATGTAATCCATAGTCCACTCAATCTTCATATAAATTTAAATCTCATTGCGCAAATTCCCAATAGGTAACCACTTACTACGTTCCAAACCGCTTGTCTAAGCTAGTCTGTGGTAAGATTTTATTATAACAAGTGTTGTTTACAATGGTCTTAGTCAATATTTGTTTCACTAACGCAAAAACAATCATTTGGTAGCTGATTGGTGTTCTTGAGTTAGTCAGATGGTATTAGCAACAATGAACTAGGCAGAACTAGCTTTTTTTAGATTCACTCAAGTTATCATATATGGTTTTGAGAACTAAGTTTGCCAATGAAGCAATATTATTTGTGACTATACGTAGTATACTCTTCAGATTGTATACCAAATATCTTGACCAAACGAAAGTTGCAGTTTTTTAGTGTATACGTTTTGCTGACAAAGTTTCAGACAAGGTTTCATGCGGATGCTCAACTCTAAAACATGTTAGTAGACTAATTATTTTGGAAAATAATTTCGTGGTTCACACCTACTCCTGCCGTTCATCTTCTATATCTTGGTAAATTCATTTTGACCCTGGTATATTAATTCGTTTGTTTTATTTCACATTCATTTTTTTAATTTGCCTTGTTTCAGATTTTGATATCAACTGGATCTAAACTATCCTCAAATATTCTTTACTTACACAACCTTTCGGAAAACTAAATATCTGTAAATTACGTTACACCTTACTACTTAATACAGTCTATCTTAAGCTTATAGTATGAATACGTTTAAACTAGCGAATACCGCATTGTTACTTTTTGATTGTTTCTCGGCTGGAACCTTTTTCATGCTTTTAATATACCTCTCTTACAGACTTTGTACTCCTTTACTTAATTTATGGTCATTAAATTATCACGTAGATATGGTAATCTGTCAGAGTCCTGCCTTTATTACTTTCCTTGTGATATTTGTGTACTTCATTGATGTTTTGACATGTAAAATAAACGATCAACCACTGGTTGATTCATTAGGGAATCAAAGGAGGTCAAATGTTCTATTATATATGCTTGTCCTTTCTACTTTCGTTCTATGCTCATTATATGCAGTTGTATTTGTACCGAATACCAGTTTTGCTGTATTTCTACTCTCCACCTCAGTCTTCTTGTTATTTTCGGACTTGTCTGTGTTTTTTATTGTACTAGAGGTAAGATGTCCATTTCCGATTTCTATCACTTTATTTATAGTACTATTTATTGAAAACGGAATCGGCAAATTATCAGCATGCTGAACGCCAGTGTTTGCTCAGTCATTTATTTGCAAATCACTCATTTATTGATCATATGTTTAGCATGTTTCTGAAAACTTCCTTGTTCAGCGTCAGTATCACTTCAAAGTATTCATACCTGGAAAGCATTTTTAAGTTTACTTTAGCGGAGCAGATTTTATACATTATAGCGGTATTTGTTTTCGTGCCATCATTTATGAGAATATTCGTGTCCTATACGAAAAGAATTTACGGTGATCAACAGAAGCGCCTAATCTTAAAGTTAGTGATGCAAAACAGTTGATCACTTTTAAATTTTCACGTATTTCTGGCTTTATTTTGTTTTTATCTATATGTGCAAGTCATCCTCAGATCTTGGGGAACAGAGCGTGGAACATCGTTGCAGTTACTGTTACATCTGCTTTCAGTGCCTCGGTTGGTATATTGTCAAGTCCTGCTTCTCTGCCACTCCTGATTTGTCTAGTGACTAAGCAGATTTCTTCGGCAGCTGCTATTTCAACATAGTGGTCGGAATTGCCTATCGTGATGACCCAGCCGAACTATATTGTCTGTAACATACGTTTCTGTAGGTTCTAGCATACCGAGCAGGTTGATTGCGAAACCATGGGACTAAAAGCAGCTACTCAACGTGTGAGGGTGAAGTCGTAATGCTGACTGTAGAGAGGTGTGACAGCAGTAAAGTGTTTCCCTCGGACAACCAGCATCTACAATGATGCTGCCTTTTCACAAGATAAGAAGGAGTTGGAAAATGTTGGCCCTAACAATGTCACACCTCACCTTACTTCATGGATTTCCGTCTCTGGTGGTAGGGGCTTTCAAAAAGAACAGAGCCAACAATTTAAAAACTTCTCATAACAACGACGTGCGTGGCCGGGCGCATGTAGTTGTCTTCTGCTCTCTGCGGTAACGTTCTCAGGTCTCTAAGACCAAGACAAACCTACTTTCTTTTTCATGTTCCTCTGTAAACAGCCTTCCAAGGTGTGTGCAGCCGCGAATTGATATCCGCCTTCATACCCGTAAAAGCACACGAGACCAAATTGGTTGCAATCAAATCATTCCTACGCTCCGTAACATCTCTCTTATCTCCACGACTCACCGTTATCACATTCGTTTATCAAACTGCATCGCTGATGCGAACGATTCGAGTTCTCGAAACGTAATTCCCGGTTTCCTGAAGCCCCGTTCTAAACTACATGTGCGGGCTTTTAATGACCGGACACTGTGTCAATTAGGACAGCCGGCGATGAAAAAGGCAACAACAGTAGACAACTTTTCAGCTTTATAAAGGAAACCGGTATTGGAAATCCATATGTTAGCGAAACTATCGCAGAAAAGGATGGTTGTATCATTCAGTCTCAATCCAGGAGATTGGATTGATGGGCAGAACACTTTAGGGATCAGTTCAGCTGGCATTCAGCCACATTTCGGTTGCCCATGATCTCCAGTCATACTGAATGGCAAATCGACGTAAGCCCTCTGAATCTTTATAAAGTTGAGAAAGCTATAGGAAATCTAAAACGAGGGAGAGCAGCAGGTCCTGATAGGCTAACTCCTGAGATGTTTAAGGATGGTGGTCCAGTTCTAACGGTAACATTGACTGAGATCTTAGGTAGGATCTGGGAGCTGGACGTAATCCCATCCAATGGTCTCAATCACTGATTGTCACAGTCTACAAGTAAGGACAAAAGTTCTCCTGTGACAATCACATGGGACTCAGTCTAACTTATATAGTTTCTAAATTGTTAGCGTCGATTATACTTAGACGTCTAACTAGAGCTCGTAAAGAGCAGACTCGAGAAAACCAGTCTGGTTTTCCATCTGGACGTGGATGTATAGACCACATATTCACACTACGTCAGGTCCTAGAACAAAGACACGCGTTCAGATGCCTCACAATAGTAGTATTTCTCGACGTTAAGGTGGCATTTGACTCTGTGGATCGTGAGGTTCTGTGGTAGTGTTTGTCATTAAAATGTGTACCAAAGAAATACATTAACCTTATACAGGCTCTGTACTCGAACACCACTGGTCGGGTGAGAGCCTATGATGAACTGTCATCGGAATTCATTACTTCAAGTGATGTTCATCCCGGCTGTCCACTCTCTCAATTCTTGTTTAACTTTGTCATAAACATGCTTTTGGATACGACACTTTTGCTGTCTTACTTTTCAGCTCAGGAGATTCGCTTGTTGAATATGCGATGACATAGTTCTACTTGGTGAAGACGCTGACATCTTAAGCAACAATGCAAGCATGTTCGAGATGCGATTCTCCTCGTCGAAATGCAGAATGTTACCTCAGGATTGGCTGGCAACGGTATCTCAACTAGTGATAGGGTGTGAAGCAGTTGAGCGTGTTGACCGGCCGCACTTATCTTGGGAGTCATCAGTGCCGATGGCCTGGTGACTGATGAAATCTCAGCTCGGATACAGAAGGCTCGATTGGATTTTGCGAACCTGCGTCACTTATGGCGTACGCGAGATATCCGTTTGCTAACCAAAGGTCGAGTGTACTGTGCAGCAGTTCACTCTGTCCTACTCTAAGGATGCGAAACATGGCCGGTAAGAGTAAAGGTTATTCGTAGGTTACTAGTATTCGATCACAGATGTCTTAGAAGTATTGCTCGTGTACCGTGGGACAACCGAGTAAGCAATGCTATAGTTAGGAACCGAGTACTAGGTAAGGATGGCATATCAATAGATGAAGTATTGAAACGTCATCAGTTGATGTGGTTGGGTTATGTGCGACGTATGCCTAACCACCGACTGCCTCGACGAGCAATGTATTGTGGTGTAGGGGTAGGGTGGAAGACTGCTAGAGGTGGTCAGACCAAAACATGGCACAAATCCATGAAGTCACTGACAAGTGAACTGAACCATGTAGGCAGGTGTGGACTTCCTCGTCGGGGTCTGCGAGACGAAAGTGACCGATAGACCCTGAATGATATGGCTCAAATTCGTTTGCTATGGCGCAGTTGCATCCACTCGTTGTGTTCTCTCAAATCGTGAACTTCTGAATCCCTCATCACCTTTATCTTTCTCTTTTTAAAAATATTTCAATGGTTTATACTTCTTGAATAATATCTTCGAACCATAATTTTATCCATTGCCGCTACTAGTTCTTCTTCATCTTCCACCAGTGAATTTGAATTGACGATTACATCTCTGTTCTACCGTTATATAGCAACCTGAGCTGATGTGATTGCGTACGACGTACTACGTTGTAACTAGCTGACTGACTGAACACGTCAAGGTAGCAGCTACATTCGGGTTTTGGTGTATCTCTCTGTAGACATAATGTGTACCGTTTTCAGAATTCAAACATCCATGAGTTTAAATAGTTAAACTCGTGCTAACTTTATTTTATGTTTTATGTTACGACTACTTAGAAATACTTGTTTAGTTTTATACCTGTTGATACAAGTTCACATCAACTTGACAATAGTGAGTTGTACATCGATTTCAGAAAACTGTTTACTATTATTTCAAATCAACTTATACATTATGAAAGATTTGTTTTTATTTCTTTGCAAATGAGGCCTATCTTAAAACGGTCTATGTGTCCTTATACAGTGTTCTATGTTATGTCTGTATAGAAGTGCTCTTGCGTGTTTTTTTCTCACGACGTACCTAATATCCCTTTTTATTCCTATTGTAGTAAGAGAGTATCCAGTTCGACACGAATACGTAGCCATTCGTACTCATCCGGCCACTCTTATGTGGGGCATCGACGTGTGAATATGTGTAACCTTGCTAGTTTTGATATCAACCTGAAATTTCCGAATAAGCGTTGGTCTACTACTTTTGTGATATTTTTTAGTTTGATAATACTTCATCTAAACAGTCGATATTCTGAGCAGATAAGTTTTTTCAAGCGCAATTCAAGTGAAAATGAAATTCCTCCTGCCTTATATTATGTTACTGTTTATGAAATCACTAGTATCTTCCGTTTAATATGCGGTATTTTCCATTCTAATAATGTCAATTTAATGGTCTACTTATTCCTTGGATTACTATTATTTAAGCGTATCAGATTGAACAAACTTAATAACTCGCAACTGCATAACCTCAATATCCCTGTAATAAAAGAGACCTTAATTAGTGACCAAGTAAAGCAGTCTATAATGTTACCAAAATGCTCAGACAAGTTAGATAATGTTCCTCTTCAATCAAGAAGACGGATCTACTGTTTACATAAGGTGAGTGTTACAGTTTTCACGTTTCAGGCATTCGGGGAATAAATAAGCTTTGTTATAACTTATTTATACGAAACTAAAGCTTATTACAACATTCAGTAGGAGGTTAAAGTGATTTTGTGATAACCTGTCAAGTAAAATCAAGTAAGCGTTTGGTGCGCTTGATAATGACGCTTTATGTCATTTTGTAACAATTTCACACGACCTGCACACGTTTCCTTGCATTTTTCGGAATTATATTAACCGTAGGATGTTGCTACTCTTCGATAATAAAAATTTTAAGCGAATAACCTATTCATTTTTGCCCTTCATGGTTTGCTCAGTCTTCGAATTTATAACCTCTAACTCTTCGCTTACAGAGGGTTATTTTGGTGTGGAATTCATAATGACATGGTTGAAATTTGAGTTTCATTTGCAATATCGTGACAGGAGTTTATTACCGTTCGTATGCTAAACCGTTATTGTGAACACATCATTACGTAGAGGTTGCAAGTTAAGCAATCCAGTTTATACCATCAATTTTACTTTTAATCAACTGAACTGTTGATTGGTTCTCTGACTTGATTTTTGAGATCTGTCAGTTAAAAGTTAACTTTTGATTGCTATGAGTTATTTGTATAACAGATTTTAGACACCACTTTTTGTTAGGTAACTCTGTAGTAATTTTAAGTTATGTTTATCACTTACTATAGAATTTTTTTTTATACATATCTCTCGTGTCATTTCATCAACCTGACTTCCTATAGTCCTATATATCAAGAGCGCTAACTCACTACCTCCCAAGTTCCTGTTTTACAGTCGACAGATCCATTTGTGATGTAACATTACGATATGACTAATAATATTCCAGTATATGAACTGCACCAAAATTTTATGAAAGACGACCTGATTCTGATTAGTCATCACTTGAGCTCTTTCACTTATTCGAATAGTTGCATTTGTAACAATGGATTCATAAACTTTATGGCATTATTACTAAAAGAGGATAAACTGCTTTGCATAAGTAACATAGTGTGCTGACCGTTTGGCTTTTTCGGTAATGTGTGGTAATAATAACTGTTGTAGATTCATTCACCGAGGTCTTGAATATAAGGCAGTGATACTGTATCATACCCAGAAGTCAAGACTGGATGGATTATATATTTTGAGAAGACAATTCATTCACAAAGTATATGCACTTAGTTTTCAAACATCCATCTTCAATCCAAGCAGGTTTTTGACTGTCTTATCTCATATCTCTTTTGGTCCTCAATATACTTTGATGCTGTTATACATTTTGATTGCCAGACATCCCTTTATGATAGCGATTTTTAGATGACTCCGTCGTATACTACTTATATACTACCTTGTGAGTGGTATCCACAACAACGCTCTCCTGTTGTCTAAACCTATGTAAGTAAAGCGGAGTTCGAACCTGGGACTCAGTAAATGAAATATAAGCACCTTAACCACTAAGCTACTTCGTAGTGATGTAGAAAAACAAGAAACCGAACATCAACAAATTTTGGGTTGATAAGTGCAGTTTTATTCTCGCAACATTTCGTATACTATACGGTGGATATACACTTCACAAAACTGGAAGTGTCTGTGAGGCTGTTTTTGTAAAAACAATATTCCACTTTTTCTTGGTAAATTTGGATGGTCTTGCTTGGTGTATCAAACCTAGTCTAAGATTTTGCACAATCATCGAAAGAGGGAAAACGGAAACTAGTTGTTTAAATATGCCGGCAAAATGACTGAAGAAAAACAGAAACTTGATTGAAGCTGTTGAGTGTTATCGCCCTAAACCTTATATAAGTATTCTCATTCAGTTATCACTACATTGTAAAATGTGATAATATTAGTCAATCTATAGTCATGTTAATTTTTTAACAAGTATATTAAACCACTTGCAGAAATTCACAGTACATTTTACAGGATTATAGTAACAATATGTTGGTTGTAGATCGAAAAATGCCGCTTCTTAGTTCGTGCTTTGGGCTCTGGGCCTGATTCACTTTTCGAAAATCAATTCACAGCAAACTATTTTTAAAACAATCTCTACAGTATGCTCAAGTCTGAGATTCAGATTAGTGAATCAAAGCTGCGTTTATAATATGGGTTTAAAAGACGAGCTAATCTCCAGCTACTTGGCAAAGTAGTTGATACGTGAAAATAACGGGCCCAATTACTTTAGTCAGTACGCTTGAAATTTAAGACTGGATGGCTTTAATTAATCAAGCGGTAAAAATTAAAGTTCGCAAATTGTGAGGCCTTCATAAACTACAGGCTGTTATGCAAACAATACTCTATTCGTGAACCATAAACCGCTATCTAGTCACTCGGCCATATAGCGTCGCTTTGTATTTTGGTCGTCTTCAACTAATATGAGAGTATTGTTAGGTAACCCGTTAATTATGGATAAATGAGAACTCAGGCTTCTTCTGTAGCTTCACACAGACTCCCCATTAATCCTCATTTTATAAGTAAATTCCCAATTTCCTTTATATAAGTTTTGGTCATAAATAACATCGAAACGAAGTAATATTTTATGATAGAATTTCTTAATTACATTTCAGGACAACGATCATATTGCTGAAAACAATTGCTCGTCTGTTTCTACTACTTCTAATACATATAAGAATAGCAACGAATCCCCATCCAATGTATTGGATTTGGATTTATTGATTGAAAAGATTAAACAGGTAAACACTCTTATTCATGTATTTTAAATTCTAATAATTGTATATGTACACTTGGTGTGCATCCTTACTAATCCTTTAATTTTGTGTACCATGAATTTCTAATAAATCATAATTGCAGTGATATCTTTCGAAAAACCAGTTTCAGTATGCAAGTTCTGTTAGTATTTCTCATGCTCGTTAGTTCGCGCTTAAAAACCGACCGGAAATAAAGTTTAATCTTCTTAGGATTTGTTGCGGTTTCAGAAATTTTTATCATTCCACCTCGAATCACATTTAACGGAGAAGCTTTAAAAGATGTGGTAACCTTTGCATATCTGGATAGCATCATTGGTAAACAAGGAAGATCTGATGCGAATGTAAAGACATGGATTGGATAAGTAAGGGCAACGTTTCTGTAGTTGTTGAATATTCGAAACTCAACAACTATCAGCCAACACCAAGCACTAAACCGGAATCTGCAAGGACAAGTCGCACTGCTGACTGTAGAGAGGTGTGACAGCAGTAAAGTGTTTCCCTCGGACAACCAGCATCTACAATGATGCTGCCTTTTCACAAGATAAGAAGGAGTTGGAAAATGTTGGCCCTAACAATGTCACACCTCACCTTACTTCATGGATTTCCGTCTCTGGTGGTAGGGGTGTTAGTTATTTTATGACTAATTGTAGTTATGTCATAACTAACCAATCAGATTGGTTAAGCGCTCACCACGTCATCTAGTCTGACCGGTCTATGGACTTTCTTGTTGTGAACGGCCTATCGATTGAAGGATGTTATTATTTTATTTTATATAGATGTGACTCATGTTTTTTATTCATTTTCTAAAGACACGCTATACTGTCCGAAACAGATAAAGTTTAAAACCGAATTGTCTTCTGTTAACTATAGTTTCACTGGGGACTCTGTCATCGGCAGTAGTTGCGTTTACGTCTTAGAATTACATCTGTAGGACAAATTTAAATCCTACATAGTTTCGGACAGTAATTCATCAAAGGTTCATATACTGAATATCTTCAAATGTCTACCGAGTGTCATAAGAGTGATCAGATTCCTGAATTGTCTCCACACTATTCAGAAACTCATAGTGAAGACCAGTTTGGAAAAAATAGCCCCCGAATGGATCCTTCGTTGGAATTAGAATTAGCTAAAGTACGTTTAGCTCATCTAGAAAAGGAAATTGAGTTAGAACGATTACGGCAAAGAGGAAAAGAATATTGTGACCAGATTCAGGATGAAAAGTTTATGTCGTTCGAATCTACATCCGGTTCGCGTACAGCTGATAGCGCAGGAAAGGGCTGGGTAGGAATGATATCCAGAGCTTTAGACCTACCCAAGCGAGAAATCATAAGGTTCGATGGTAATCCTATGAACTACTGGAGTTTCATACGAAATTTCGAGGATTGTTTTGATGAAAGCGTCGGACCTCGATCTAAGTTAAACTACTTGATTCAATATTGTGATGGGGAAGCTAAAGCTACCATTGTTCATTGTACATTGCTTCAACCAGAAGAAGGTTATCGTAAAGCGTTAGAGCTTCTTGAGGAAGCATTCGGTCAGAAACACGTAGTTGCCCGTGCATTCATCGACAAGATGTTAAACTTCCCTGCTATTAAAGAAACCGACTCAAATAGTTTAAGAAGGCTAGCTCGTGAGATGTATGTCTGTGAGCTTACGCTCACACAAATGAACTACCTGTCGGATCTTAATTCTACGAAAACCATCGAAAGCATGTTTTTAAAACTTCCACCACACCTACAGAGAGAATGGGTTAAAGTAGCATGTCGAATTCTCAAGACGGGTAGAGAGCCTTCATTCAATGACCTCTGTGAATTTGTTAAAGAACAGTCGGACATAGCTAACACTAGATACGGCCTGCTTGTCAACCGCAGCGATAATGTTGACAAAAGAGGTTTTGGTGCTTTAAAGGGGAAAGCTGCCGCAAGTTACAACATAGCGACGGTAGCACATGTAAGCATTAATGACAGCAATACTTCCTTATATAATTCACCTTGTCCAGATTGCTCAAGCAATCACCTCTTGGATCAGTGCCAGAAGTTTAAAAACAAGAATGTTAAAGAAAGGAAAGAGTTCGTCTTTAAGCATAAATTATGTAATAATTGTCTGAAACCAAACCATATAGCAAAGAATTGTCGATCGCCAAGGTCGTGTATTGTTGAGGGATGTGGCTGGAGACATCATACTCTGTTACATGAGAAGCAGGAAGAACGAAGAGATATTATTAGTGATGCCTGCATTAATTCTCAGATTTGTACAGAGGAAGATGTTAAGGGCATACAGAGGCCTGTGGCATTTGCAGTAGTTCCTGTGTGGATAAAAAACGGTGAGAGAATTATGCAGACGTGCGCCTTTCTAGATAGTGGGTCAGACACCTCTCTAATAGTAGAAGATCTAGCTGATAATTTAGGCCTCGAGGGAAAGCCGAGAACTGTGTCTTTAAAGACTATAAATAACGAATCGTCATTGGTATCTAAAGAGGTAGATGTAGAGTTGCACGCTATAGACTTCTCATCATCTGTTAAGATCCAGAAGGTATTGACAGTCAGAAAACTACCGGAAGTTCACAGAACTGTACCAACGGCGCGTCAAATGGCATCCTGGTCCTATTTAAAGGACGTAAGTTTCCCGAGAGTAGAAGATGAGGATGTTAAACTGTTGATCGGGTGTAATGTACCGAGAGTACACGAGACGAAGGAGGTGAGAACTGGAAAGACAGATGAGCCGTCTGCTGTGAAGACCTTATTGGGTTGGACGCTGTTCGGTCCTTACGGGGAATTCATTGATAACAACCATGCACTTAATCACCTCCCGGCTAAGGAGGAACTGGAAGATAAGTTTGAGCAGTTGTACTCAACTGAATCGAAAGACCCGTTTATGTCTATGGAAGATCGTAGAGCATTCAACGCTATATCAAGCACAGTGCAAAGGTTAAATGAACATGATAAAATGCAAATAAACCTGAATGGAACAAACCCTCCTCGCACTAAATCGACAGATCAGGATTTTTCTAGTTCTCCTTCTAATCATTATGTTTCTCACACAGAGGCTTCCGTTGCATCACTCAAAGCATCAAATGAATTAGCTAAGTCACCTGCCGTTCTATCAAGTTTTGCTATAGCTAAGAAAGACATTCCATCTGATTGTGTTCTCGGATCAAATATTTCATCAAGCGTTGTGAATGCTGATGTGTCGAAAGATGCTTCGGTTAATTTATGGACATCATCATCTACAAGTCATGATTCTGCTTCGTGTCCTTTTACTGCATCGGCTAAAGTTGTTACAGCTTCTCAGACAGACTGTAAGGATTCGAAAAATCTAGAAGATTCTGCTAAGGAAGTAGTTGAAGATAAACGGGGAGAAACGTTAACTTTAGCGGAAGTCGACCTAGTTGCAGGTGAAAGAGAAATGCCAGTTATTCGACAGCATTGCCGAGCTCATAATTCCGATGCTAATAAACAGAGGTGTAATAATCTTGGACCTTTTCATTTCGAGTTAAATGATGTACACAACAACGGTGCTGAAAAGAATAAAGAATCTCTCTGCAGGTCACGGACAGCAGTACGTTTAGTGTATAAATGCAGACTGTTGATTAATACTCTCAGTTGGTTACAAATGCCTGCTGCTCTAGTTGACTCACGAACTTTGAGAATGGTTGCAATTAATGAGGTGGGTAGTTATGTAATGGCTACATGGCGCAACGACTTCCAATGTCTTGCTGAGGTTCTAGCCCATCGTCAGCGACATGGTACAAGAGCAGAGTATCGCATACGTTATATTTGGGATCGCGTTGTAGAATGGACACCCGTCAGCAAGTTACGCAAAGCAACTCAGTACGAAATCGATTATGTCTTAAAATTCTGTAAAGAGCAAGGTACACTATCCACAAGTAAAATCCCTAGTAAATTTGATCTGCAGTATTCATGTAGTAGTAGCAATGATTCTGCATCAGGAACATCTCAAGCTAAAAGAATAAGGACAAATGTGTCAGAAAGCAAGTCAATAGACCGCACTTCGGATCCTGAAACACATCGCTATCGGTCACGTCCTACTCATGTAAGTACAAGTGGTTTCTCTGTCTTAGAAGACAAGAAGACTCTTCTTCCAAAATTATTTGATGAAATCATCGAACAGGATGGGATGGTTTGTGATAAGAGTGTTTTCCAGTTTCACGAAGCCTGTCGAAGACGTCGTGAATTGAAAAGAAAAGCTATCGAAGAGAACGACACATGTCCATATAGATTCGACGGTTCTGTATCTGTTTTGAGTCAAACATTCACCATCAGGTCAAACCATCCGAACAGACGTGGTCTTAATTCAAAACATAGTTCTATAAGAACCGAAAATTATGCAGCGGAAGCTACAGTAGCATCCTCACCGGTATCATCGAATTCATTTTGCCAGAAAAGTGATAAAATAAAGGGAACCATTACCCTATGCGGACCCAACGAGATGTGTAAACGAACGCTGGGAGTAGAGCGGAATATCCGAGCGGATGAATCATTTGTCAGAGTGCACGTGTTTCCTGGAAACCTGACCAGAAGGAATATTTTGTCGTTTATAGCATTAATCTTTGATCCCGGAGGAGGTATATGGAAACATATTATAAAGTCAACGAGAAGGAAGCCACAACATGGAGACTCACCGTTAGTAAACAATACTAGTTTGCTGAGAAATCTTTGGGTGGAAGCTATAGTTAGAGAAGTCAATTATGGTCCCGATGGCCGATTCAGAACGATTCGATTGAAGAGACACCGTAGACATCAACCGAGATATACGAAACCTATGCCTAATGGAAGAGGTCGATTATTCGAGCGCGACGGCAACGAGGTCTGGACGTGGTGACCGCTTCGGGGGGAGTGTTAGTTATTTTATGACTAATTGTATTTATGTCATAACTAACCAATCAGATTGGTTAAGCGCTCACCACGTCATCTAGTCTGACCGGTCTATGGACTTTCTTGTTGTGAACGGCCTATCGATTGAAGGATGTTATTATTTTATTTTATATAGATGTGACTCATGTTTTTTATTCATTTTCTAAAGACACGCTATACTGTCCGAAACAGATAAAGTTTAAAACCGAATTGTCTTCTGTTAACTATAGTTTCACTGGGGACTCTGTCATCGGCAGTAGTTGCGTTTACGTCTTAGAATTACATCTGTAGGACAAATTTAAATCCTACAAGGGGCTTTCAAAACGAACAGAGCCAAAAATTTAAAAACACTTCTCATAACAACGACGTGCGTGGCCGGGCGCATGTAGTTGTCTTCTGCTCTCTGCGGTAACGTTCTCAGGTCTCTAAGACCAAGACTAATCTACCTTCCTTTACTGGTTCGGACCTCTTCCAAAAAGTTAGGCGCTCTGATATAGTAATAATGGCTGGTGACTTCAATGCTCAAGTAGGTAGACTAAGTGCAAATGAAGGTGGATTTTAGGGTCTCGCGGCTAATCGGACCAATAATAGCGACCGTCTGCCACAGCTATGCTCATAAAACCGCCTATTTCTAGCAAACGCTAACTAGATCACATCGCCATCGGTCACCGGTGGAAGAGTTCGACAGAGGACTGTCGCTCGTTCTGGGGCACATGTCTAGATTCAGATCATGCACCAGTGCGAGCGCGTATTTGTTTGAGGCTTACTGGACGTAGGAAAGATACCGTGGCGAAGCCTCTCACGGTTTTACTCAATGATAATAAAGCTAAGAATATATTTCAGGAACAACTAGAAAAACAGTTAGGCGACCAATTAAGTGATCTCCATCCTGAGACAGCTTGGAATGATATCCAAAGAGTTGTGGAAACAGCATTGATATGTGCTAGTAAGGTGAACTATAAGGTTGGGGATAAGCCGTGGATCTCACTAGCATCCAACGAACTGATGGATGCCTGGAAACTTATCACACCTGGCTCTGAACATGATAAAGAGTGAAGTCAGCTTAAGAGCAGGCTGATGAAAAGCCTACGCAACGACCGCGAACAGTGGTGGGTGGCGAAAGCAAAAGCGATGGAAAAGGCAACGGCGATAGTCAACAGTAGACAACTTTTCAGCTTTATAAAGGAAACCGGTATTGGAAATCCATCTGTTAGCGAAACTATCGCAGAAAAGGATGGTTGTATCATTCAGTCTCAATCCAGGAGATTGGATTGATGGGCAGAACACTTTAGGGATCAGTTCAGCTGGCATTCAGCCACATTTCGGTTGCCCATGATCTCCAGTCATACTGAATGGCAAGTCGACGTAAGCCCTCTGAATCTTTATGAAGTTGAGAAAGCTATAGGAAATCTAAAACGAGGGAGAGCAGCAGGTCCTGATAGGCTAACTCCTGAGATGTTTAAGGATGGTGGTCCAGTTCTAACGGTAACATTGACTGAGATCTTAGGTAGGATCTGGGAGCTGGACGTAATCCCATCCAATGGTCTCAATCACTGATTGTCACAGTCTACAAGTAAGGACAAAAGTTCTCCTGTGACAATCACATGGGACTCAGTCTAACTTATATAGTTTCTAAATTGTTAGCGTCGATTATACTTAGACGTCTAACTAGAGCTCGTAAAGAGCAGACTCGAGAAAACCAGTCTGGTTTTCCATCTGGACGTGGATGTATAGACCACATATTCACACTACGTCAGGTCCTAGAACAAAGACACGCGTTCAGATGCCTCACAATAGTAGTATTTCTCGACGTTAAGGTGGCATTTGACTCTGTGGATCGTGAGGTTCTGTGGTAGTGTTTGTCATTAAAATGTGTACCAAAGAAATACATTAACCTTATACAGGCTCTGTACTCGAACACCACTGGTCTGGTGAGAGCCTATGATGAACTGTCATCGGAATTCATTACTTCAAGTGATGTTCATCCCGGCTGTCCACTCTCTCAATTCTTGTTTAACTTTGTCATAAACATGCTTTTGGATACGACACTTTTGCTGTCTTACTTTTCAGCTCAGGAGATTCGCTTGTTGAATATGCGATGACATAGTTCTACTTGGTGAAGACGCTGACATCTTTAGCGACAATGCAAGCATGTTCGAGATGCGATTCTCCTCGTCGAAATGCAGAATGTTACCTCAGGATTAGCTGTTCTCGGCATTTGATCTAATGATAGATAGTGAAGCCAGTTATATGCCGAATATAATAGTGTAGTTATAAATTCCTGTTTTTGATATCTTTAGTTTTCCTCCCCAATTTTCCTCTTCTATACTGTTATTGTTGTCTCAGTAGTTTTTTTATTATACATCACTGTATTTAGGGTTTGGGTCATGAACTGTCGGATATAGAGATTTTACGATTAACATCGCATGGTATACTTAAAACTCGTGAGTTAGAATCAATTGCTCGCAATCCGTTTCGGGCTGTCGAACTACGCCGCCTGGATTTGTCAACATTTCTCAATAATCCCCATATTATTGAACGCATTCCGTATAAGGACTATGATTACCGTCTTGTATATGGTCAATGTTGTGAAGAGGTGAGTGAAATCATTTTTGTTAGTGTTTGTCAGGTGATGGTTTGAGTTGGTCGCCAGGAAACCCTGAATCTAGGTCTTATGCTATTTTTTAACTCATCAGCATGGTGTAGCTGTGACCTTGAGGGAAGCGATGCTGCCTGTTGAACTTAATCCCGTGTCACCCAGCTTCACAGTCAAAGATGTTACTACTGAGCTATCTAGGCCGCGAATTTCCTCCTGTATCTATGCTACGAATCAATTTATTTAACTTAATCAATCTGAGCTGAAAGATCCCTCAATAAAGTGACTTAGTGGTTAAAATCACTGAAGCTTCGATCATTGGGTTTCAGATTTGATCACTTCTTGACCTACTTACTTCGGGACAATTAAATAATGTCACCGACTGGAGTATAAAAAGTGTGGTATGAAGAATGGAGCACGAACCCCTACCTGTTCACTCAACTAAACGTCATGTTTTAAAACAAACTCACTAGATATTCTAATCATGTACGTATAATTAAACCGTAAGTTAACCATAAAGTCAGTTTTCGTAAAAGTGTTTTTTAACTTGTGTATCGCCGCTCATACAGTTACACGACTTTATGAAGTGATCATCCTCTATCATCCTTTCATTCCAAGAATATAATCAACTACTGCCTCAAATTAGTGAACTTTAAGTAATTTCAGCAGGTTATGTATCGCATTGATTTCTTCCACTGTGGAATCGTGTATAGTGAAGAAGACAGATCCCAACTAAAGTCCAACTTTAAACCACAACTGTGTCCAATAATTAATGTTCAGTCTTATAATCATATATGACCCCGATTTTCGGGGATGATTTCGTTATTATTTTGATCAGTGGTAATTGATATAATGACCAAAAGAATTAAATAAGAAATATAGGATAATTTGTAGAAACTTTCCTAAGTCTTTAATAAGTGATAATTGGTTGATATTTGTATTAATCTTATGTTGAAAATTTATTAACATCTAGTATTCCGGGAAAATTCTTCATATTTCATACGAGTGTCTTTTAGACAAAGAATTGTTTAGTGACTCTGAAATGAGGATATTTGACTCGGTTTATGCTTTAATGTGTGAAATAAATGACAATTTTGTTACATTAGCTACTTTTAATACACCACACGTTTTAATTGAAAATTCGAGGAATCAAGCCTATCGCATTCAAACAACAATTATAAGTCTTTGTGTAAAACCCTGGTTATTTTATTTCCAAATCCTCGTCTGTATTATCGTAGAAATTAACAAACAAGTAAGCTTTGAACTTTTCGTTTGACTGAGGTTTCAAAAAAATCCAACTCCTGACTCATTTATTACAGCCAAACACTATTCATAGGAATTTGTTAACAAGTTTGGTGAATGTGTTCAGATTATTTCAAATATAGTACTCTGGACAAATCCAGATGACATAATTCTGATAAATTATCGAAAGGAATTAATGATTTGATTACGAATAAATTTATGGGATACGTTGAGGTGATGGTAGTTCGCTAATTTTGAACAAGATATTTTAGGCGAATTGATCGTTAATTGTGTATCTGGTTTAACATGATCTAGTCTCAGTGAAGTGTGCCGTTCAAACGAGTATGCAGTTCATTTGTAGTATAAACTCGATCATCTATTAGTAATCCTCTATTATACAGTTGATTAAAAGACATCCAATACTTTCGTTATATCAGTATGTTGCGTTTAAGAAAATTGTAGGACATAAAACTCTTTAGCGATTTGTAGTACAATCCATATGTCACCACCTCCGCATTTATTTATCATCCAAACCCAAATGTATGAGTTGCTCTGATTAATTGTGCAACTTTTATACAAACAACTTACAATGTGATACTCGTTTTTATCATTAGAATGCCGTGCTGTCTTCTTCTTAATTACAGACTCAGTAAATTGAAATTATATAGAAACGAGAAGTACTAATATTGGGTTGAATATTTTATTTTTATGTTAAGAATTAAGCTGTAGTGTGGTATATTCCCATCTTTTTAACTATGTATTATTAAGCCTGTTAACTTTGTTCACTATGCCATCGACAACTAAGTTTTATCATGACGTGTTAAGACGATTATCTACTTATTTCAGAACATAAAATTTTTATTTTTCGGCCTGTTTAAAATCCAGGTTATCGGGTACATACCTATACCAGTTGGAAAAATCGGACCTCTTCTACTGGATGGTCGTTCTCATTACATTCCTTTGGCTACCACTGAAGGATGTTTGGTAGCCAGCACAAACCGAGGATGTCGTGCAATTTTCCTGGCCGGTGGTATCAAAAGTGTTGTCTATAGGTAAATTGAAATTGTTCACACTGATCTAGGTTTCGCTGTTCAACTCAGTGTGTTAACCTTGTTTTCGGTTTGTTATTTGAACACTGCCACCAGAGTTCCTTTCATGAAATTTCTATGCTTAGAATTATTCACAACTTTAAAAAGTCTTCTTAATCTGTGAGATTGGGACTTATGTTTCTTGTCAATGAAAGATGCTAATTGGGCTACTCATTTACTCGCTGAAGTAACATATACTTTTGTATTTGAGCACTTATTCTCAATTAATTTGATTTACATTCAAGTGAAGGGATTACTCTAATCATACCAAACGGTAACCTTAAATCTAACCAGTTTATTGAGTTGATGGATCGTAGCTGATAATAGAAATTAGAACGCGCGCCCCTTTATATTTGGGACTCATCAACTGGATGAACTTTCATCCAATGTTGGGATCTATCGTTGGTTTCGAATCCTGTGCCTTTAAGCTCCAAACCTCAACACTGCTAAATCCAGTTAGCTACTAACTAGTTCAACATATGTATTGCGTTTTTGTTATTATCAGAAATTTGTGACTATCAATGATTGTCAATGCAAGACATACAAGATGCACATATTCTCCACTGAAGACCGATCGAAGTGAACTCCTACATGTCAACAAAGGGATAATATAAACCCTTGCTTATGATACTAATCTACCTAGTAATGTTTCTGTGTAATCTCACAAACTAGAATTCTTATTTTATATGAATCGAACACGTACTCCACATATTATATCGTGTATTAATTTAGATTTCATTTAATGGGACATTTTAGCAAATGACGAATTTAGCAAACTTCTAAATTGAGACCTTAATTTACATTTCATGTTCAGGAAGACAAGTGTTGGTCAGGATTGTCACAAATTCTCGTTAATTACTATCAAATGTTAGTCAACAACAATCAGTTGCTCTTACGACAATAATGTATCCAGATATGGTTATAGTCAGCAGTCAAAACATTTGTTGACTTTTAAATATCATGCACTTGATTTTCTGCAAACGTTTTACCAGCAGCGTAGTATTCTCGTTATTTACATACAATCTATTCAGTGTAAGTTATTTTTAAAAAGCTTTAAGTGGTAACCTTGAAATGGATAACTAGATAACTACATATGAAGCATGATGTGGAAAGAAGTGTAAACTTATAATATGTAAAGTGACTTTAATTAATTTGGAATACTCCAGCGAAATCATTTTACTACTTGGTGTTACCGAAAACACGATGTGTTAAAAGTAGTGAAGGGAAATTCTGAGGATATATATTTACATATATATCTCGTACATAAGATGTAAATAAATGTGTTAGTAATTGTTTTTATACGTAAAGTGTCTTTATGTAGTAACTATAGGCTTTAATCAATTTACTTATCATAAACGGTGATCACCGAGAAAATTTTAATGCCTAAACATACGATTCAGTTTCCGTATTGCAGTCAGTCATTCAGTTACAACGTAGAACTTCGTACATACGTACATCAGTTCAGGTTGGCATACCACATTAGCACAGAGACGCAAATCCCATAGTGGTTATGTAGAAGATAAGGGTTTGAAGATATTATTCAAGAATTATAATTCAGTGGGATAAATTTAAAAGGAGAATGGTAATGGTAATGAAGAATTCAGATTAGAATTTCATAGAACACGACAATTGGATGCACCTGCGCCATTGCAAGCGATTCTGAGCCATATCAGGTCTCTAACCATCGGTTACTATCGTCTCGTAGACCACAACCAGGTAGTCAGCATTTACAAACATAACTCAATCCACTTGTAAGTGACTTCATGGATTTGTGCCATGTTTTCGTCTGGCCGCCCTTACCTTTCTCCCAACCTACACCTACACTCGTCGAGACAGTCGGTGGTTAGGCATACGTAACACATGTACCAACCACCTCAACTGATGAAGTTTCACCACTTCACCTACTGATCTGCCATCCTTACCTAGCACCCGTTTCCTAATAACAGAGTTGCTCACTCGGGTGTCCAAGGATAGGACAGACCGAACTGCTGCACAGTACACTCGACCTTTGGTTAGCAAACGGATATCTCGCGTACGCCATAAGTGACGCAGGTTCGCAAAATCCAATCGAGCCTTCTGTATCCGAGCTGAGATTTCATCAGTCACCAGGCCATCGGCACTGATGACTCCCAAGATAAGTGCGGCCGGTCAACACGCTCAACTGCTTCACACCCTATCACTAGTTGAGATACCGTTGCCAGCCAATCCTGAGGTAACATTCTGCATTTCGACGAGGAGAATCGCATCTCGAACATGCTTGCATTGTTGCTTAAGATGTCAGCGTCTTCGCCAAGTAGAACTATGTCATCGCATATTCAACAAGCGAATCTCCTGAGCTGAAAAGTAAGACAGCAAAAGTGTCGTATCCAAAAGCATGTTTATGACAAAGTTAAACAAGAATTGAGAGAGTGGACAGCCGGGATGAACATCACTTGAAGTAATGAATTCCGATGACAGTTCATCATAGGCTCTCACCCGACCAGTGGTGTTCGAGTACAGAGCCTGTATAAGGTTAATGTATTTCTTTGGTACACATTTTAATGACAAACACTACCACAGAACCTCACGATCCACAGAGTCAAATGCCACCTTAACGTCGAGAAATACTACTATTGTGAGGCATCTGAACGCGTGTCTTTGTTCTAGGACCTGACGTAGTGTGAATATGTGGTCTATACATCCACGTCCAGATGGAAAACCAGACTGGTTTTCTCGAGTCTGCTCTTTACGAGCTCTAGTTAGACGTCTAAGTATAATCGACGCTAACAATTTAGAAACTATATAAGTTAGACTGAGTCCCATGTGATTGTCACAGGAGAACTTTTGTCCTTACTTGTAGACTGTGACAATCAGTGATTGAGACCATTGGATGGGATTACGTCCAGCTCCCAGATCCTACCTAAGATCTCAGTCAATGTTACCGTTAGAACTGGACCACCATCCTTAAACATCTCAGGAGTTAGCCTATCAGGACCTGCTGCTCTCCCTCGTTTTAGATTTCCTATAGCTTTCTCAACTTCATAAAGATTCAGAGGGCTTACGTCGACTTGCCATTCAAGATGATTGGAGATCGTGGGCAACAGATGTGTGGCTGAAGGCCAGTTGAACTGATCCCTAAAGTGTTCTGCCCATCGCTCAGATATCCTGGATTGAGAATGAATGATACGACCATCCTTTTCCGCGATAGTTTCGCTAACAGATAGATTTCTAAAACCAGCTTCCTTTATAAGGCGTAAAAGTTGTCTACTGTTGCCTATCACCGTTGCCTTTTCCATCTCTCTCGCTTTCGCCACCCACCACTGTTCATGGTCGTTGTGTAGGCCTTTTATCAGCTTGCGCTTAAGCTGACCTCGCTCTCCATCATTTTCAGAGCCAGGTGTGATAAGTTTCCAGGCATCCATCAGTTCGTTGGATGCTAGTGAGATCCACGGCTTATCCCCAACCTTATAGTTCACCTTACTAGCACATATCAATGCTGTTTCCACAACTCTTTGGATATCATTCCAAGCTGTCTCAGGATGGAGATCACTTAATTGGTCGCCTAACTGTTTTTCTAGTTGTTCCTGAAATATATTCTTAGCTTTATTATCATTGAGTAAAACCGTGAGAGGCTTCGCCACGGTATCTTTCCTACGTCCAGTAAGCCTCAAACAAATACGCGCTCGCACTGGTGCATGATCTGAATCTAGACATGTGCCCCAGAACGAGCGACAGTCCTCTGTCGAACTCTTCCACCGGTGACCGATGGCGATGTGATCTAGTTAGCGTTTGCTAGAAATAGGCGGTTTTATGAGCATAGCTGTGGCAGACGGTCGCTATTATTGGTCCGATTAGCCGCGAGACCCTAAAATCCACCTTCATTTGCACTTAGTCTACCTACTTGAGCATTGAAGTCACCAGCCATTATTACTATATCAGAGCGCCTAACTTTTTGGAAGAGGTCCGAACCAGTAAAGGAAGGTAGATTAGTCTTGGTCTTAGAGACCTGAGAACGTTACCGCAGAGAGCAGAAGACAACTACATGCGCCCGGCCACGCACGTCGTTGTTATGAGAAGTGTTTTTAAATTGTTGGCTCTGTTCTTTTTGAAAGCCCCTACCACCAGAGACGGAAATCCATGAAGTAAGGTGAGGTGTGACATTGTTAGGGCCAACATTTTCCAACTCCTTCTTATCTTGTGAAAAGGCAGCATCATTGTAGATGCTGGTTGTCCGAGGGAAACACTTTACTGCTGTCACACCTCTCTACAGTCAGCAGTGCGACTTGTCCTTGCAGATTCCGGTTTAGTGCTTGGTGTTGGCTGATAGTTGTTGAGTTTCGAATATTCAACAACTACAGAAACGTTGCCCTTACTTATCCAATCCATGTCTTTACATTCGCATCAGATCTTCCTTGTTTACCAATGATGCTATCCAGATATGCAAAGGTTACCACATCTTTTAAAGCTTCTCCGTTAAATGTGATTCGAGGTGGAATGATAAAAATTTCTGAAACCGCAACAAATCCTAAGAAGATTAAACTTTATTTCCGGTCGGTTTTTAAGCGCGAACTAACGAGCATGAGAAATACTAACAGAACTTGCATACTGAAACTGGTTTTTCGAAAGATATCACTGCAATTATGATTTATTAGAAATTCATGGTACACAAAATTAAAGGATTAGTAAGGATGCACACCAAGTGTACATATACAATTATTAGAATTTAAAATACATGAATAAGAGTGTTTACCTGTTTAATCTTTTCAATCAATAAATCCAAATCCAATACATTGGATGGGGATTCGTTGCTATTCTTATATGTATTAGAAGTAGTAGAAACAGACGAGCAATTGTTTTCAGCAATATGATCGTTGTCCTGAAATGTAATTAAGAAATTCTATCATAAAATATTACTTCGTTTCGATGTTATTTATGACCAAAACTTATATAAAGGAAACCGCTAGTGTCCCTATCTTTCCGACTGCTTACTGTCCCGTTAAGTCGGACAGCGCACAAGCGACTATCTACAGGGATCCAGTCTAGGAGAGATTGTTCAGCTCTACGACTCAGTGCTATGCCTACACCAGCAAGATCCCGGGAAGCAGCACCAAGGCTACCAGATACACGAAGGGTAAATCGAGTTGCTTCTTTATCTTGACACGGTGATTTCAAGTGTATGATGCTACTGTGATCCTGTATGCGCGTTTCGGAGACGCAAAACACATAGAGGGCGCGAGATTCTAATGTCCTATCTAATGATGCCTATTGCCCTATTTGACACAATGTCCGTACATTAAATGCTCGAAAATGTAGTCTAGAACGGGGCTTCCAGAGACCAGGAATAACGTTTCGAGGACTCGAAACGTTAGTAGCAGAGGTGCAGGGAGATAAAGGAATGTGAGGAGAGTTAGTCGTGGAGATAAGAGAGTTATTAGGGTGTATAGGAAGGATATGATTTTGACCAATTCGGTCTCGCGTGCTGTTACGGGTATGAGTGCGGTTGTCACTTCCCGTCTGCTCACACCATGGAAGGGTGTTTCTTGAGGAACCTGAAAAGGAAGATAGATTAGTGTTGGTCTTGGAGACCTGGGAGCGTGACCGCAGAGTCCGAGATACAACTGCTTGAGGCCAGTCACGCACGGCCTTTTTATGAAAGGTTTTTTGAGGATTAGCTCCGCTCTTAAAGGCCCTTAGTGGCACCCTTACCCAAGGAGATGGAAATCCGTGAGGTAGAGTGAGGTGTGACATTTTTAGGGTCGACCTTTTCTAACGCTTCCTTCCTTGTGAGAAGGCAGCATCGCTGCAGATACTGGTTGTCCGAGGGAAACACCTTACTGTTTTCACACCTCTCTGCAGTCAGCAGTACGACTTTGCTCCCAGACCTTGAGTAGTCTCATCGTTCTCCAAAGGACCTGCCTCGCATGGTAGAACCTTGAGGAACATATGTTCCAGCCAGTATAGCTCGGTTGGGTCATCACGATAGGCAAGCCCGACCACCACGTCAAGGTAGCAGCTTCGGTCGGGGGAGAACGTGATAACCAAGAGAGGAGCCGATGTAGCCTCAGATGACCGCTCGCTAGTCGCCAAAATGAAAATGAAATTGAAGAAACACTGAATAACGGAGCTGACAACATCACAAAAGTTCAATGTGGCGTTTCTTCGGGCTACAGGAAAGCTCATCGAGTTCAAGATAGCCTTCAACAATAGGTTCCAGGCCTTGCACGATATACTCAATGGAGAGGAAGCAAGACTGAAGAACAATTGGAATGGGATCAAGGGAGCAGTCACTTCAACATGTCACGAAGTTCTGGGTCACAAGAAGTACCATCACAAGGGTTGCATCGCTGTTGGTACTCTTGAAAAAGTTGAAGAAAGGAGGAACAAGAAGGCAGCAATCAATGTCAGCCGAATAAGAGCAGCGAAAGTTAAGGCACAAGCTGAATACACAGACGCAAACAGGGAAGTGAAGAAGAGCATCAGAGCTGACAAACGAAAATATGTGGAAGATCTAGCAATGACAGCAGAAAAGGCATGAAAGAGACGCAAACTTGAGACAATTGTACGATACAACAAAGAAGCTCGCTGGAAACTATTGTAAACCATAACGACTAGTGAAAAGCAGGCAAGGCAAAGTAATCAGCAACACTGAAGAACAGCGAAACAGGTGGGTGGAGCACTTTAAGGAACTCTTGAATCGACCAGCTCCACTATACCCGCTCGAAATCGAAGCAGCATCCACGGACCTTCTAATCAATCAACAATTTAAGAGATCAGCTTGGCCATCAGACAAATGAAGAACGACAAAGCAGCGGGGACAGTCAGCATTCCAGCAGATACAGTGAAGGCAGACGTAGCAGTAATATCAAACGTACCCCCACAATCATGTCATAAAGATTTTGGAGGAATAACAAGCACCAACGGACTGAAAAGGAGGACGCGTGATCAAGATACCAAAGACGATCTCAGCAAGTAGGAGGCAAAGTATCAGGCAAATTCCTCAACAGGGTATTGTTAAGCAGAACGAAGGATTGCGTAGACGCACAACTTCGGGATCAACAGGCTTGGTTTCGTAGGGATATATCGTATACCGACCGAAGTTGGAGATTACGGATCATTGTAGAACAATCAATTTAATGGGATTCACCACTCTACATCATCTTTGTTGACTATGAGGAAGCATTTGATGGTGTGGACACTATGTTGGCTTCTTCAACCATGTGGCGTTGCTGAGAAGAAAGTCAACATCATACGGAATTCTAATGATGGATTAAACTGCAAAATCGTTTTGAGGTGAAGACCGGTGTCAGGCAAGGTTGCTTACTCTCACTCTTTCTCCTGGTGACCAACTATATTATGAATACGTCAACATCTGGAGGGATGCACGGTATGCAGTGGACAGCTCGGATGCATCTGGATGACCTGGACTTCGTAGATGATCTAGCTCGTCTATCGCACACGCAACAACAAATGCAAGAGAGGACGGTCAGTGTAGCAGCAGCAGGTCTCATCATAGATAATGGGAAAATCAAGATTCTGCGATAGAACACAACATGCGTCAACCAAAGAACTCATGATGGAGGTGCCTTTAAATACATTAAAACCTTTACATATTTGGGCAGCATCATTGACAATCAAGGTAAAAGCGATGCCGGTGTGAGTTCGCGGATCGGCAAAGCGAGGACTGCATTTCTACAATTGACGAACATCTGTAACGCAAAACAACTATCGACAAACATGGAAGTCAGAATTTTCAATACAAATGTCAAGACTGTTTTATTATATGAGGCCATAATCCAGAAGATTCAAGTATTCATTAACAATTGTCTACACAAAATATTTCATATCCTTTGGCCAGAAATCATCAGCAACAACCTACTGTGGCAGAGGACAAACCAAATTCCAGCGGGGGTAGAAATCAGAAAGCAATGCCGTTGGTTAATAGAACACACTGCGAAAAGCACCCAACGACATCACATAACAAGCCCTCCCTTGGAACCCTCAAGGTCGAAGGAACACATTCCACCGAGAAATAGAGAAAAATATGAAAAGAATGAATAAAAATTTTTACGGAACTGAAATGGGAAGCCCAGGACAGAGTAGGCTAGAGTACACTGGTCGGTGGTCTATGCTTCATTGAGGGTAACAGGCGTAAGTCAGAGTTGAAGAACTTACCCCAATTCGCCATTTAGGTTGACTGGATTCGTGCGTAACTGAAGTGTGGCTGAAGACCAGTTGAACAGATCCCTAAATTGTTCTGCCCATCTATCAAGTCTCTTGGATTGAGTTTGAATATTAAGACTATTCTCGTTTGAATTAGTCTCACTGACGGTCCGATTCCTAATTCCACTGCTGTTTCCACTGATTTTTGTATATCGGATTGGGAACCACCTATATCTTTGCTTAACTGTTTTTCCAGTTGCCGCTGAAATGTATTCTTAGCTAAGCTTTCATTAAGTAGAACAGTTTTCCTTGCGGTGTCTTTCCTACGTCCATTAAGACGGAAACAAATACGCCTCATGTGCTTCAGAATGAGCGACAATCTTCAATAGAGCTTCTCCAGCGATGTGATCTAGTTGAGTCCAGCATTAAGACAACTTTGGGGATCGCCAGGTCAAGAGATACTTTTACTCTTTGATTAGCCACGATACCATAAGATACGCCCAGGTGTATTATTAGATTCTGCTTCTCGGCTGGGTAGTGTTAAGATGAACACAATATGCTTTTTAACATATTTAACCAGCTGTTCTGGTATGAGTACCTGTTAAACCAAGTGCCAATCAAATCTTTTGTAACTGTCTTCTTTTCGACGTACTGATGAAGTATAATAGTACTTTTTTAAATAATCATTTATATATTCTGGATTGACTGCTGTATCTTAATTTTATCATAATCAGATGAGTACTAAAAAGTTTAAGCTCCTGAAACCATTTCTCGGATTATTATTATTATTATTAGTGTTTTTAATATATAACTGTTGGATAACTGCAATATTGTATTTCTTTATTTTCTTCATTGTAAGCTTGCAATGGACCTTCTAACTGTTTTTATAAGTTTTAATATTCTTTAGTTATTGCCAGTTAATTATACACTATTCACTTTACTGTCCTCATTTGTGACACGACTGAATTTAAATTCTGATTTGACCATGTTGGTCGGTTGGGTTAGATGATTGTCGTACACATATTTTCGAAACTGGCTGCTGACTTCGTTGTCGGACGGGGATGGAGAAAAACCTGTAGATAATCGACTAATAAGAGTGTAGCTTGCATTGAATCTGAGTTAACTATGCAGGTTAAGTCTAGGGTGTTAGGCTATAAACGAAATAGCAGAAACGGGATAGAAAATTTATTATTCGAATCGCGACTAGTGTATCTAGCATGTAATATCTATATTATTCAGAATTTCTTTAAACATGCTATTCTGCTGTTTATACGCGATTAATTCTATATTCTTTTTTATTTACAGAGATCAAATGACAAGGGCACCTGTTGTCTGGTTTCCATCAATTATTGATTCAGTGAAATGTATTGCATGGATTGATTCAGATGAAGGATTCCAAACCTTAAAATCAGCTTTCGATAAGACCAGCGCTTATGTAAACTTATTATCAGTTTTTGCTAGTCCAGTAGGTAGTTTGCTAATAAATTCCAATAATTTGTTGATTGAATTATTACTGTTTACCGCACGTGGTCAATTAAATAATACCCTAAAACGTGGTATATATTTAGCATTTCATCTATATTAGTTGGACTTTGTCACAAGTGTAGCTTCTTATATTCATGGAATCGACGGACTTCGTCTGGATCTCCTAAAATACTAAAATTATTCCTTGCGTTCCATTTCTTTGCGATATTGTGAATGAATTTTCTAAGCAGTTCCAAAAGTTGGACCAACTGTTCTTTCTTCCTGTGCTTTCAGTTGGTGTCACTTCATGAAAAAAAATATTTCTAAACCTATGTGTTTTTCTCATCTATTAGCACTTTCACTTTCAGGTGCCTCATTTGTTTATCTAGATGCTTAAACATGATAGAATAGGTTGATCTACTTTTACTTTGGTCAGTCACTAGTTGGTTTTGGTGGAACTGATAAGATTAAGTTATTACATGGAATATGAAGAAAATTACCTACTAATGGAAGTTCAAACAACATATCCCGCACAAATATGTGGTGTTTCAACTGATGAAGGCTAGTTCCTAGTCTATTAAACATTTCTGGTTCATAAGCTTAAAACTAAACCACCCATCTATTGCAACTGCAAACTATCCGTTCAAACGTGTTCGTAATTTTTTTTACTTGAGGACAAAATAATTCCAAGAGGAATTGTATTCATCTTTTATATCCTATTTATCTGTCACGTGATCTCAAAATGTTTACTAAATTAGTTCAGAAGCTCAAAGCTCAACAGATAAACTTTTGGTCAGGATGTAAAACTGCAGGATTTTAGGATTACCGTTGCAAGCACTTAAGTTTCTTTTGCAAAACAGATGCCTAATTATAGGATTGTTTACTTAAGACTCTTGGGTTTTATTGTGGTGTACTAAATCAATTTCTCTATGCCAGTATTTGTAACTGTTTACTTTTATACAGGCCGGTCGATACGTTCACATTCGATTTGCTGCACGTACAGGTGATGCTATGGGCATGAATATGGTTAGTAAAGCCACTGACAGTGCTTTGCACTGTCTGCAAAAACATTTCAATACCATGCAGGTAAATGAGTGTTATATATCATATAGTTTGCCTCTGAGTTCATACTCACTGACGTTTGATTGTGCGCCATTACTACTTAAGTTGGTCTGTTTCTATGTATGTATGTGAACGGTTAAAATTTACTTCCTCAACTATGGTTTTTATTTATTTATAGACCTTACCCTCATATTTATATTAGAATGTAATACACTAAGAACCCAAAATTATCATTACTTTGTAAACAATGGCACATAAACTAACTAAATGTTCAAATAACATTTTGCATCTGAATATCATACTTAAACTTATCATCAAAGGTTTATGGAGTATGTTTATTCTAATTTATTTATAAGTATTAAAAGGGAGTTAACATAATTCAAAATGCTATATTTTACAGACAAAATTAAAAAACAAAAATGGTCAGTTCGTCGTTGTGATAACTAAATGCTTTCAAACCAGTTCATTGTCTCCTCTTCTACAACATGCATAATAGCTCACTTGGTGACTGTGCCATTGTGGACTGTAAAGAATAATAAATTATTCTATTCATATTTGCCGCCGTTTACTAGTTTAATAATTACCATATGTTAAATATGTAACCTTGATACATCAATGAATAACATTACTAGAGTTTCAAATAAGTTAGGATAATAAATCAACTCTTGTTTCTTATCACTTTATTATCTTAATAATTAGACAGTATAGTTTGTGCCATATTGGTTTAAAGTAGAATTTCTTGAAATAAATCGTTAGTTGTCTTTTGACTACCTTGTACATTATTGCTTTCGTCTACGTTGTTCTTTAATTATATGTATAAATCAACATAGGTGATCTCTTTAAGTGGGAATATGTGTACAGATAAAAAGCCAGCTACTATAAATACAATTCTTGGCCGTGGTAAATCTGTTATTGCTGAAGCACATCTGCCAGCTGATGTATTAGCTCAAGTGTTACATACTAATGCACAACGATTAGCGCGGTTAACTCATTCCAAAAATTGGATTGGATCTGCAATGGCCGGTTGTCCTGGTATGATGGGATGTAATGCTCATGCAGCAAATATTATTGCCGGAATGTTTGCAGCTACGGGACAAGATTTAGCTCAAGTATGTTCTATTTAATTGATTAGTTTATTATCTGTTCGCGTTAATACTCTATACTCATTTTCTGGGGAATACTAAGAATGTTTGGAGTCAAACGTTCGGTGGTCATATTGACAAGTTATATGACGGTTATAATACATACGTATTGATCACTACTCATAATAAATAATATATAGTTTTAATTTGTCTTGTTACATTCAAACGAAGAAGATTTGACGTTTCCTTACCTATCAGTTTGATTGGGTAGGCTGAGAGTGAATAATTTTTTCGACGTTTTCCAAGATATTTCCCCTAGCAACTGACTTTTTAATATATATTTCTTTGTTAAGTCTGAATAATTGTTTATTGCCTTTCCCATCTATTTTGCTACCATCCACCATGGCTCATGGTTATTACGTAAACATTTTGTTAGTGTACGTTTTAGTTGTCATCTCTCTCCAGGTCTATGGAGAAGATCCTTTGAGGATCTATTAATGCAGGAATTCTCTGATCTCTCCTAATTTCCTAATTTAATTTGTTGGTAAATGTCACTGCTTTATTTCCATACGTTTCTAAATCATTCCAGGCTTCTTCAAGAGGAAATGTTTCTCCGCGATGGACTTGGCACTTTTTTGGATATATCGTCGATATTTTCATCGTAGACTTGATATAAAGCGATCCTTCCTGTTTCTAATTTTCCTTGTTCAGTTAAACTTTGAGATGATCGAAGTTTCAGAACAACATTTTTATTGTCATATAATAGGAATAAATAAATTCCAGTGATTCATTAATGTCATGACGTCAATATGCAAAATCTAATAACTCATTGAGTTACCAAATTTATTCCTTGGAAGTAGGAGAATTAAAGTTAATCTATAGTCTACACCATATGTTGTGAAGTAGGGTTTGTAACATGTCAGTTTCGCATTTATAATCTCAAGAATTTAAACATCGGCTAGATGGTTTAGGTGTTTACGCCCGCTAACCCATTTTCTTGAGATGCAGAATGCGTCCTGTTGATTAGTCGGGCTTACTACTTTTGCTGAACCATTGTACCCCGTATTAGTGTTAGGATATTCATCCAATATCCTAAGAGAATTATTAGTCAATTTTATGCTCGTCCTAGATATCAATGTCACGTGCTTCAATGTTGTTTCGTATTGGTTGTCCTGACTATCATTGTCACTTCAAATGTTGCTTCCTATAGTTCGTCTTAGCTGTCAATGTCACAGAGTTCGATGCTGTTTCCTATTGAACCTAAATGTATAAATACGCATTATGTGTAACATTGTATGACCAGGACCCGGTCCCGGATCCCTAGTCCGAAATCATGATTCGTACTTCCTGAATGCTAGTAGAATACAGGTTCTACTTCATATCAAGTCTTCTTATTTTTATTCAATCTGCGGGTTGGGATAATCGGATTAGAGTAGCATGTCCTATCACCGGATCCTCAATCCTCGCTCTCGTATTCCGACTAAGGTATACTCGTAATACTTAAAGTATATCAAGTTGACGTGTTTACGTGCAGGCCTAACAATTAGTAAACGGTATCCCGATCTTTGTTTATTCTAGAAGTATGTTTCTGTACATTTATCGGTATGTAAGTTTTTTGCATAATTTGACTTGTGATATAAATGAGTCATTTAATTTTTATGGTTTTCAGTATAGAACTCAGGTTAGCAATTGAAAGTCGGCAACAATGAATCGTCCTTCCAAAAAAACGTATTTATCTAAACTCTGTTCAAAATGGATTAGACTTTGGCAGAATACCAGAAATGCAATGTCCTTTCTTACTCCGTAGTTTATCACTTATGAAACAATAACTTACTCCTGCTGTTTTTACCTATTCCTACAATGCACAATGCACCTAGGTTAGAACAACGAATAGAGTTTAAGTTAAGATGCTATTATGGGAACAGTCCAGTGGCAACCTTCATAAAATAATAATAAAATTTATCAGCTTATTGCTTGTATTCTCAATAACTCCGATGTTGTCAGTTATTCATATGAGAATAAGTACAAAAGGGTTAATAGGATTGAAAATGGCATATATATTCTTTGAGCTTATTCAAACCTCACTAATTTATATCCGAGGGGTGTAATATTAAGGCCACTACGATATAACCATATTTCAGGTCAGCTTTTATTGGTTGTACTAACTGATCATATAAATAAAAACACCAATAATCCAAGACAAATTTATATGGTCTAAAGGTATGATGTATTTTAGTTTTGAAGTCGTCATAGATTTTGTAATACAATACACTTGGGGTTTGCCTATGGCCTGTAGATTCGAAAAGAAAATGTTTGAACAAATAGAACGTAGTAATACATCTCTTAATTTATATAATCCCTATTCATTATAATTTTACTCTTTTTTGTGTTTATTTCTTCTAGGTTGTTGATTCATCAGCTTGCTTAACACAATTGGAGGTGGATTCATCAGACAACTCACTGGTAGCTAGTGTTACAATGCCGTGTTTAGAAGTTGGTACGGTCGGTGGTGGTACACGTCTACCGGCCCAACGTGCATGCCTTGATTTACTTGATTTAAGTGTTGATCGTCCAACTGAACATTTATCGCGGATAATCGCTGGGACTGTACTTGCGGCAGAGCTTAGTTTAATGGCAGCCTTAGACACAGATGATTTAGTGAAAGCACATATGCACTTCAATCGAGCCAAGCAGCCTACATCCCCTAATTCTTGTAGTCATTCTACGACTACTATTACTACTACTACTACCGTTACTAATAATGATAATGATAATAGTAGCAACAATAACATTCATAATATTTATGACAATGCTCACTCTTCAAAAAGCCTTGTTAATGATAATTCAGATATACGCGAGTCTGTTCATTCTATACATGCGAAACCATTTCCTGTTAGAAGTGATTTATCTATAAATTCGGAGATATCCCATTATACTATGTAACATGTATATATATATGGACACTTTTAAAACACCCTTGTATATCATATTAAGCTTTAGATTAAAAGTTCACAATTAGATTGTATATTCGAATCATTATTAGATACTTACTGAATTTTCCCATATTCTTTTTCCCACTATACCTCTGTACGTTCGATAAAAATAAACTAGGTATACATCAGTTTTTTATTCTCAGGCTATTTATACTACTTAAGTCATCTGCATTTTCGAACAAGAAAAATATCGGGTAATCACTAATTTTCTTTTGGATCATTACCGCACGCATATTTCTCTTACTGCTTTAAGATCCATAGTACTACTGTTCACTTTGTTAATCTGTAGCTTAGGTTTAAGTCAATCATGAAGTTGGAATATATTATAAATGTAACTGTAGCACATGAAACTGACAAAACGATATACAGACCTTGTCATTAAACGATTTATGAATCACTGACGTCTCAGATTCAGATTTCCCATCAAAGGTGCTTGTGATTCCATATTTTATAATTTATTTTTTGACATAAATGTGTTTATATTATGATAAGTATCTTAGGGAAAATACTATCGTCGAACCAACAGCTACTATCGTGAAAACAGTTCATTATGAGTTATCATGTATTGACGACTTATAGCTGTATAGACATAATCTATTTGTCACTTGTTCGTCACTGTAGCAGTTACTTAAATCTCATAAACATGTATAGATTATGATTGTTTCTATTTGTTCATCAGTCTACTTCGAACTCTTCCGAAATTAGTAATGAAGTTATAAACATATATAAATATAGGTATATATATAAGCCTACACATATAAACCTTTTGCTAGCGTTAATGCGAGTTGCTTAAATCGTCCGTTGCCTCGTTCTCTTCTCAATATACATGTGCTTCTTAAATCTCAACCAGTTATTTTCTCATTCATATTTCTGTTTTTATCGACTCCGTATGTGTATAGGTTTGTAATGTGCTATACGACAAATAAACTACAATCAACATTTCCTGTTGTCTTCTGAAATTTTTACTTGGTTGGGAGCTATCTAATGACAGTGATATACGAAGCATAGGACCTATCTCAACGTTAATCCACTAAAATACGAAACTAAGTCTCCAGTTAGCGTGGACACGAAGTCCACAGTCAATCAGTAAACTGTAGCCCAGCTCAGTTTTCAGTTATAGAGTTATTTTGAAATATGCCTCAAACTCTACTTCTTATTTGTGTTGTATTAAATCATCATCATACCGTAATATCAAGATGTTTTTGATCTGGTCGTTAAACATTACCACCATGAGTGAACTCTATTACATTCTAGTCATCGGTCGTAAATATATTATGTTTTTTCCGTTTTGGATAATTGGAAAAACAATTTGCCATAACTCTTGATACAATCATTAGACATTTAGTGTAAAGAGAAATGAGTCTCTCTATCTTGGTTTAATGGGTAGTTGGAAAATAGACAAACAATACTAGAACCAAGTTTTGTATTTATCGAAACAATCAAAAGACATATTTACAGCATCTAAAAAACTAACAGTAAAACTGGGAATAATTACTCCCAAAAAACTTGCAGATTAGCAATTGTCGTATTTGAAATAACTGAATAAATCATATTAGCTTCATTCCACAAAAATATTTGACTTTCTCAACACAAGCTTTACTGATTTAGATAGATAGATGACTATAATACATATTGTATTCTTATTTTATTATCCGGAATTTGAAGGCGAAATAATTTGCTAAGGTTAAACATTGGTTCCAGAGTATATTTTTAAAACCGATAATGTAAGATGTCATACTACTAAGTCCACTATAATTAGAGTCTCAAAAACGCTAGTCGAAACATCGAAGGGAATGGCTCTTCAGTCTAAGTAATTTACGGTATCTCTGAATGAGGGAGAATATTGCTCATCAAAGACCGGTTTCAATATAACGAATGTTCTAAGCTTCAAAATTCAGGAAATGCTTGGCAAATTTTAATCCAGTTAAAATTGATCTGCAAATTCTTTGGAGCATTTGGATCACAGATCACATTTCTGATCAGAAACTTATTTTTTGGTGCTCTATTTAGTATGCCTGTATAACATTTTTAACAACCAAGGTCACACTAAATAAAATCGATACGCACTATTTTCTGTATCACTTTTAACCTTCGACAGTAGCCTTCCTGAACGTCTCATCTTTCCTGTTCAGATTGCCGTGAAGATCTAATTTAAGATAAGTCGAAACGCATGGAAAGTCACATCGGGCGGTAGTTGGGGTATGTGTTGCGAATACCCAACCACCGACTGCCTCGTCGAGAAATGTTTTGTTGTGTAGGCTCAGGCTAGAAGAAAGTTAGGGGCGGACAGACCAAATCATAGCACAAATCCATGAGTTCAATGACAAGCAAACTGAGTGATGTTGGGAGATGTAGGCTACCTGTTTGGGGTCCGCGAGATGAAATTCACCAATGGTTAGAGACCTTGAATGACATGGCTTCCACTCTTTGTGTTTTCTCAAATTCTAATCTCCTGGATTGGTCAACACCTCTACCTTTGTAAGCTTATCTCACTGAATTATACTTCTTGAATAATATCTTCAAAGCCTAATCTTCATCATAACCAGTAACACTTCTACTATCTTTACCACTATGGGATTTCAATCGACAATTACTTCTCTGTGCTAATGTGGAATAGCAACCTGAACTGATGTGCTTACGTACGAAGTTCTACGTTGTAACTGACTGACCATTCTTCCCTTCAGTTATCCACGATTTCTATTCATTCATTCATACCCATCTGAGTAAATTACTGCATGTAAAGATTGTTTGATTGGACCTAAATAATCTGAGAAGCTAAACAAAATCTATGAAATGATTGATATGGAAAACTGGAAATTGCTTTCTATCGGGAGTACTATCAACGAAAGGTTTGTTACTGATTGAGTAAAGTTCTCTCGATCTCAGTCGTTATTCTTCAAAATGCCACAACAAAGCTGACGAACGAATAGAAGGCGTTCAAATCTTAGAAAGTGTGTGTGACATTTAGACTATTGAAATTGGACCACGTAGATTGACAATTCCTATGCGACATCATTAACGGTATACTTATTACCACTCGCGGAACATAGTTTTCCAATCAGTATTCTCGACTCTCCCTTCCAGTTCTAACCCATCGCTATTCATTCTTTCATGCCCGCTTCTCATTCTCGGTATAATGTTTTCTTTGACCTTAGGGATCCCAAGTAAAGACTTGCCTGATAATGCAGTCTGGCGATCCGCTCAATGTGTGACCCATCCACCTCCAGCGCTTCTTCCTGATTTCCTTCTTAGATGGAATCTGGTTTGTTGTCTCCCACAGTAGGTTGTTGCTGATGAGATCTGACCAATGGATCCGAAGTATTTTGCGTAGACAACTATGAATCAACATTTGTATCTTTTGGATGATTGCTTCCGTAGTTTTCTAATTGTCCGCTCCATACAATAGAAGTGTTTTGACGTTTAGATTGGAAATTGTGACTTGGCTGTTGAATGACAGTTATTTTGAGTCCCAAATGTTCACCGACTAGAACTGCTGCTCTTGCTTTGCCAATCCGCGCCTTCACATCCGCATCAGATCCTCCTTGTTGATCAATGATGATACTCAGAAATGTAAAGATTTCCACACCTCCCAACGGTTCTCCGTGAAGTGTAATCTAGTTGGTGCTGAGTGTGTTATGTCTAAGGATCTTACTCTTTGGATTGTGCATGTTGAGGCCTAGTGCTGCTGAAGTTGCTAATACCTTGGCCGTTTTCTCCTGCAATTTTCGTTGTGTATGTTATGGAAGAGTTAGGTCATCTGAGAAGACCAAATTGTCCCGCTGCATACAAGCTGTCCACTGTATCTCTCACCTTTCCTTAGATTTTGAGGTTAACATAACCTAGTCAACCAGTAGAATAAAGAAAGAGTGAAACTAAGCAACCTCGTCTGAAACCGGTTCTCATTTGGAATGAATTTGCCCTCCGTACACGGTCTTTCAGTTTAATCCATCATATGAATCCAGTACGATATTGACTATCTTCTCAGGTACACCGTAGGGTCGAAGAAATCTCCACAGTGTAATTCTGTTCGCGCTGTCGAATGCTTTGTCATCGTCAGGTAAGTTGATGTATGGTGATTAGTTCCATCCAATTGATTGTTCAACAATGATCCGTAGAATCTCAATGTGGTCGGTACACAATCGACCCTTATTGAGTCCAGCCTGTTGGTCTCGAAATTGGGCGTCGACTGAATCTTTCGTTGTGTTCAGTGACACTCTGTTGAAGGTTTTACTTGATATTGAGAGTGGAGTGATTTCTCTGTAGTTCTCACACTTGCTGAGACCTTGTTTCTTTGGGATCTTGGCAAGGTGTTCTTATTTCCAGTCTGTTGATATTTGTTTTTCCTTCCAAAACTTTCTCCACTCTTATTCGACTGTTGTCGATTGCTGCCCTCTTGCTTTTCATTTCTTGTAATTTGACAGGTTTATCAACAGCGATCCATTCCTATTGGTGGTGCCTCTTGAGGCGTAACATTTCATTACATGATTCCAATTCGTTTTCGATGATAATTTCTTGTTGTTTGAGTAGATAGTGAGAGGCTTCGAACTTATTGCTGATATCTATCTTGAATTCGTAGTTTTGCAGTACCTCGAACAAAGCTTGTTTCAAACTTTTGTAATGCTGTTCGCACAGTTGTCCAGTGCTTCGTTAATCTCTGTTTCATCTTAGCCACCGCCAGATGTTGATCTGAAGCTATATCAGCTGCTCCTTGGGTCCTCACGTCCTACATGATGCTTCTGAACCTTTTATTGATGCAGATGTAGTCGATTTGAATCTATAGAGCGTAGCTCTTCGCAACCTATGCAGTTTTGTGTCTGCGCTTTTGTGGGAACATTATACCACGTAAAACGATTTGTTGCAGGTGCATAAATTTTCTAACCTCTCATGAATTTCTTTTGTTTCTCTCAGTCCGTATCACCCCATGATATCTTCATATCCATTGTTTTTCACTCCAATCTTGGTGTATAGGCCTTGCACCAGAATAGTCAAATCCTTAGCTGCCCATTTCTGTACTGTTGTCTAAAGCATCTCACTCGATTGCTCTACATCATGTTCGTTGTTATCGTTGGTGGCCGCATACTACTGAACGGCATTCATTGTAATCTTCTCGCTCTTTTTCGGAAAGTTTCCTTTGATTATACATGTTCCAGGAGATGCTTATCCTGCAAGTGCCTTTTGTACTTCGTTAGCTATCCTCAGTGAATCTCCTCGCGCGTATGGTCCGAGTACAACAGCATTTCTCCTGCAGGTAATCTGTTTTGCCTGGCCTACACTCAATGAGTTTCACTTATTCCACGCTCCACCAGGTTGGTTCTTTTCATTTCTTCGACAACTTGAATGATCCTCTTGGTCTCCCACAATGCGCGAACTTTCTGTGCACCCATATTAAAGGTTTCCTTGGTTGTCATAAGTGTCGTTGACCACTTGACTTCCGTCGAAAATCGGCTTTCACCAAGAGGCATCATAACTTATCTAAATGAAGACCTTCCAACTCCTGGGACAGAGTTTAGATCATTTACATTAGTAAAAACTGAATATCCTAGTTTTTTCTCAAAAAATATATTTCTAAACTTCAATGCAAGATGTAGACTTCCAAGCTGATGATGGGCTCATCTATGTTCGCTTATTAACTTAACTGTTCCTGTGAAGCTAGTTGTTTCAGCCTTTCTTAAATATCCTTAACGTCATGTACTCGTGAACTCGTACCATTATGGTTAGG